CTCCAAGGATTTAATCCATTCTTTCGCTATCATCGAGTTAACACCTACAGAGAGTTCTTGAAGATTCATCTTGCGGAATCTCTCTACCACGTCATTCCTATGCCGAGGCGACGAAGGTGGAGACTGATGACGCATAGCCAAAAGTTGTCTCATCCGCTCCGCATGGGTTTCTTGTTGTTGTTGTATTGCTTGCTTGTTGTTCTTGTAGTATGTCTAACATACGGTTCAACGTATCTTGTTGGTTCACGTTGTTATCATCGGAGGTTCCTTCTCCTCCTTCTCTCACTCGGGTTCCTTCTGGCGGCATGTTTTATCTCATATGTCTAAGCGGTGCGGCTAACATATCGGAATATATATCGGACGCATCGTGAGAAGGTACCTCTACCGTGCATCAATTGATAGCATCAACCGATGCGACATGTACAATTTCTCAAGCGATGCACACGGGTAAACCCTAATTAAACATCGGCCTAACGAGGGTCCGCCTAGCTCGGATTGGTAAGAAAGTTTGGATTAGGTTTCGATAGGAATTGCAATCTATTTGACCCTCCCATACCCCACCCGGCGACTGCTGATCCACAGGTAGGAGAGTCTCGCGTAAAGTCATCCACATATAATCTAGGTTATGGTGCTTGGATAAAAGTGGCGTCGGCAAATACTATCTGTCTGAATCGAGTCATGTATTCTAGTCACATGAGCAACTATATCTTGATCCGGTGTCATAGCAAAGTTATTTAGTTCCACCCAATAAGTCGCGAGTGTGACCCTCCGCCTACGGGTCCTAGCAACTTGGGGAACGCGTCATATATACGGCATCTATAACAAGAATATTTCTAATCATCATTATTTTACGATGTATGAGTATATAACAACATAAAACATATACAACAATCACATACATTTATTTTACCCAAACAAATAATGAATCGAATTTTTTTTTTTTATCGTCGAAAAGTGTACCGGTTCTCGGGCTCATGTGACACTTAGGACTCTACCCAACTTACTAAGCCAAAGCTCGATACCACTAAATGTGACGCCCCGGCTCCCTTACCTATTACCTAACGGGCGTGACCAAGCACGACACACTTGTTGGGACTAAGTCCCCTACTTCCTTCATCGTACACAACGTAAACTAAACCATGGAAAACGCATAATATAATTTACAACATTATTACGGATAATTCCATAATTTAAAACATATTCAAAATGTCTAAAAATTTTCAACCTAGGCCCGTACCCCTTTTTATTGACACAAAAGATATTCTCATTTTTATGAGTGACACATGAGCCTCTTTTAACGAGAACCGGTAGCATCCTCGATCGGCTTAACTTTGCCCTTGCTCGAACAACACACAAATACAATAACGGAATAAGCCAAAGCTCGGTAAGTAGGGTGATGCATGTGATATGCAATGCTATTGTGTTTCCCATATTTTCATCCATTTTAATCCAGGTACCCTAGGTATATGCAAGTCCGTGCGCCCAATCTCTCGGTGATCGTGTTATCACCTACTTGCTCTATTACTTTCTCTCGGTGATCTCAATATCACCTATCGCTCGCAACGGAATTATCCCTCGTTGTAGCACACGGTTAACGAAATTATCCCTCGACTTAACGGTGTTAGTAAATAGAGCTCACACTATGGGATTCCTTGCTATTACCCAATCCATTCAATTTGGTTATCAAACCATGTCAATTCAAGACTCAATGATTTTTCTCAATTTATTTCCACCCCCAATGCACATGATGCACGTGATGACATGTTTAATCATATTCAACAAAACTCGGGCACCGACCCTTCTTTCTCAAGCCATACTCATGGTCTAACCATCATTCGGGATTCACTCGGCGCTCACATACCAATCATGGTACTCATAGTGGGAACACAACCTCCGCTCATTAATATTGCTTATTAGTTTCATTAATAATTAAAGAAGGTCCAATTCTTTTTTTTTCCTCAATGAAAGAATAAATTTTCTTTAAAATTTTAAAATCCTTTTTATTTCTATTTAAGTCCACTTATTTTAGCCTAAGCCCATTTTCGTTAGTCTAAGCCCATCTACTTTAAAACCAAACGTTTTGATTTTAATCCAAGTCCATTTCCAAGTTTATTTTATTTAAGTCCAAGCCCAAGTCCATTTGTTTTAATCTAAGTCCATTTTATTTTTAAATCCAAGCCCATCTCATTTTAACTCAAGTCCAAGTCCATTTATTTTAATCCAAGTCCAAGTCCATTTGTTTTAATCTAAGTCCACTTTATTTTTAAATCCAAGCCCATCTCATGTTAACTCGGGTCCAAGCCCATTTATTTTAATCCAAGCCCAAGTCCATTTATTTTAGGTTAAAATTTTTCAGCAGTAGCACACCTAAACAACCTATACCAAACCAGCTATAACTCCTTAAATATATATCTAAAACTCATGAAATGTTAAGGGGAGATATTAGACATATAGATCAACAACTTTCATTCTTTAAGTTTCCTCCAAAAATCATTCTAAAATCCTTAAATAATTCACACAAGTTTCGGAACTAAATAAACTTTTCCAGTAGCTGGTCCATTCAACGACCCGTACCAAATCAGTCATACATCCTTACATACAGATCTAAAAATCATAAAATTTTATATACATATAGTAGACACATAGATGAACAACTTTCCTTCTTTTAATTCTGCCTAAAAACTACTCTATGATTCTGAAATAAATCGCACAACTTTCGGAATGAAATATTTTTCCGAGTAGAGGTTCCATCCGAACGATCCATACCAATTCAGTCATAACTTCATATATATATATCTCTAAAAGTCACGAAATTTTAAAGAGACATAGTAGACAAATATATCAACAACTTTCATTCTTTGCATGTTTTCTAAAAATCACTCTAAGATGCCGAAATAAATCACACCAAGTTTGGGTTTTTCCACCCCTAAAATCCAAAAATCTTCTCTTAAAGCACATTTCTCAACACACATGCTTAACCATCCATCATCAAACATCAAGTGTTTAAAATCATCACAAATACCATAATCACATTTCACATGAATTAAATAACTCATAAAATAAACATGGAAAGCATAAACAAAGCAAGAAAAAAAAATGAAACCTACTTACATTAGATTAACTTTCCTAAAATCTCTTTTGTTTCCTTTTAGTTTTCCCTTCTTTTTCCTTCCCTTTTTTCCTCTTTCTCCCCTCTCTTTGACTCTTTCTTTCTTGGTTTTAAGGCAGCTACGGGATGCACCAAAATGCATCCTCATCCCATTTTTTCTTACTTAAATATCTCACATAATCTCATTAATTCAATGTTCATTACAAGTGTTAAAAGCTTGTGGTGAAATGCAAGATAAATGTGGCTGAAATTAATGAAATGATGGATGTAAATTTCAAGGAAGAAGAGGTGATGATCAATGAAAATTTGTAGAAAGTACGGGCCAAAATGTGATTAAATGAGGGTAATTAAATTAACTATATTTTCGAATTCCTCCCGAAATTTCGACAATTAGCACTTTCTCTCTCTCTTTTTTTTTTTTTTAATTTATACTTATTCCATATAAAAGAAATTTTCTAACTAATTTACCCAATATTTTTTTATATATATAAATATTGACGTACACCCGTTACTCTCAACAAATACGTACATACCACATATTTTAGTACATATGTTGACCTGAGTTACTGATTTTCACGTACGTAACCGATATACTATATATGTATATATGTACGAATATAAATATCTCGATACGTACATTTATACAATTACGGATTTTACAAAGGTTACATTCCATTAGCCGAAAGTTGCAGACATTTTTGTTTTTTTGGGTCTTGAGCAGCAGCCCAGCCTTGACGCACAGGCCCGAGTTGCTCAGCTAGGCCTGACGGGCAAGCCCGACTTGCCCTTGGCGCACAAGGCCTTTTTTTTTTTTTCAACTTAGGAAATTGCTTTTTATTTTGGTCCCTTCTTTCTGTTTTTTATTTTATTTTGGTCATTACACTTTTTTTATCTTTGATTTTTATCCTTATCAGAAATATTAAAATTTTATTATATGTGATTTTTATCCTTATAATTTTTTTTTAACTTTTAGTAAAAATTTATGTTCTTTTTTTTATTTCTATTTTTTAATGTATTTTTATTTTAGTCATTTAAGTTTTCTCATATTTAATTTTTATCCTTACTATACTAAAACTAAATAAAGTTTACTATCCTAAGATTGTTTTTTTTCCTTATTGAAATTTTCTTTCTATTCTAATTTCTGTTTTGTGATTTTTTCTTTGTTTTTGTCATTAAATTTAGTAGAATTTTTTTTAGTCTTTTTTTTGTAATTGTTTTTTATTTTGATCATTAAATTTTTTTCCTATAAGAAACTATTTTTTACTTTTAGTAAAACTTTTTGTTATATATTGATTTTTTTTTTATGATCTTTCATTTATTTTGATCATTAAAATTTTATTATATATGTTTTAGTTTTTTTAATTATTTTTACATTATATTATTAAATAATAATCTATAAATGTTAAATTTTATATAAATGAATGTATAAAAATATTATATAACTAATTCTGTGACGATACCCGACATATATGCTAGTTCTTTTATATCTAATTTATCAGGTTATGACCTAGAAAAAATTATATATAATAACGTGATGGAACACTACAATTACTAGAATCATCAAAGTGAATTTCGAGTAAAAATTTAAAACTTTTGGATTAATCACGGTAAAAAACTTATTAAATTCACCTAGAAATTCCCGCCCACAAACCAGACAAGAAAAAGAAGAGTAACTATTCCAGTCCACGTCACTCTGGCGGCTTCCTCCTCTCCTCAGCAAATAAAATTTCCCAATTTCTCTCCTCCACAAATCCTCACTCTCTCTTCTCCCATCTCTTAAAGCCCTAAACTTTCACCTCCATTGTCACTTGATGGACTTTTTTCCTCCTCATGTTTCTCCTTTCTCTTCCTCGCTCTCTCTTCTCCTTCTCCTCGTCGCAGAACAGCACTCATGCGATCAACTCTCGCAGAAGCCAATGCTTCAGCTGCTCACTTTCTGTTTCAAAAACAAGCAACGGAAGCAACCGCAGCAGTAAGGGCAGCTCGGCTGCGATTATCTGGTTTAAGCAAGATCTTCGCGTCGATGATCACCCTGGCCTTCTACAAGCTTCCAAGTTTCCTACTGTACTCCCTGTTTACGTTTTCGATCACCGTATTCTCTCCCGTACGTTGTCGTTTTTTCATCTTTTTCTCTCTTACAATTTGGTACTTGTCTTCTCCTTCGCTTGTTCTTTTTTTTTTTTCAAATGAAAATTGGAGTTGCATATAAAAAAAAAAAAAGAGGAAGAAAGAAGAAAACTTTCGACACGATGTCTGAGGACAGTAAGAATGACATGTCGCTTGTACAAAAGCTGGGATTAAAGTATTTAACCATTTGGTAACGTTGCACAGGTTATAATGATGAGAAGCTAGAGCTGGTTCTTTTTGCACTGGAAGATTTAAGGAAGTCATTGAAGGAACAAGGGTCTAATTTGATGATCAGGTTTGGGAATGCAGAAAATGTGATAAAAGAGCTAGTACTAGAGGTGGATTGTTATACTTGTTACTTTATTTTGTGCTTGCTTTGTATATGATGATGATGATACATACTTGTAGTTTAGGAAGTATGAGGTGAAACCTCAAGAACCCCTTTGGTTATTTTGTTAATTGATAGTGTAGGATTGTTGGAACAGGTGGAAGCTACCAATGTGTTTGCGGAAGTGGAGGTAGAGTATCACTTGCGGGAGATAACGGGTGTTGTGGAAAAAACCTTAAGGAGATTGCCTTTGTTTGATAGGTGTCCGGAGATTGTGTTGTGGCAGACTCCGTTTTATGATGTTAAGGTAGTCATGTTTGTTATTGATTAAGTGATTGTTTCATGTGAGGTTGTGTTTTCATGTCCTTTTTCTTTTTTTCTTTTTTTTGTGCTCCTTTTTGTTTGTTAGAATTTGAAGGACTTGCCTGTTTCGTATGACAAGTTTGAGAAGCTTCGATTGGCTGTTACTTCACCTCTTCTACCTTCAAGATTGCCTAGTGCAGAAATAGAGTTGGACTGGGGTAAGTTTCTTTGTTTGAAAAATGGAAGAGAATTGTTGGTTTGTAGAAGTATTTACAATTGTGATAAAGTAAGGGGGGACGATGACTAAACCATGCATCAGGTTTGCTACCCACATTGGATAACTTGAAGAAATTTATGAATGAAAGTCCTTCCAAATCGAATGAAAGTTGGGCTTTGCTCAAGGAGATGTCCAGTGAAAGCATATTGCGGAGGAAATTATCAAAGTCAGGGAAAGTAGGTTTGAATAATTCCAATTTCAAGCATACCAAGCGGAAGAGACTGGATAAATCTGTTTTTGTCACAGAAAACCAAAATGTTGTGGGAGGTGGGACAAACAGTGTGCTTAATGCATTGGCTGCATACTTGAGATATTTGGAGGGAACAGCTCGGGATGACTGGCAAGAGTATGTGCTGATAATGTGCATCATTAATTAAAGCGCAAGGATTTATTAACTTATGCTTCATATTTGAGTTTGTTTATTAATTTGACTTTGTAATTTTTTAATCTTATTAAGGAGTGACAAATGCTAACTAGATGCAAAAAGATATAGTCATATCAATGCATAGAACATGGAAAAAAGAATAGCCTAACAAAGAACCCTTTTCACCTTTTTTACATGTTATGTTCAGTAAAATGTGTGACATTTATTGTTTCTGATTTGAAACTTCAAAGACAACTGTTTGACTTGATTTGATGTCAGGGTACATGAGAAATTACGAAATGCTGAAATTCGCAATGGAGCTTCATTTTTTGTACTCTTTGGTCCTGCCCTATGTCTTGGTATCATATCTAGAAGGAGAGTTTATTATGAATCAATCAAATACGAGAAAGAACGAAATGCTGGATTTCTATCACCCTTTGGATATTCAACTGCCCCCGTTTCTGCTTCAGCAGATGCTGTGTGCTCAATGGAGGTACCATGGTGTTCTACAGTAGGCTGCTTTAGGTCTAATATGCTCAAGTCGTTATATATTTTTTAGATGTGCATTCTATATTATCTACCTTGATTTTCTTTTTTCTTTTTTTCTGCTTCGGAATAACTTGTGTCATTTAGATAAGCTTTTGATGGATTTCAGTGAAATTTTGTGCAGTGGTATTGGCTTGTGGCTTTAAAAAGTCAATTAAGTGATGGAGGAGCATATCCTACTCGGATATGGAGATGGAATGGTTATCTAATTCAGGTTTGCAGCTGAAAACTGATTCATACATGTAATCAATTTTCTTTGAATCTTTTTCTGCTGATAGCACCTCATTTTATTCTGGACAATATGATAGAATATTTCTCTAATTCTGGAGAATAGTTATCTAATAGCCAAAATATATATATATTTTTAAATTTCAGTATACAGTTGTTGGTAATAGAGGCCCTGCTGTTCTTCTCGTTCATGGCTTTGGTGCATTTTTGGAGCACTATCGTGACAATATATGCAGTATATCTAATAGTGGGAACCAAGTTTGGGCTGTCACACTTTTAGGATTTGGCAAATCAGAGAAGCCAAATGTTGTGTATACTGAACTTATGTGGGCTGAATTGGTGAAAGATTTTATCATTGAAGTTGTTGGGGAACCAGTGCATCTCCTGGGAAACTCTATTGGTGGTACGCTACATGTTCTATCCTCTTGTCTCCATTATTAATTTCACTGTTTACTTATCTAAAAGCTCATCTACTTAATTGTCATTAGTTGCTGCTCTCGATTACTTGTCTAATTGTTAGTGTTCTCTATCTCTAGGCTATTTTGTAGCTCTTGTCGCCTATTTTTGGCCTTCTTTAGCTCAATCTGCTGTCCTTATCAATGGTGCTGGGGATATTATTCCAGCATATACTTCTCCGCAATTCACCAAAGTGAGTTTAAAATAAAGATTTATGCAAATATCTTATTCTTGACTCATAATGTCTATCACAGTTTTGTCATTTATTTCTTTGTTTTGCATTTGGAAAGTGCCATCTTGACCAACTGAGCTTTTTCTGAGATAGTGTCATTGATCAATCTCATCATGTTCGATTTTGTTTGGCTGTGTTTCAATATCAAGTTGTATGGCCAATTTATGTAGCATATAGAATGTCATCCCTAGGCTTTCCACATTGTCTATCCACTTGAACAAATTGTCCAGAGTGTGGTATTTGGATAGGAGTTTAGTAGAATAATAACCAGAAGATGCTCACATGATTTGGGGTCCAAAGTGATCATTGGAGGCTGCAAAGTTTGTGCCTTCTCTGTATCAATAGCAATGGATTTCAGCAATAACAAGGAAATGGGACTGGTACATGCATACACGTGCAGCTTATCCATCTGCTTCAATTTTAGGAGTAATGGTACAATGGGAGATTTTCTGAAAACCCTGTTCCTTGCATGCCTTTTAAATGTCCTCCAAGTCGTCTCTTTGAGTTCTGCTCAGCCTGAAATACTCAATAGTAATTTCTTCAGTTATCTCCTTATTTGCTAGTAATCTAATAATGTTCCAGGAGAGAGCGACTTCAGGGGCTACATGGCTTGGTGCTCGACTCCTTTTGGTTTACTTGAGGTTGAACATTGGAAGCATAGTAAAGAATTGCTACCCAACTGTAAGTGATATTTATTTCCGCATTTGGTCTTACTAATCACATCCAAAGGTTGCATCTTATTTCACTGCATCTTGCCTTGCAGAAAACAGAGAGAGTTGATGATTGGCTTATTAATGAAATGCTAAGAGCTGTATCCTTGTCATTAGTGAAAGCATGCCAATTCATTTCCATTTCTGCAGAATTTAATTTGACTTTGTTATAACCTTAACACACACAAAGTCGTATGATCCTGGCGGCCTGGCGGTACTGGAAAGTATTTTCAGTTTCAATCTTTCACTTGCTCTTAATTATCTCTTGGAAGGCTTCAAAGAGAAGGTTCTAGTCATACAGGTAAAAAATCTCAATATAGTGGAAAAAATTACAATTCTGTGTTTTTCCTTTCTTTTCCTTCTTTGTATAGCTTGATAGTCCAATCGAAACACTGCATAGGTGCTATTGACTGATCTTGTTGCTGCAGGGAATGAAAGATCCTATTACTGACTCCAAGTCTAAAGTGGCTATGCTCAAAGAACATTGTCCTGGGGTCGTCATCTGGCAATTGGATGCTGGTAATTTTCGTCCCCCTCATCAAGTTGATGCTTATAGTTGATCTTTTCTGCGAACCACTAACCAGCAATCCTTGATTTGATTGTCATTTCAGGCCACTGTCCCCATGACGAGAAACCGGAAGAAGTAAATTCTATAGTTTCTCAATGGATATTGACAATAGAAAGCAGAGTTCTCTCTCAAGCCTGTTCATAGTTTGTACATAGCTGCCTTGCAGAAAGGAGGCATTATTTTCTTTCTCACGTCACTATATTCTAACTCATTTCTTTTGATTGTTTAGCCTCATCCCTGAATGCAGGGCCATTTCTTTGCGTAATGTAACAAATACTGATGCAAATCAAATTTCAGGGTAAATGAGAAAACAAGGTAGAAGATTTGAGCTAGTAAAACTGAAACATAACCTTGGTTTTCGAAAATGTTACAAAATTCCAAAATACATGAAAGCTGTAAACAAAGAACAGAACTACAAAAGAAACCAAGAAAAGGAAAAAAAAAAAAACCCTCAAAGTTCAATCTTTATCGTAAACTTGAATGGTACAATAGACTGACCAAAACACCAATTATTCACACCACTTTGTCGAATGCGATCCTTACCGTTGGGTCCAACTCTGCAAAATCATGGCCCAGTTGAAAAACGAGAGCAATCCATGGAACAATCTCATCAAAACATTTGGTGTCACGAAGAAAACATTACTGCAACCAGGGCAATTCCGAAGAACACAACATTATTAAGAACAGTAAAGCTTACTGCCCCAGAAGCATCGCCAGGAGCATCTGGACTGTCTGCAGCTTTTGACGTCTTCTTTGGCTTTGCAGGTGCTGGTGCTGGACTAGGAGGTTTAGGTGTAAAAATATCAAGAGGAAGAAGCACCTTGTCAACCTGATAAACAGCTAGCTGGTTGTCGGTGTAGATGGTGCCGGATACACTTGCATTGGTTAGTCCCGTGGTTATATTCACTGAGTTCCCTGTGGTGGTTACATTAAGCTCTAACCTGCCACCTGATCCTGCCTGTGTGGTCAAAGGATTGCTCACAGTCTGGAACTGGGAACTTGATAGAAATTGCGGGATAATGTGGAACTGTACTAACTCAGCCTTTTCTTGGTCGTTTAGGGAGTTGAGGGTGCCTGATTTGAGACTCGAAAATGCACTATCGCCAGGAGCAAAGATGGTTATAGCATTGTCTGTGTTGTTGAGTTGGCCATTCAATGTGACATCCTCTTGTGTAGCTTTCAAAAGCCGGATAAACAAGCTCATCTGACCGGCTTTTTCTAGGATTTTGGTGACATTAGTTGGACCAGGGGGCGCTGGGGCTGCAGCTGGTGACTGAGCTAGGGTTGGAGAGCAATGAAGAAGGAAGAACAGAATAAGAGAAGATAAGAACAGAAATGGTACCACCATTTTCGTAAAATGGCCTATATTGCTGCTTTCTGCAAGTATTTGATGCATAGAGAGCGGATGAAGAGGGTTTTTATAATTATGGGGGTGGAAGATTAGGGTTAGGTGTAATGTACAATTTTAGTTTCAGAAACTTAGATGTTAATGGCTTATCTTACTTCAAAAGGTAGAGGGAAATCAGTGGAGAGAGGAATAAACACTGTTGCAACAACTAGTTTGCTTGAAAAAACAGAAAACAAGAAAGAAAGAAAGAAGTAGCAAGTGGGTGTGTGGGCAGATAAAGCTGTGCATTATTTTTTTTTGCTTTTACCTGTAAATTTATTTTTTGGTTTAAAAAAATTGATAATATTGCTTGCCACAATCTTAAGAAAGATTGATAGTGGCATGGTGTCCGACCTCATCAATGTCATTTTCTGACCAGAAATTATATGTTTTCTACAGCTCTGATTGCAGCTTGTGGGTTCCTTCTCCGTTGACTTACATTTTCTTTTTTCCTTCTCAATCTTCTTGTTTAGCTAAGGTAAACATGAAAATTACACATAGGTTAACTGTAAGTGAAAATGTAATCAGGTTTGCAGCTGAAAACTGATTCTATCATGTTGATTTTCTTCAACTCCCTTTCTGCTGGTAGCAGCTCATTTTTATGGATTTTATTCTGGAGAATATGTTAGCCAAGATTAGATAATAACTTTCTGCAATTCTTTTTAAGATACTGTTCCTATTTGAGTATACAGTTGTTGGCCATTAAGGTCCTGCAATTCTTCTCATTCATGGTTTTGGTGCATTTTTGGAGCACTGCTGAGTATACTGGACTTCTGTGGGCTGAATTGGTGAGAGATTTTATAGTCGAAATTGCTGGCAGACCGGTGCATGTCTAATGGTGGGATGTTCCTGTTCTAGCTTCGCTGTTTACTTGTCTAAAAGCTCATCTGCTTATTCATCGTTAGTTGCTATCTTCAACACTCATCTAATTGTTATTGCTCTCTACCTCTGTGCTGGGGATAGTTTTCCAGTTCTTGAAAGTGAGAAATTCAAATTTATGGAAATCAGCAAATGCCTTATTCTTGATTCAGTACTATCAGTGTCTTGTAATTTATTTGTTTTTTTTGCTTTTGAAAATTGTCATTTTGATCTATCAAGCTGATTCTGAAATGGTGCACCGTTCGTTGAGCGATCTAGTCATTTTCGCCCTAAATATCTGGATAATAGAATGTCATCCTGAGGCTATTTTTCTTGAGTACTTTTCAATGTCCTCTTTGAGTTCTGTTCAGCCTGAAATATTTGTACTGCACAGAAATTTCTTCAGAGATCTTGATATTTGTTAGTAATCTAAAGATGTTTCAAGAGAGATCGAATTCAGGGTTTCATGGCTGGGTGCCAGACTCCTTTTGTTTTACTTGAGGTCGAACGCTAAAGTCTAGAAGAATAGCAGAGATTGTTCTCTAACTGCATGTAATTCATCTATTTCCATGTTTGGTCTTCCTGTTCACATCCAAATGTGGCACCAATTCCCTTTTTACTGCGTTTCGCCTTGCAGAAAACTCAATGAAACATGCAAAGAGCTGTATCCTTGTTTCTTTTGACGCAAGCCTAATCGTTTTCATTTCTCAAGAAGCCTAGTCTGGCTCTGTTAGGATCGCAAAATTATATGAAGGAAACATCTGCTTAACATCCAAGAAATTAATTCCTATGATACCTGGTGTCTTGGCGATATTATTATCTCTTGGACTGGGGTAGCACCTGGTGCTTTTATCTTGATTGTCCAACTGAAATTGCTTCTTTTGTAATGCTAATAGATTTCACTTTTTTCAGGGAATGAAACATCCCATCTCCAATTCCAGCTCCCAGTCCAAATTGGCTATGCTCAAACAGCATTGCCTTGGGGTGGTCATCAGGGTATTGGATGCTGGTAATATCAGTTCCCTGTGTGATAAATTTGGCAACCAGAAGAAGTAACTTCTATAATTTCTGGGTAATAGAAAGGAAAATTCTGTCTCCAACCAGTTCATAATTTGCAGATAGCTGCCTTGCACAAAGGAGACTCATACCATCACTACATTCTTGCTCATTTCTTTTGATTCTATTATTCTATGGCCTCATACCGGAATGACCCGTAAATCATACATGCTTTAATTCAGTATTTAAATAACACTTTTTGTTTCCAAAATCAGATAACTGAAGAACTATTTGTTCCATTGCAAGTATGGTATGGATACAGGAACCATTGACTTGGCCATGTCATTAATTATACAAAACAAATGCATGTGTTAAGAACTTCAGTCCTTTCGACAAGTTATTACCACCCGTCCTCCTTAAAAAAATTATGTCCCACTATGAAACGAACTCTCTTCAATGTTGCAATGGTTCAAAAAGCAGGGGCTTGGAAAATGCATTCAAGAGAAATTAAGAAATTTAATCCCTTCTCTTTTGGGAGAGGAAATAGTTCTTCTGAAAGGATGTACTACCGCCATGCAAAACTATTGAACATGAAAAATATCAGCTAAGCATGAGAAAGAAAGATAAAGAATTTAAATGCTATTTTTTTCCCTTCCTTTTTCGGATAGGAAAATATAAGCAAATGGCAGAGACGAAGGCTATATAAAACACCGTGCTCTACAAAAAGAAAGCAGCCAAGAGAAAAAGGAGCAGAAGGCTACATCAAGTAATCCCCTTCAATTTTTTGGTCATTATTATTAAAAAAATCAAAGAAATTCCACCTCTTTGTTTGCATTTATGACAAAAAGTTACATGGAATAGCTGACATCTACAAACACTCTTGAGCTGTTTGACAGATCAGATCAAAGCAAGGATAAAAAAAAGAGAGGTGCACTCACTCACAACTGCAGTCCATGCCGCCTATTAGCAGTGCAAGTGCTCAAATGATTGTGAGTGTTATTTTTCTAAAATTCACCAGGACTGCCAGGACAGGCTTACCTTAACAACTTCTGGTGATTGGTCTGTCGCAATTGCTCCACCATTCCTAGCTCTATCATCTCCCACACAACAGAACATCTTGTATCTTCCATACTTGAACTATTTTCTCCTTCCATGCTTCCCTTGAGATTTCTCTTGGTTGGTTACAAGCAGAATGGCTCCTACTCATCTCCTACCAACCTTGATTCGTCCAAGAAACATGAAACATCAGGAACAATCCCTCCATCGCAATGCTTTAAAATCCCTTCCCCTACTAGATCATTTAACAGTTCAGCTGGTTCTTTGGATCCACCATGCTGCAACAATTTTGTTCTAAGAGCAATTCCGGCAGTTAATGAAAGCGGATCTTCTTGGCATAACTTTCTCCATATGGTTGCAGCAAAACATTTTGCATACAAGTAGCTATAGTAACCTGCACAGATCAAGCAAAAACCATCTCAGAGCTGTCTCAACCAAGTATCAAACTTTGCTCGAGAAGCATCTTTTCAGTATCATATTACTTTACTCTCTTATCTTGTGTGTTTTGGGTGGGGAGGTGGCACTTGAGCCAAGCCAGGCTTATATTATTCTCAAGTAATTTATGACTTCTGATCACATTGATGCACGAAAACTTATCGCATGCAATGTACATCCATCATGCTAATGGAAACACAAATTCAAACACAATTTATCTACACAGAATATTCATGTGCTCCAAGATCCCACCTGCACCATAGTTTACAAGATGGCTGAATCTGATCTGCCAATTTGTACCCTCCACATGTTTCCAGCTGGTGTGCTGCATTTTGAGTTCAGCAAGAATAGAGCTCATATCATTGGGTGAGGCTGGTTGTTCTCCAAAAAGCGTTTGGTCAACCATTGCATAAAAAACCTAATTAGCACCACGAGCAAACAAAATTTGGTAAAACTTTTTTCTTTGCTTGTATATAATATGGGCTACCAGGAACCATTTCCTGATTCATTCAAGGCCTAGGAAAATAAACCTGGCGTTGCAGTTCAGTTGCAGCAAACATATCTCTGGCACCTTGCATAGACTTAACCAACTTCTCAGGTATTATTTCACCAGTTGAGTAGTGCTTTGCAAATGTCCTTAATACTCTATAGTCCCAGGCATAGTACCTAGGAATGACACCAAGAGAAATCTCAGGTTGATTACCACAAACAGAGTAAATTCAGTCACTGCTGATGCACATAGATCTATGCATGGAACAGGCTATTTCTAGGTATGTTAGTGCTTCGAATGGGATAGAGGCAGTAGGAAGTAGAAGGTATGTAACTTACGAAGTCAAGAGTTATACAAGTGAGATATTCTCCAATATATTGGAGTTGAAATGGATTACTTGGGGAAGGAAGTTAGAAGAGATTCATTAAAAAGTTCAGATTATTTATTATGATGCATATGAAATCATACAATCATGTCATTCTAAGATATCTGAAAGCAATTATAACTGCCAGAGTGTGTGTTGGGGGTGGGGTGGTAATGCAAATGATGACAGGAAACAAAATTATTCTCATTATATTTTCACGTCACATGCTGCTGAGCCGAATTGAGAGCATCAGAAGGATTCTTTAGTTATTGGGACGAAATCTTGATGGAGCATTCTTATTGCCTCAAAATGGCTTCAAGACAGTGTGTATGATCAAAGCACCTAAAAATATGAACCATCCAACCACTTCATATTTAATGTATCACGTTATTATAATTTCCAGAAACAATGGATATATTTTCACTGATCCAAACAAGAAAAACAAGAAAAAAGCAGGTAAAAATTAAGAAATTGCAATATTCTACTCACTCAAAGAGGTTTGAAGGCATTTCAGCAAAGTCAAGAGCTACCCTGGTGCCTGAGAAATGTTGGTAATCCTACAACAATGATCAAGAGATGATTGTAATAGAGTATAAAGTAAAGGCCTTATTTTTTCTTCAATTTGCAGTAAGCTATCAGCAATATACCGTTCTCGAGAACAATGAATGGAGGGCATGTCCAAACTCATGAAATAGAGTTTCTACATCCCCGTGATTAAGTCTAACGGTTGATGAACCAGGTGAACCAGAAAAATTGCAAAGAAGGGCAACAACCTGCAGTTTAACCAAAATCAAGCTAAAAGAAAAGGGAAGAAAAATAATTGAATCATTTTTCAGTAAGTCTATGGAAAAATTATCTCTAAATTCTAAGTAACATGCTTGCCTATAAATGAATATGGTGAGAGTGACCACTTCATTGAAAAAACAAAATGCTGGAATCAACAGCTTATCCATCCTAGGAGCCAGGACTTAGATTTTTGGTGGGCAGGACTGGTATTGGATAATGATCTCCTTACAATGTGTTTCCCTCATAAAAGCCATTGAAAATTAACAAGTTAGTATTCCCACCCCAACCTCACTGAAGAATTTGAAGTTACAGTTTAGGTGTAAGACATAATTTCATGCTTAAATCTTTTGGCAAGTGAATGAAACCACTGCCCTACATAATTAACCAACTACTACTAGTTACAAAAATTCACCTGAGGGTTTATCCTTTCTAAAATTTTAAATTATTAACATCATAAACCACAAACCTATGCCCTACAGGTAAAAAAGCGAATATCGAAGTATGATGGCTATGAACTGAACATTCATCAGCCCTACCATGATGGACCAGATACTAAAAAGAAAGCTTCATCAAGGGAATATTTAGGGAAAGCCAGAGTTGGCAATAAGTTCATCTTTCTCTGGTCTTAATAAAATTCCAACACAACAGAACATTCTTATTTATGTACTCAGGCAGAACTTTCCAGTTGAAAATTTTGGAATGGCAAATTAAAATTAACAACAAAATTGTGAAAGTACTACATCCTATGATATTTGAAAAACAAAAGAATGTATTGACCGAAGATGGTAAAATCTATTAGCATACAGGAAGTTGGTATTCTGTCTCAGATATGCGGCAGCCTCCTTTAACTGCAAAGTTAGCACAACCAGGATATTTTCCTTTCCTGGAGTACAAATCAAGGTATAGATATCCCAAGTCGCCCTGAAACAAAATGTCTCGGTTAAATTTGAAAAACGTCAAACCACATGAGCATAAATAAAAGCTGCAGTTTAATATTAGCCTACAGATATGGGGGAAAAAAAGAAGCTGCTGCTGCAAATGTATGTTGCCAGAAAACAAAAAGATTCACTGAGAAGTACATCAAATTTGGCAGTAAAAAGCAACTAATCAACTTTTTAATCATTTTACTGAAATGGCAGAATCAATGACAGCATCTAAAATAACATGAAATGATCTGAATACCATCATATTAACATCAGACAGAGTTAAGGCTCAAAACAGCTAGATAATTAGTCATGTGACGCATGCACAGAAACTGGTCTGGCTGCATAAATGTCTCTGCATGGAGTAGAATTTTATTTACTGAACCTTAAGAAGACAATCTCATGTGTTTGTTTCAACTCCTCTATAGTGAAGTAATATCTCAATTCCCTTCGGCTCAAACAAGTCCAGTATGAGTCAACCATTAAACTGAATGGTTGTTGTATCCCTTTGAGTGCTGATACCAAAGATTTGAAATGGAACTTAATTTAAAGAAGATTTAGTAAACCAATTACGACAGGTTATGCATGAACTTTCTTAATCCTGGAGAGGGGGAATCAATATTTTGACAAATAGAAGGATATATTGTCATCATGAACTCACCAAGAATAAGCCTGGAAACATGTTAACCAGTCAAACTCATGTATAATTCAATGCACTAAATACACACATGAGAACAAGGCACAAGAATAGTTGAATTGTACAAACACGTACAGAATTATTAACATTTTTGTTAGAATGGTTTACAATACCCATAACTTTGGACTTAAAATCTTCCACGTATATACCTCTTCAGGATGATGAAGAGACATTTTAAGCACGTCAGGGTGCCACGATTCACCTGGTGCCATGGGGACATTGCAAAGAGTTGCACCAAATAATGAGTTGACCAGCACTTTCAAACCTTCAATACATTGTGGCAGAGGAAAATATGAGGCTACAATCTGCATCAAATAGGAAAACAAGACCAAGAAAACAAAACCTATCATTTAAAATAGTGATGGGGAAGCATATCAGAAAACAGGCCTTATACTGAGAATATAAAGGTGAAATACTTCCAACTTTAGAAAGTTAACACTCTGCATTCACAATGGCAACCATAAGGATATCTATTTGTGAAAAAGAATTACATAAATAAAAATCAGATGGGTTATGACTTACTGAAGAATCCAGATTATGGGCAGAGGATTTCATCATTGCTGTATAGTACGTCTCATCCCAGGGCTCCAAATCAATACATCTTTGACCACATTTTTCTCCCTTAAAATTCCTAATTGCCTCAAACTCCTACAGGGAAATTGACTGTTCATTTGATTGCAAAAAATGTGACTCCATCCACAATGGCGAAGTATTCTAATCCAATCTTCAAGATTACAACTTAGAGAACACGGTACCTCATCAGCCTTCGGCCTAACCATCCTACTCATTTCATGCAGAAATGACATCACAACCTCGGGTGATGAAGCCAAGTTTGGTTTCACTACAAATTCAGCATAAGATCTGTATCCCATCATCTGCATTGACCAAGTACAACTTTAACTAATATTCAACTGCAAAATTAATGTCAAAATTCAAAACAATAACAAAGATTTCTGAAGTTTTAATTGCTAAAGCACCACTATTTCTGTTTGGCAAAGCAAAATGTATGCTGATTAGAAACACAAAATTCTGAATTGAGTATATATCCACTAGAAGTCTTATATCATGGCCTATTTGTGATTCACACTGAACACAAAGGGACTGAATAAACAACCCAATCTTGGAAGGATGGCTTCTCCAAGACAGCAAATCCAAGGCCTTCACACAGATGCCACAATAAGAACATCAAATGCTTAAAATTTCTTTTCAAATGTAACCACTTGGGTAGACGATCAGTGCCTAATTAAATAAACATGGTTTTCAAACACTTCAGTTACTGATAATAACCTGGGCCAGTTCATGACGAGCTGCAGCAAGCTTATCAAGTACTTCAAGGTTTGCATGTGGGGAAGAGTTTCCTTGGATATATGCCATCTTCCTAACCTGAAAATAAATAAACAAATAAAAAGAAGAAGAAAAGGAACTATAAAGTTTGGTAATAGGGATGGAGAAGCATGCATGTCAAACACTTTTATACAGATGTTCACAAGTCAAGATGCGCCAATTTTCTTCTATTTTGTAACCTAACCGGTCTGGATAATTTCGTTTGCAAAATAATGACTAGAATATCAAAGTGACAAACAGTAAAATCCAGCAGCAAGAGCCACATCATGCAAGCTTGACTTTCCAAACAGGAAGAAAACAAGACTGCCAAATATTAGCAATCAACAAGATGAAAGTACCTCATCATCTGGCACCCAATGCATTACAGAAACTAGAGTACGATGATCTGTTTTTATCCGCAGTCCTTTTTCTTTCATGTTATTCAATGACCCTAATGATCCCGAGGAAGTTCCAGAGGTAAAACGATGAATGGGTTTTAGGAGGTGGTGTATGTGTTTCGGGATGCGAGATGCTGGAAATACATCCACATGACCTGGATCAATGCTAATATTTTCACCAAACCTGACAGAATATGCACAAAAGTATAAAACAGAATAAATAACCAAAGCAGATATATGTAACAAATCAAAGAGGTGATTGAGTCATAGAAGAGCCAATCGAGTAAAAGTGATGCTATAATTACTCTCTACACAGCTGAAGGATGCTTAAATTGAGCTGATTCAATCTAGCTAACTTCTCTGCAAATCAAAACCAATATGTTAATATTCCGTGAAAGTAAAGTTTTAGTAAGGGGGAAATTTTACTATGACATAACTTAAAGTAAACATCTGATTTAACTCTTAACTTATATTAATATGTTTATCATCTATAGGATAAATTTTTCTCCACAAGTGGAAACTTACACAGGCAGTGGAACAGAAAGCCAGCAAAAAAAGGATATATACCAGGAGGGAGATGAATTCCGCCCTTTTCAAAATCAATACGTAACTGATCAGCAGCCCTATGAGCCTGTTTTGTGAGCAAATGTCCATCTTTCTCTGCTTTTTTTACCGCAGCATATAAAATGTGATTCGTATTGAGGTACTGTATGTCAGAAGAGAGCGTGCCAAAGTCAAGAAATAGCCAATCGACTTGCTAGGCAATAATAGAATCAAATAAGAAGGCATGCTGTAAAAGCAATTCAAAAATCAAATAGATAATTGGTCACCTCACATGTAGATATTCATTAATCCTCATTGATGCCTTACCAGCCTCCTCAACAAATTCCCTATCGGTGAATAACAAACATTAAGCACATCTGCTACATGAGACACATGCAGATAAAAGTTGATTCTCAAGTCAAAAAAAAAAAAAAAAAACACCTGTCTGGATGAGTATTTCTACAAAGTTCTGCAGAATCCACAGCACAACATACCTATCAAATAAAAAACACCACAATCATTCCAAGAACTAACAACAAGAACAGCACAACAAAGAAGCAATAACCCACTGAACCGAAAGATTACCGTGTTTGAAATCTCATCCATGGCTTGTACAATTTCAGCTGAGGAAGGCATACTGGAAATATAATTAACCAGCTCCCCTGACCTAACAAACCCGAAATTCAACTTAAAATTTGCAGCCAAAAATCAATGTAAGTTTGAGGTCAAAACTTCAATAGAGAAAAAGAATGAGCTTTTAAGTTCAAAACCCTTTCTATTAAGTTGCCAAGGAACAAAATAACATGGTTAAAAAATTTCATGCTTTACAACATCATCGTTGTGTAATATGCTTATTATTTTTTTTTAACTCACACACCCAAGGTTACTAGCAGAACTAGTCTACTAGGATTTGAACCGTGACTTCTTGCAAGAAACCACTACCACTGAGCTGCAAACTATTTGATAATATGCTTATTTAACCCCCGCTAAGCACAGTCAAATTCAGATTAAAAAAAAATGACTCAGGTCGGATAAAGAAAGCGACTTTACATACAAAACCCAATATTCACTACTATCTAAACTTTTACTTAGAAAACCCATTTCAGCTTTATCATCAAGTTACACTAATCACATAAAAAATAAAAATAAAAACCTTCAAATTTCTTCACTTTCTCACATTTTCTCAGCAACCAAACAAGGGAAAGAAAATAAAAAATCAAGTAAAGTTCAAAACTTGTCTTAAAATTTCGAACTTTTTAATGTTTTTGGTTACCTTTCAATGGCATCATCAACAAAACGTTGAAACCCTTTAGGGGTTTTTAAGTGATCAAAACCGTAGAGTCCCGTGGTTGCGGCGGCTCCGTTTAGCTGAGGTGCGGCGCGGGTGCTTACGTGGCGGATCAAGAGAAGACCCGGATAGAATGATTCGAGTAGGTGTCTGTGGCCGAGCTCCGCCGCATACCGGCGGATTAGGGCTGACATTGCTGTGTCGTGGTGGCAGAGTTGACTCTTTTGGAGAGGCTGTCAAAAGTAAGGTTTTTGAGGGGTTCTGAGGTCTCGGGTGTCTCGAGTGTTTTCGGAGTTAAAGAGCTTCTGCTGTTCTTCCTATTCTTGATTTGGTATTAATTTTTTTCTTTTTATTTTTATTTATTTATCTCAACATCTCTTTTTTTAATGTTAATATGTATTTAAATCTATTTTTATTTATTTTTTCTTTATTCTTTTTCTTCTTCCTCTCTTTCCTCCACCACCAAAAATAAAGAGGACAATTTTGTTGTTTTACTTATAGAGAAAAAATAATGAAAAATCTTAATAATGGATAGAATTCATTTATTCTCGATCTGCCAATAAAACGATTGAATTAATTAAGTAATATAATTTGGCATTTGACAAAAAAAAAAAAATAAATAAATAAAAATAACACAAAAGTTATCACAAGACAAAGAAATGCGCATGATTCTAGCCAAAATGTTAGCCGTAAAAAACACAAATTAGGTCAAAGGCCAACCTTTTCCATCTTCAATCATCATTTTACTTTTATTACTATACATCCAAGTACTACACTAACATGGGAACCCAAAACTACAATGCTTTGGTCATTGCCTAGGTCTAAATCGGAGGTGGTTAAGCTCGGTTGAGGTGGTTGTGGCGGAGATAATTACACTGTAAATTTATTAGCTTTAATTTTTTTTAATTAAGTATATAAATTTTAATTTTTTAATTTAAGCATACTGATTTTTTTTAAAATTGTTAATTAAATATTTTCATTAATTGATGACGTGTCTATTAATTTAAAATATCAAATTATAATTTTTTTTTCAATCGAGCACATGGATTTTAAGTTTTTTGTTTGTATATAAATTTTTTTAAAAACTATTAATTGAGATTTTTGTCAATTTTTTGTTAGTCGATGACGTGTTCGAATACCAAATTATATATATATTGTTAGAGTGAACCTTGTCCCTAAAGTATTCCACCATTTTAAAATTTAATAAAGAATTAAAATATTATTTTTTAACTATAAAATCCCAAAACTAAACTCGGTTAGGCTTACTCGTTAAAAAAAAAAAACTTAGTTCTATTTATGAGTGAAAATTGAAGAAAAACACAAATGAATCATCTTGATAAAAGTCTCAAGTTTGTGTTTCCTTTAATTTTTACATTAAAAAACTATGTGAGTTTTTTTTTAGTAACAAACGTAATTGAGTTTGGTTAGGGATTTCATAACTAAAAAAAATGTTTTTTTAATTCTTTATCGATTTTTGAAATAGTAGAATAATTTAGGAAAGAAGTTTCTTTCAACAAAAACGAGAGAAAAATTACTCTTTGGTATCCAAATGCACCACCGAGTTAATAAAAAAATTAATAAAAGTACTTTACAATTTTGAAAAAATTTGTATACGTTAACAAAAAATTTTTTAAAATCATATATTCAATTGAGAAAAAAAATAGAACAAAATTATAATTTGATATTATGGGAGTAACGAACATTAACCGAAGTACTTGATTTATAGTTTTTTTAAAAATTAATATATTCAGATAAAAAAATTAAAATTTATGTACTCAATTGAAAAAAAAAAAAACTGAAGATTGATTTCCTTATAATGTAATTATCCCAAACAAAAAATGATTCAGTAAAGTCTCACGCTCAATTTTTCACATTTCTAGATTCATCAATATTTCCCTTGTATCTTTCTACTTAAAAATTTTATAATAGTACTCCTGTGTTTTATTAAAAAATGATTAATTTTTAACTTTTCTTTCAATCTCAATATATATATTATAATTTTATGAAAAACCAAAAAAAAAAAAAAATCAAAATCAAATTTAACAATATACTACACATACATCGATTATAAAGAAAATTATCAAGTGGACTTAATTTACCACCAATCCACAAACTATGCCAATAAATAAAAAATTAATAGACAAGGTTGCGAAGGTTTTATACATTATTGTATATAGCCAGACAAAATAATATAAATTGTGTATATCATTACGTAACAATTATTGTATTTTATCTAATAACATCTTATACTCATTGGTCTAATCTAAGAATGAGATAATAGACAAAATATACTTAGTCAGTCATTTATCATGGTTTAGGTCTACCGTTAGGATCTTTTGAAAACTAGAAAAGCAATACTGAAAATATTTAAAATATAAGGATAGAAATGAAATATTGATGAATCTATAGGGATAGAAATAAAGCTTACCTTATCGAAAACAATTAAAAAAAAAAAAACTCTTAGCGGCAAGCACGTTTGAAAGTACAAACTAACAGAAAACCTCCCCTTCATCGTGTCACCCTCTATCTTCCCGCGAAAATCTCACCCCTCTCTCTCTTTCTCTCTCTAATTTTCTCACTCTACACTCACAATGCAATGAAGAGCCTGATCGGTTCAATCAGTACCGATTTACATCCATGTCGACAAACAATCACGACCATGAAGATCCTTCATCATCAGCCTCAAAAACGATGCCGTCTCCTTCTCCATCAACCCTCAATTCCTCCTCCTCTTCTTCCTCTTTCAAACTCCGAAAAATCCCTCCCATTCCAATCCGCCGAAGCCCACTGAACGACACCGAATCAATCAACAATGACGACGGCGACGACACAAATTACCGTGATGAAAATGACGCTAAGGAGAAATTGGGGAAGGGAAATGATAAAGAGGACGATAATACGCCGATAATCATGGCGTCTGCGCTCGGATTGAATCATATAAGGACACGATCCCTTCCGATTCCTTCTCCGCTTAGGTTTTCGTCGTCTGCTGGTACGCCGTCGTGTTTAGGGAATGCCATGTACAAGGAGGATAAAACAGGTGTCGAAATGAGGCTTAACGGATCGTCCCTTGAGCAAGGTAATGAATTAGTTAATTGATTTTTGATTTTTTTTTTGATATGATTAATTCAGATTTCAATTTTGTTTTTGAATTTTCTCTCTGTATTTTTTTTTTTTTTTGCGCCTGTGGGACCATGCCATGTATTTATGTGCAGTTGCGTCAGTCACGATTGTGATATATGTGGGACCCACAGCCCGACGGGTTTGGGTTTCAGATAGTAATTTCGGTTTTTTTTTTCCTTTTTTTTCAAACGTGCATTAGTAAAGGGATTAAATGGTAATGTGTTTGTTGGTGGAGGATTTATGGTGCCTAAGTAGGTCCCTTTTTGCTTTAAATACAGGAGAAAAGATTTCGTGGAGTGAATCGAAACGGTATAGAACTCATTCGCAACTCAATCCAGCAATGGAGGTAATGGATTTGTTAATGTTAGTTATAGTTTGATATGTGGAATAAGTGTGTGTTCATGTTGAGTAGCTTAGCGAAATGAAATTTGTGTTTTTGTAGAGTAATCATTCAGCATTTTTTGCAAAGGAAATCCAGTCTCCGCGTTTTCAAGCTATATTACGTGTTACAAGTGGTAGGATGAAGAAGGCCCAAGATGTTAAGAGCTTCTCTCATGAGCTTAATTCCAAAGGAGTTAGGCCTTTTCCAGTTTGGAAGTCCCGTGCATTTGGTCATATGGAGGTATATTGGCAGTGTGCTCTCTGTTCCTACTTTGTTTTTGTTTGCATTTGTTGTCCATTTGCCGTCTTTTGAAAATTTGATTGTGTGATAGAAATTAATTTGATTCATGAAAATACTAGGAAGCTATGGTGGCAATCAGGACGAAATTCGTCAGGTTAAAGGAGGAGGTTGATTCTGATTTAGGTATATTTGCTGGAGATTTGGTGGGTATACTTGAAAAGACCTCAGACACTCACCCTGAATGGAGAGAGAGTTTGGAGGACTTGTTGGTTGTAGCTCGACAGTGTGCAAAGATGTCATCTAGTGAATTTTGGGTGAAATGTGAGGGTATCGTCCAGAACCTAGACGATAAACGTCAAGAGCTGCCAATGGGGATCATCAAACAAGCGCACACCCGACTTTTATTTATCCTCACTCGATGCACTAGGCTTGTGCAGTTCCAAAAGGAGAGTGGTTATGATGAAGACAAAATTCTGGGTATCCATCAGTGTAGTGATCTTGGAGTTTATCCTGAACAGATAATTGAGATTGCACAGCAGGACTTTAGTGGTCCATTGGTGGGTTGGAAGATAGCGAATGAGACACAGCGAAAGAAACCCCATGGCCATGAACAAGACACTCAAGTTATAAAGCATGATCAAGTAGATCAGTCCTTGGAGGTTGGCACTGCAAAAAGTGTTGATTCAACTGCAAGCAGCTTTAGGATGTCATCTTGGAGGAAACTTCCATCTGCTGCTGAGAAAAATCGGAAGGACACTGGTGTTGTTCAAACACCTTCCAAGGGTAAATCAGAATCAATACATAATAAAGATGATTATTCAGAAAATCTTGAAACTCCAGAGCATCCTCCATCCCCTGGAACAAAAAGAGTTTCTTGGGGACTCTGGGCGGAACAGCACAATGTTACATATGAAAATTCTATGATATGCCGGATATGTGAGGTTGAAATACCGATTGTACATGTAGAGGAACACTCTTTAATTTGTACAATTGCCGACAGATGTGACTTGAAAGGCTTTACTGTAAATGAAAGACTTGAAAGAGTTGCAGAAACTCTTGAAAAGATACTGGACTCATGGTCACCAAAAAGTACACCAAAAAGCTGTAATACTCCAAGAGGAAGTCCTGAGGTTGAAAGAGTGCCCACATCAGGTATACATGAAGTGTCAGATGAGTTATCACCAAAACGAAACAGCTTCTCTTCTCGCTGCTCTGAAGAGATGCTTGAGGTTGTGCCTGATTCTTTTGTGATCGAAGATCTCAATGTCTTTCCAGAAATTTCATGTGAAGCACATCCCACTGTAACAATTGATGTAGGCAAAAAAACCACATCAAGAGGAAGTTTGACTCCACGATCTCCATTATTAACGCCGCGGACTAGCCAAATTGGATTGCTATTGAGTGGACAGAAGACAATAACAGAGCTTGAGAATTGTCATCAGGTATGTAGTTTTGTTAAACTGTTCTTCTGTATGATTCACCCTGGTCTGGGACTGATCTTCCTGTGAACATATGTTGGATATCTTTGTTAATATGGTATCTGCCATAATCATTTTCTATAGCTGCCTTACTATAAGTGTTCATTGGTTCAATAGTCAGCTTTTCGCTTAAGCTTGTTCCATCCTTTTCTGATTAAAATTTCTTCAGCATCAGGCTAGCATCAGTTTATTAATTTGTTTATTTTTTCCATTCCCTTTCTGACAAATACTATATATTCAAATTTGACTATTTAAAGTTTCTACTGCATAGTTCTTTATCCTATATTAGACCAAAAAAAAAAACCCATTAATACATTTCATAACTTATCCTTTTCATCACCGACAAAAATAGATGGTGTTAGCTGTTTCCTATCCATAAAGATTTAGACAATTTGGCATTTTGGTTTTTCTGCAGTTTCCTTGATACTCGATGAAAAAATATTTCTTGATGCAAATTGCTGTATGGATGTGTGCAATGACAAGAAAGCATTTAAATTAAAAAAGAAAAAAAGAAAAAAGAAAATTGTTGTTATATCTAGGGCATACAGACAACAGAGCCAGTCATTGTGCTTTCAACCTTAACTTTTAGTCTCTTTAACCTTTATTTTTCAGTTATATCCTTCACTATTTTCTATGGATGTGTGAGCAGTTTATTAGTGTTCTCTTTCTTGTGTTGTATTCTACCTTTTGATTCTCTCCTCGAGGAAGAACCAATAAATAGTGCAAATGCAGATAATTTTGGTGTCGTAAGCTGTAGTAAGTTGCAATTTCATGTTACCTGCAGTTCAATATTCCTTGTGTTTAAATGAAATCAATTTAAACACTTCTAATTCAGTCACTTAACTTTTTTTTCACCAGCATGAATGATTCCTTTACTAGATTATTGCAAAACTTCATTCTAGGTTATGAAATTGAGCACATGATGAAATTTCAGTGAATTTGGTTGTTTGATTTGCTGTTATTATTCTATTGAGCTCTTTGTATTTGTTTTCTTAATTGTTCTGTTGCACAACAGATAAGCAAGCTACTGGATATTGCTCGTTCTGTTGCAAGTCTAAATGGCAATGACTATAGTGCATTACAGAGCATGCTGGACCGTCTAGAAGACCTAAAATATTCCATTCAGGATAGGAAGGTGGATGCCCTCATTGTAGAGACCTTTGGAAGACGCATAGAGAAATTACTTCAGTAAGTCAGTTTCAAAGTTCAAGCCTTGTTATCAATATGAAGTTTTTCAGGAGGTTTTCTTTGTAATAATAAAACAATTTAGCATCTTATCCTATAACTAAAGAAATCCAACTTTTTAGCTGTAGTTACCATAGCGCTTTATCTTTTGTTTGCGTGTTCTGGCAGTTTGGACTTTAGTAATTGTTTCTGATTATATAGATATTAATTACTCAAAGAGTCCACTAAAATATAAAACAGATTGATGGACAATTTTCATATAAAAACAAATTTATAATGATTGTTTTCTTGCCATGTGCTGATTTCTCAAAAACCTCATCTTTTGACACACATTTAACACTTGATTGAATTACTTATCTTAGCATCCTTTTGAATTCATTTGTTTACTTATTTTTTATTAACCGAACCTTGAATTTAGAAATTAAATAATTTCAGCTATAGAATCAGTGTAAATAACCTAAAACAACCATCACTTTAGTGTTGTTAATCTATTACTTCACCAGTGAAAATTTTATTGTGTTTCTATTTTTTGTTTTTGAATCTACAGGGAGAAATATGTACAGCTCTGTGCACAAATAGATGATGAGAAATCAGACCCATCAAATCATATGGCTGATGAAGACAGTTCTGAGGAAAATGATGCAGTTCGAAGTTTGCGTACAAGTCCTATTAATATGTCTTCCAAAGACCGAACTTCTATAGAAGATTTTGAAATAATAAAACCAATCAGTAAAGGGGCATTTGGAAGGGTTTTCCTTGCTAGAAAAAGAGCTACTGGTGATTTGTTTGCTATAAAGGTTAGCATCGAACAACACCAAGAAAATGCCAATCATAAATATATAAATGCATGTAACATGCTTTCTTAATCTTTATGACTGAATATGTGTATTTAACTGTCTGTCCTCTTGGTAGATATGATATCAGATGGCTAGGCATTTGCATTCTCACATTTTCTTAAAGAATATTGCCAATTCTGATTCAATTCTAAAGAGTCTATACAGTTGCTTCGTTGTCACATATCTTTCTTTGAAGCACCTAATTTCTGTATGTTGAGAATAGGGATTAGATAGGGTATAGAAAGATGGAGGGACGGATGGTACAATGTCTGATTCATGCATAACTGTCCACTACCAAGAAGATGACAAAAACAAGGAAGCTTGGATGATGGGCTGTTCCAGCAACAGGAGAAAGGGTTTTAACAGAGAGAAAAACTAGATGAACAGCAATGCACTGTTAGAATGAAGTAGTATTTTCTTTTCTTTTATTTCTAGATTGCAATGTAATATAGTTTTGTCTTTGGTTTCTACGAGGGAAGAACTGATATCAAGACGAAACTGCATTGCCTTTTGATATAATTGGCTTTTCATTTTGGCCAGCCTATCTTTTTTATTTTTCTGATTCCCTTATTTTGTATTTCTCATCATTTTCCTCTTGAGAAAACAAATGTATCTCCAATTCTTCCTTTTCCCCTGGATCGTTTTCTTTTTTCTTTATTACCTTTGTTTACCATCAGATCTTCTCTCCTAACCAATTTGAAGAGACATACTCAGTCAATTCAAGCCAAGGGATCATATTATGTTGCTTAAATTTGTTAATAATTTCCATCTTGGATTTTTGTGATGTTTCATTATCATTATTATTATTTTTTGTCACTATGAATGTTCATTGTTGGAGACTATTAATGGTGATTTACCACCCTTGTATTCGTTAGCCTCTTGTTTCATTGGAAACCCAGTTATGCTGATGAAATTGAATACCGAGAAATAAATTTGAGTTATTGCTTTCAGATTACCATTACAATTATTCATTACAGTATGCCAGCTGGCATGTAAGTGTATATGCATGTTTGTAAGCTTGGGTGAATTGAATGCTCTTGGAAGGTTAAATGTGGTCTCTTCTTCTTGATGTAATGATTATATACCGAATATTTGTTCCAGGTCTTAAAGAAGGCTGATATGATTCGTAAAAATGCAGTTGAAAGTATTTTGGCAGAGCGCAACATCCTCATATCACTTCGCAATCCTTTTGTGGTGAGCATGCAATCTAAGTCATACACCCATTTTATGGGTGTATTGCATGTTACAATGTCATTCTAATGTCTGTGTGATTGTACAGGTTCGGTTTTTCTACTCCTTCACATGCAGGGAAAATCTTTATCTAGTCATGGAATATCTAAATGGTGGAGATCTGTACTCTTTATTGAGAAATTTGGGCTGCTTGGATGAAGACATGGCCCTTATGTATATTGCAGAAATTGTAAGGGCTTCTTTGCATTCCTGTTTCTGTGGCTTTTTTGTTCACATATCAATTTATAAAACTTTCTAACAAATGGTACAAATAGTTGGTTTTCTATTTCCCAGGTTCTTGCTTTGGAGTATTTGCATTCTTTAAATGTCATTCATAGAGACTTGAAGCCGGACAACTTGTTGATTAGTCAAGATGGTCACATCAAGGTTGATATTTTGAAAGTTTTAAGTTCTTTTATTATTTCTTTTCACCTAGGTGGAAAAGGAAACTTCTTCAAATGTGATTTGTGTCTGTCTTCGTGCAAAGCGCATGTGTGTGCACACATATCTATATTAGAAACTAATGGGCTTGCATGTAGAGAGATGTTCGCTTGGTTCAATGTTTCATTTAGAAATGCAGAAGAAAGGCCTGTCTTCAAATTCTAACTCCCAGAATCTTTTACTCCATTAGGACCAACTAACTGGGTATTAAAGGCTTCATTGTGTTGTGGCAACACTGTATTGGTCTGAAATTTTATCGTGCATTGAGTTTTACCATATTTGCTGGCGGATGGTTTTCAAAATAATAGCTGTATGTCACTGCTTATGAGAGATCCATAGATAGAGCAAAGGGAACAAGAATTTTATTCTGTGGCAAGACAAAGTATGGGACTAATGTTCAAGTAGATCTGAAAGTGTAAAATGGAATTGCCTAATACTGTCATGACCAAGATTAGCATTCAAGGGTTACTGTACTGGATTCTTAGATTAAGGTTAGAGGATTTAGTATGCTTGAGAGAATAGGCATGCTGTAGACCAGACAGGATTCACGAGAACGATTTATCCTCATGCTAGGTCCAGTGTTAAAATCTGTCTAATTGGTGCTGTTAGTTTGGATGCAATTATTATCTAGTAAACTGAATTTCATTTGATCATCATTATGTATTGTTATTTTATTTGACCAGTTAGTTTTTCTATTATTCTTATTTCTGTTCCTTTAACAAATGCTTTCAAGAAAGTTGAATTATTGTCCTATATTTTACTGCAAAGAACATTAAAAACAATGCTTTTATTATTTGGACTAGAGTGATTAGTTGATTTTTATATGTACAAACAACAGTCACCATGCTTTAAAAGATGCTGTATGTAGCATTTTAATTGTTTTCTTCTACTTATCGAAGATTTTTTTGCATGTTTTTGAACTTGGCATGATGTTTTTTGACACCTCAAATATCCATTCTGCTACAGTTGACAGATTTTGGGCTATCAAAAGTTGGTCTTATCGACAGTACAGATGACTTATCTGTTCCGTTAGTCAGTAGTACTGGTTTTCTTGATAATGATGAACTAAAAGATCAATCTTCATTCAAGAGAGAAGAGCGTCAAAAGCATTCAGTTGTTGGCACTCCTGATTATTTGGCACCTGAGATCCTTCTCGGCATGGGGCATGGTTTGCAATTTTTTTCTCCTTTAATTTGATAGTGCGTGTATGATGCATGGGTCTGTTTGTTTATTTATTGTATGCTTTTCATCATCGGACGTTACCTCCTTGCAGGTGCAACTGCTGATTGGTGGTCTGTGGGTATTATTCTTTTTGAGCTGCTTGTTGGTTTACCTCCATTCAATGCAGAAACTCCACAGGTAGGTCATCTGAATCTTACAACCTGAACTTTTAAGTAATTTTGGCCAGCAGACTGAAGATGGTTATTCTCCTTTTTAATACTTCCATTTAGTATGAGTTATTGTTGGTATAGGTTAAGTTACTAACTTGGTTCTAGTTACTTTCCTAATGTTTTATTGTGCTTGTAACCATTTCAGTACCTATTTTGTTAATATGGAATGTGGACACTGCACCTTTTCTATACCACAGCGGGGATTGCTGTGCGATAAGAGTTGCTATTTCTAAAATAATTATTCCTATGATAAGTTGCATGTTTGCAAACAGTGTCAGATGGATGTGGCATAGAGATCTTTAATGTTTTGCTTTTTAATTTATCTTTGGCATTTTTATCCATCAAATTGGAACAGAATATGTTGACCTTGTTGGGAAAACTGTTCCTTCTAGTTTCAGAACATTTTATGTGAGTAGTTTGATGTCATACTAATAGGCCATATTTCTTGCAGCAAATATTTGACAACATAATGAATAGAGATATACCCTGGCCCAGGATTCCTGAGGAGATGAGCTTTGAGGCCCATGATTTAATTGATAAGTAAGATCGTGTGATATCCCAGGATATTAATTGTGCTATTTGTTTGAATATTTAATGATCTTTGAAGCATAGGATTTCATTCACAAGATTATATGAGTTTCCGACAAAACATAAGCAAGGACAATTCGCTTTTCATATCAATTCTATTGGTAACATAAGTAAATTATGTTGTTGATATTATCAAGGTCTGCTTTTAATTTATAAACTGTAAAATTTGACTTGAAATATATAATATTTTTCTACATCAATTTCAGATTATTGACAGCAAATCCACTTCAAAGGCTAGGAGCAACAGGAGCTAGAGAGGTAAACTCTTTACAGTCACTGATGAGACTTATTTACAAGCATAAATGAGTTGAGAATTAAACAGGTCAATTGCTGGCAGGTTAAGAAACATTCTTTCTTTAGAGACATAAATTGGGACACGCTTGCGAGGCAAAAGGTCGTCTTAGTTTGATGTTTTTAAAAATACTTAAGTCATTTTTTTCCCCTTTTTTTTAATAGAAGTTACCATCATGCTTAAACACTTGGTAAGTTCTTTTTGCTGCAGGCTATGTTCATTCCAACAGGAGAAGCACATGACACAAGTTATTTTATGAGCCGATATATATGGAATCCAGAAGGTGAAAATGTTCATGGAGGCAGTGACTTTGAGGACCTGACAGACACATGCAGCAGTGGTTCATTTAGCAATACACATGATGATGATGTAAGTACATATTGCTGTTGAATATTGCATGTCTCTTTGCACATATGGCTTTGAGTTCATTGGCACTTGAACATAGCTCTAATCTCATTAGATTATAATGGTCACTTCTATTGATTTGGTTTAGAAAACTATTATTATCAATATGATGTTTTTTCTTTCTTGAGCAACAAGATGACTGGAATTGATTTAGAGAGAAGGTTAAATTCTCAATTCAATTAAAAGCTTCATTATAAAACATCTTGGCATAATAGCAAGAGAATGAAATTATTCGGGATGGGAACTCGTACTTAAAGCTTATCATTGGTGATTGTAGAATGGCTTAAGAATTCTTCCACTTTGAATTGATTTAAATTGATGTAGGTGATATAATACAATCATTGCAGCTTTATGGGTGCTTTGTCTTATGATTTTACTGTTTTATGCTAGGGGGATGAATGTGTTAGCTTGGCAGAGTTTCATGCTCCGACTCTTGACATGAAGTATTCTTTTAGTAATTTCTCATTTAAGGTGAGCCATGCTAGATATTATTCAACAAAATTAGATGTTGTATGAAACTGAAATCATCTCTCTCTTCTTCTTTTTTTGATGAAATCTTCTTCAGTTTTCCTACATGCTTGCACAATGTATCAATGGGTCCATAAATTTCTTCTGTTAAAGAGTTCTATTAATATGTTTTAGAAGCATTCTCATTAATTTCTGCAGTCGTTCTTGCCAAATGAGTTTTGACTTTCCCCATGAAAGTTAATGAGTATTGAGTACACACTATATAGCTGTAATTGAATGGTGAGAAATAATTCTTCACGTTATGTCAAGCTCCTAACAAGTCTAATGCCTGCTTGTTGAGTTAATTTTGCAGTTGAATTAAGGATTTACTTCTTCTTTTTTCAGAATTTGTCTCAGCTGGCTTCAATGAATTATGATCTAGTTATTAAGAGCACAAAGGAATCTGCAGATGCCTTCAAACCATCAGTTCCATGACATTTTGACATGGTTGCTTTGGTGAATATATATGCTTCCACGACCCAAACCAATTCTCCATTTGCTACCTGCTGAAGTTCCTCCCAGAAAATTTTACACAGTTGCTTTACATGGTCAGTTTCATTTTCAATTCTTTGATCTGAAAATTTCAGAAAGAGGCGTTCCTTGAATGAGAGAAGAGTTTGAAGAAGGATCCTATTAGGAACCCTACATGCCCCACTTTACAGGTATGGAGCAGCCAAACAAAATGATGCTTCTACTTTTGCTCATCTCATGGCATTTAAGCTTCAGCAAAAAAAAAAAAAAAGTGGAGTTTTATTGCTGCAGCCAACAGGTCATGGACATTTTTGTTATCGCCACTTATTTCTGTATATACATAGATCCTACTTCTTAGTAAATGAAATCTTTTCTTGCAATTTTTTTTCTCGAGTTCTCCACAATCTGAAAATTTTGAGAAGATATGTTGGGATCCTAACATACGATTGCTTTTGCTTTCTGCAATTATTGTGGTCTTTGGTAGCGAGCACTGGGCCAAAAGAAGGACTCTTTTGGAGCTTTCTCCACCTGCATTGCATCACTAACTATTGATAATCAAGTGTAGTGCCTTTGCAAAAGTGCATTTGGATTGAGAAGTCATCAATTTGATGCTTTTTAGGGTGTTTGTCAATGGTTTTAACATTTTCATATCAAAACATTCAAAAGCACCCCCAAAAGTATCAAGCACATTTTGAAAATCACTTTCAAACGCATTATTAAACATAGCTTAAATATCTTTTTGTTTTTCTTCCCCTACATGTGACGTAAGGAGTGCCTTCTATGAATCATAGTCCTAAGATGTTTCGAGTGACTCAGCTCTAGCTTTCTATGCATTGAATATTTTACTTGGCACTTTTGTGCAGTGGATAGATATTAAGTGAGACAAGTACATTGTAGTTTTAGGGTTGATCTCAACTTTTTGAAAGTAGGTAGGCAAGGTCTAATTATTAATTTTTCTGTGAATGATTCTGCAATCCATAAAAGCTTTTAGATAGTGAGAGAAAGAAATGTCATTTGCTCTTTCATTAGTCAGCTTGGATAAACAACAAATGCTACAGTTGTCTGTTAGCTAAGTCACTTTCTTCGTTTCTAAATTAACTTGGTGGTGGAACTTAAAAAGAGATATCAATCTGTTTAGGTGTAAAGTACCACTGTGTAGCTTCCATTATCAAACAAAGCCAATAGGTTCAACTAACTCAGGGGAAATCATGATTATTTTTTGTTACTTTCATTATCTTTTTAATCTTACTTGAAGTGGATTTGGCATCAGATGTTTCCCATTCTAGTTGATTTGAAATGACTCCAAATTTCCTGTAAGTTATAATTTCAGGAACAAAAATGCCAAACATTGAGAAAAAAACAACTAGAAAGAAACATAAAGAATACCCAAGTCGTCGGATCATGATTTTATTATGGACTTAATTAATGTGGGGCTTGCTAATCTAGTGACCGATATGTATTCTTTTTTCTTATTTTTCTTAACATTGTTTTACTTTTTCAAGAAATATCAAATATTAATGAATAATGCTAATTTCATCGAAAGATTCTTTCCGAAAATTACAACCATTGATTTATGGAATCCATTACTGGGACATTAGATTTTTTATGAAGTGATTCTGAGAAGAATATTAGTAGGTAAAATTAATAGTTGTTTTCGGTGGATTTAATTGATGCCTTGCAATTCCTCTTGAATATACCATATTCAACTTGCTGTGACCTCTTGAATTTAGGAACTTCTTTCTCTTCCTCTCTTTGCATAGGGATGGCAATGGATCGGGTATAAAATGAATATCCGTTTTATTTGGCCTAATAAATACTCATTAACACTATCAAATGGGTATTGAAATGGATAAAGATAAAAAAAAATACTCGTACTCACTAATATGGTTTCAAGATAATGAGTACTCACTCTTTATCCTATTAATACTCATCAATTTATTTAGATCTTTTTATTAACATACAAGGATCTAATTGCATAAAATTTAAAAATTAAGGATCAAAATATTTTTTTCAAAAACTTTGAGGACCAAATACTTATAAATAGATAAATAACCAAAATGCAAATAATAATAATAATTAAATTTTAAGGATAAAAACTTTTTAAAAAAATTTTAAGGACTAAAATGAATATTTTTGATAAATTAAATTTAATAGGTATTTAATAGGTATTAAATGGACAGGTAAACTATGATAGGTTGAGTAAAGATTTATATAGTAATTTTTTAATTATTAATATATAGGATATTCTTTTTATGGATAGGATAAAAAATTAAATTAATGGATTGGATATTCATCCATCGCTATCTATACTTTTGCAAACGTTGACAATGAAAATTCAAAAACAAGTAAGATCAACTTGCAAGATAAAAAATAAGATGATATAAAAAATTAAATTAATAGATCGGATATTCATCCATCGCAATCCTACTTCATGATACTTTTTCACTCTCATGCTTGGGACGATTGCATTTTTTACTGGTTTGTTTATGGAGCATAGCACACTCAAATTCCACAACCAAAAGTAGCCATCTGATTTAGAGTTCCACTTTGGTTATCCTTTTGACATTAACGTTTGAAGATTACGAGCACTACTGGCTAAGATTATGATTTACGTTACCATCACAAACAATTCTTGTTGCACTCTTGGATATAACATTTAACACTAATTATTAAAATATATTTACTAGCTGATTTTTGTGGTTTTGACTCAAATAATATACCACTCCTATGTATTTGCTCCAGTGTCTCGGGACTTGACCTCTAGAATGCCCTAATTTTTTTTTTCTTCCAATCCAAAAACTAGTTATGAAAGAAAACAACTCCTATCTTATCATCATCAATAAAAAGTCAGAATGCAAAGAGGAGTAGATGCCCAAAGCTTAAAGATATACGCGATCATGATATGAACTAAGACTGGTCATGAAATCTACACATTGATCTCCCTTTCATGGATAGAATGGACTATGCTGAATACTCTAAACATTAAAACAATATATATATATATATATATATATATATATGGTTTTTTATACGTATTAAAAAAGTTATTTAATTATTATAGTTTATCATTTTTTGTTCACAATTTTTTCAAAATATTCTCATTTCAGGTGTCGGTTTCTTATAAAATATTTTTAAATTAAGAATGATATATATATATATATATATATATATTAGAAAAAATTAAAACAAAAGAGTTTTTTTTTTCTTTTCCGGAACGGAGGTAGCTTAATACTAGAATATTATCGGCAACTGCATAAAGTAATAAAATTGGCTACTAATTACAACATCTAGTTGTCAGTGCAGTGATCCTTTACAATAAATTTTAATAAACTAATAAGTTATTATTCTAGTAATAAACAAATTGATCTTTAAGAGAATTTTTTTATCAATATACAAGATTTGAATCTTGAAATTATACTTATTAACAAGGGTTAAATCTTATTATTTTTTGTTTCGAACATAATAAATTTTATCTCTAATGTAGGGTAGAGATACATGATTTAAAAAAGAAAATTAACAAGTGTCTCTTCCTAAGCAAGAAGGTCATTTTTTTTAAGTCCTGCTTTCATAATTGAATCGAATAAATTATAAATTAGTCATTTTAGTTTCAAAAAATAAATAAATTAATCTTTTTCATTTTAAAAACTATTATTTAATTTTTTAATTAGTGTTGATTATGTTGAATTTAATATTATTTTTGTTTCATAAAATTTCTTATTTTCTCATCAATATTTTCATGTTTTTTTCTTTTTTCTATTTCTTAAAACAAAAAAAAATTAAAAAAGAGCAAAAAGAACTAATTAAATTAAAAATAGATTTCAAAAAATGAAGACTAAATAATTAGTGTTTTAAAATAAAAGAGACTAATTAATTCATTTCTCAAAATAAGAGGGACTAATTTATAATTTACTCTAATTGAACGAAAGTAGCAACACTTTAAGCATTTCCTGGAACAAATTAGAATCTTGGAAGTCCTTTTTTCGTGGTCCAATAGAAAGCATTTATTTATAAGGAGAAAAATGATTGGATAGAATCATTATAATAACAAGTTGGTACATATTTCAATATTCCATCTAATTTCCTTGAAAGAACATGTAATTTTGTCTTGCAATAATTATTTTGAAAAAAAGAAAAGTAAATGAGTGAGGTTATCCAACTTAAGTCTTTATACAACAATTTTTTTTTTTTTTAAGAAAGGTTTTTTTTTAATGTTCAACCTTTTAATTTTTTTTTTTTTCAGTTTTGTCTTTCAAACGTTGATTTCTAATGATTTGCCACCTAAGTTTTGAGTCTTCATTTGTTTTGATATTCAATTTCACATGAAATCCAATTTTATTGACGTGTCCGATAAAAATTATCACGTAACTCGTCAATTCTAATATTAAATTAGGTAGCAAATCTTTTGCTTTCACATATATATATATATATGGTTTCTTAAAATTTCCTTTTAAATATTGAAAGTTATGTAATTTTAAATCCTAAAAACATCAATAATCATATGTATGCATATTTTCGTTTATGCCATGTCCTCTTAGCCTTTGTCATGTAAGCATTTCCATAACCATATATATAATTATTTTCGTGCTAATCTCGATTCACATATAAATTAATTTGATGATAGTATGTTTATCTTTGAATAAAAAGGAATATATATATATATAAACCATAAACTTTCTTTCATTTTAGTGTTGTGTAAAGGTTGTAGCACTATAGCCGTTCGTCTGTTAAATCACTTCCTGGTGGAAATTAATTAAAAAATATTAGCAGGGCGGTTGTGTGGTCTGCAATCAATTAATTGCTAGAATGGGAATGCATAAGTTTAAAATTGCAAAGAGTTTGCAATAAATTGACGAAAAAGATATTAGAAGGCTAGCACCAATTAATATAGGTTGATTAACAGAGGAATCCATTGATTACAGAGGTAAGTAGTTTGGCAACTCAATAGGGCAAACATTATTATAATATATTTGGTGCATGGCAGTGACAACACAGATTTTTCAGTTCAAGCTTTCTTGAGAGCAACGACTCCTCCAAATTTCTTGCACCAGATAGCATCAACTTTTATTTTGAATAATGCAATCAACCTTTCTTAATTGGATTCTAATCTTTGATGGATAGAGATAGACTTTAATTGTATGAAATAAATATACTTTTTTTCTGTCTTATATATATATATATATAAATAGCTAGCTCAAGATACAATTAATATATACACAAAGAATTGTGGATTTTTTATATAAAAAAAGTGTTATAATTAGGGATTGTTTTGTATCATTTACAGTTTTTATTTTCTATTATTTATTTATTTTTTTTAAAGTAATTAATTATAAGTTATTAAAAAAGAAAAAGAAAAAATAAACCTTAATATCAATTCTTGGAAGTCATGAGGGTGAAGATACGTACATTGATTATTAAAAAAAATATATATATATATATTCTTATCGTCTAACCAAAAATTAAAAAAAATGAAGATATAATATGATATATGATCATGCGGAGCGTGGTGATATTGACATGCAAATGATATAGTTGTTGATATGTCCAGTTGATTACAGCTATGTGATAAATTGTAATGTAGATTTATTAATTAGTATATATAATATGATCATCAGATCGATCATTTTCCAACTTTCAATGGATTTGTAATTTAATAATTTTTGGATGGGATTGAATATCTATCCAAAGACTTCTATTTTAAGTGAGAGGGCCTTATCAATGGTGTTTTCTAGATTATTTTTTGGTTCAAATATTCATCCATCAACATATTCTTCTCCCCCCGTCATTATATGCATATTTTCTATACTCTAAAAAAAAAAAAAGCCAATATTTTAAGAAAAACTTCATTTTTTTCATTCTCAATGTATTGCCTAATTTACAATTTCGTCCCGTTAGACAATATTGCTAAGTTATGAATATTGATGTGGATAGATGATTTGCAGTATAAGGCGTTATATAGATTTAGTACGACAATCTAACTAGTTGTCCACGTTATAAAAAAAGACACCATCATTTTACAAAATCTAATAAGAAACCATAGTACATTCATAGAATAAGCATCATTATCGAAACACTTAAAATCTTTATATTTGTAATTGTGTTTGTCTTTCTATTATATTTTTTTATTTGATTTGTTTCTTAAAAAATACTGCCTTAGCTTTACGGCTAAAATACATGCGAAAAATACTTAAATTTTTCTTCATAGAGGGGCAATATTGTGTAATATTAAATAGGTTTTCGATGAGATTGAAAAAATTGGTTATTTTTTTAAGAGAAATTGAGAATTGTATACGATATTGAAGATGAGGCTTCCCCTTTTATTATTATCATTATCATCATCACGTACAAAGAGTGCTCCTTCAACCAGACAACTACTTCTTTTATCCTATGCAATTACAAGCGGAAGCCATGAAGTTTCTCTGGCTTCAATCAGTCAGCTAATAGTACATGCTAGATTAAGTACATCATGTTGTATTAATATACAACCATTCATGGAAAACGTTGCAGCTAAATAAGTATGTGGCAATTTTGGGCTACATGACACAGCACTTCCATCCCCAATAGCCTTAACCTTTTCCTCGAAGGAACTAGCTAGCTGAAATTTTGGGAGCTTTCTAATTACAAATGTTACAAGGGTTTTGAACTCTTTTTGGAGTTTGATGAAGGAAAGGAAAATCATTATTTTAACCACTTTCAATATCTCCCTTTCCCTTGTTCTTTTCCAAGATTTCCTTGTTCTTTTTCAAGATTTGAGCAGTGGGATGAAAACAAAAAATTTAAGTACAAGACTAGAAACTAAAATTCAGGAAATCCTTGTGCTTCCTTCCTTGTTACTTGGATATACATGAGGCAGTGCATTGATTTCAATGCTTGCCACTCATATCTAGGATACTCAAGTCCATGTCACTGAAGCAACTAAGTCCAAAGAATTCATCTCCAAGATCCTTAGAGTCTAAAAACCATGGAGAGTTACTGTCCTCTGATGAAGAATTTGATACCCCAAATTCACTAAAATCTTCTCTAGTGGCTTGGAAGTTCCAAGATGTATCATCAAGAAATGCCTCTGACCATATGTAACTCATTAGTGGATCGTTGTCACTGTTAGGTTCTGATGACCTACATTCATCCACTGATGATGAATTTTCAGTTGGCGTGGTAGTGCTTGAATTATCAGTGCTAGAGGAGGCATGACCACTAGTTTTGGGCAGAACCTGCTGATCATGATCAGTATTAAAATTGGGTTGATCATAATTAGCGTCACAAGGTACTGTACTTTCTTGTGGGCTAACTTGTTTCTTGAGAGGCTCATGTGTCACTGGATCAATACCCATCTTAATTAGCTTTTTCTTAATGTGAGTATTCCAGTGATTCTTGATCTCATTATCTGTTCTTCCCGGCAATCTTGCTGCAATTTTGGACCACCTAAAGCAAATGAAAAGTGAAACAAAGTGTCATAAAAAGACAAGGGACTTTCATACTATTTAATCCCAAGTTCCATAGTATCGGTATGCACTAAAATATTAGTAAATTGATATTATCATGTGGCAATCTTTTGTTTATGATTAAAAATGTTAGTTAATTCACGCACTTTGTGCACTCATAAAGTTGAAGATTCTAAATTTTGTGTCACTAGTTGGAAACCTTAGTTCTCTATAGGCCAAGACAAAAAGGAAAGTCCATGGGATCAAACCTAATTGTAGATGATGGCTAGTGACAACTCGATCCTCAAATTATCACATCTCATATTGATGTTTCATGTCGAATGCCAGAAAAGAAGATTCCTTAAGCATGTGATGATGCAAGATGAATAATCTAAAAATTAACTTTGCCTACACTTTTAATTAATTATTTGCTTAATAGCTAACCATTTAGCAGCTTGAATCATCCCATTATGAGTCTCAAGCTAAATCATATTAAAATGCAAGAACCCACAAAAAAAAAAAAAAAAAAGTTGGAACTTTTCTGTTGTTGTTGTGTCAAGCTTCCCTTGTATTATAGATGGAAGCATATACACACACATTCATGAGAAACAACACTTCCATTTTTCTTTCTTTTCATATTTTGGAGGAAAAAAATTTGAATTTAGGCCTCATAAAGTGGTGTAGTTACTAACTATGAAATCATTGGATTAAATGTTATTTGTGTTAGTGAAGTTTAGTATTTTTTATGGTCTTTAAACTTGAAAGATGTCTTAAAAATTGTGATTTCATCTTTTTATATATATATTAAAAAAATCAAAACTAAGTCATGTTTATTTCATGTGATGTGTAAAATGAATCTAAAAAGGAAACAAAAGGAAAAGAAAAGGCAAGAAGCATGGTGTAAAAAAGAAGTTAAGCGTGCATGATTGGAAAAATATTCAAACAAAAATGACAGAAATTATGACACCAATAATAGAGAGAAAGCTTTTTGATATTGAAATTTCTTAGTCGCAGAAAATGATCCTCCCAAAGCATGCTATTCCATAAGTCAAAACTCAAAGCCAACCATGAATAGTTAATGCTAATGGAAAGGTAACAAACATGAGACATGAATAAAGCATATAGTTAACAACGAAATGACAAGGTGATATGTAGATAATAGCTACCTATTGCCAAGGCGGGCATGGAGATCAATGACAAGTTGTTCCTCATCCTCGTTAAGAAGGCCTCTCTTCAAGTCAGGCCGGAGGTAATTAGTCCAGCGAAGACGGCAGCTCTTGCCGCATCGACGGAGTCCGGCGAGCTTCGGCACAGCTCGCCAGCAACATTGGCCATGTGTGAGAATAAAATTGACCAACTTCTTGTCTTCCTCAGCTGTCCAAGGCCCCTTCTTCACACCAAGTTTGTCACAACAAGGTTGTCTACCCATCACTATAGTATCAAGTCACTACTTGCTATATCACTCCTAGAGAGCCAAGCCCCACTCACCCACCTTTATATACTAGTGATTTCTCTTGCTTCAGGCCAAATCAAAATGTCAAGGAGGTGAACATATGCCTCACACGCCTATTCTGTGTATGTGAATCACAGTTTCTAGCTAGGCTAGGGCTTGGCATGAAACTTTGTTCATTTTGGTGATGTATCATATCCCACACTATTAATAGCTCTCTCGTGTCAAAGAAATGGGGGACATTTTATAAATAATGAATTTGATTTTTTTAATGTTCACATTTTTCTCGACTCATGAGAATTTTTTCTTTAATAGAAGACCAACGTGAGTCACATATCTAATCTAATCTAATCCAACGATAAAATAAAACCAAATTTTTATTTTTTTAAAAGATTTTTTAATTATTATATAGCGGTTATTTCTTCGTAGTCGAAAATGAAATGATAATTGTCATATCAAATAATTTGAAACACTTGTACATTCAAAATTAGGTCAAAGCAAACATTTGAAAGATGATTATTTTAAATTAGAGAAGGGAAAAACATTATTGGTTATAAGAGTTTTTTTGCGTGAAGGGATGACATGCTAACAAGCACATGAAAATCAATATAATACTTATAATATATAATATGGTTAAGGAGGATTTGACCTACATAATCAAACCATGTCATCAATCATGAAGGAAAAAAAATTATAGAAACAAAATAAAATATAACATATTTTCATATCAAGATTTGAATAATAGTTGTCATTCAAAACTTCATAAAAATAAATTAAAAATATAATATAATATTCTAGCAATACATACATTATTATTATGTTATTTGTGATTAAGATGTATTTTTTTAGCAAACTATTGTATATAAAGATTGATTTTATCTCTCTAGTACGCTTAAAGATAAATCATTTATTCTAAAACGATGAAATTCATGTAAGTCAATCCAACTATTCAAAACCATCATTAATTTTTTTTTCAAGTGTTTAAATTTTTTATACTAAATTAGGTATTCAAAGAAAAAACACGATATCTTAATTATCATAAACTATGCATTATATGGTGTGAATTATAAATGATTGTATTCAAGTCAAACATGACCATTTATCTTCCGTAGAAAATGCCCTTTCTAAATAAATGGCACTAATTAATTGCACTCTTGTCATGAAAAGAAAATGAGATTTCCCTTTCTCAATAAATTTTATATTATTTTAGAATTAATTTTGAATATTTACTCCATAAAATAAAATAGAGATAGACATAAAAAAAAGATAAAAATTACCAAAAAAAAATAATTTAAGTTTAGATAAAAGTATTCTTATCAAAAGTCTTCCGGTACATCAAATTCTTTTTTTTATCTATTTTTCTTCTAAAAAATAAATACATAAGGTAATTATTATAAATATACCATACTTAACATTCTTGAATTATTTTTAAAAATTTCGTCTTTTCTCTTCCGCCTTGTACCCGTCCCCTTAAACCTGAGTGTGCTAGCATTTGATTAGAGCGTGTGTTCACGTGCCTGAATGGATGTAGGCAATTTACATGAGGCGCGGAAGAAAATGGGCCCACCATAAGCTTCGTGAAAGGAGCCCACGACCTAAAAAATTGACATGCTCCTGTGAGTTTGGCTCCATTGGTAGGAGGGTCCATGATAACGACGGTACACAACTAGATGGACCAACCGGAAGTTGACACCCTAGCATTCAAATTTGCCTTCTCCATTTTCTTACACAATCTAAACAACCTTATTTCTTACTCGAGCATTGCATCACCCCTTTCGTCATCACCATTGTACATGACAAAAACAAGTTGGCTTTCCCGTAGCCCAATTTGGACTCAACATAAAGTAAAAAAAAACCTAAATGGATTCAGATTTTCTTCAGTTTTAATTTATTTAAAAATCTTGACTTTTTTTTTGTATGTTTTATGATTTAATACATTTTTTTTTATCATATTCAATAAGATTTATCTCGAATTTCTCAAAAAAAGTTGTGATTATTCTAGGTTATTTTCTTCTTTTTTTAGTTTTAAATGTTAAGAAAATAAAATAATATACTTTTCGATTTTGAAAAATTCTAATTTTTTTTTTCAAAAAATGTATTTGATATTGTCCAACGCAATGTGTAAAACTTTAGTTCAAAATGATAATTGAGGATTGATTAAATCTTTAAAAAAAAAATTCACCAAATTTAGAAACTGATTTTAAGGTGAATTAAAGTTCAGAAATTTTTTAGCCCATTTAGCATAAAAACATCACCAACCCATGGTTACCAAACAACAACTACAAAAGCACGTTTTGATAATGGTTTCTAAGGTTAGTAGGATTTCAAATTTTTCTGCACCAAACAGATTGGAATCTTGTTCTTGGATGTATGTCACTCAATATTACAGAACTTGCAGTTAGTCAATCCATTAGGTAGAAATGGAAGGCAATCAAGGAGAAAAGAAAACAATAATAGACTAATGCTAACACAATAATATGAATAAGCCAAGTCAAGATGTGCATGAACAGATATATAATCCATACGATAAGTCAATTCAATCAGAAACCCTAATAGCTTGGCAAAGTAAAAGTCTGTTGGTACTTTTAGAGTAAGGTTTGACTTTGATGATGAATGAATTTATTTTTTATATTATTATTTCAATTTAAAATTGTTCTTGAAAATTTTTGAAGTGTTTAATATGTCATTTCAATAAAAATTTTCAACCATGAATTTTTTTTAACCAAAATATCTTTTACTAAAATGTGAAAAAAAAATACTTAAAATCACATTACTTGCACATTTCATTTTAAAAATCTTTATTTATTTTTTTTTCATTTCAATCATGAGCATTTCAGTTTTTTTTTTAAAAAAAAAAATTGATCGAAATAACAGATTGAACATTTCACTTTCATAAACAAACGGAATGTAATTAAAAACTTAGATACATATCAAAAACTTTGAGTGTTATTTAAAAATATATGAGTATATTTATCCTTATATTTAAAAAAGAAATTGCCAAAGTAATTTTTTTAATAACTATACAAGTTAGAAATAAAAAAATAAAAAGAAAATGATTTGGAAAACTCTTAAAAGGTATCAAACACCGACCATTTGGACTACCACCCAATTGGTGAATAGAGTTAAATACAGGAAAAAAAGAAAAAAGAAGAAGAAGAAGATTACTTTATTAGTTCAGTGATTTATATTCCTTTTTTAACAGAGTTAAATATTTAAGAATATGATTAAGGAGTGTGCATTATGAACATGCTTACCTTATTTACCAAGAACTTCATGTTCAAAACTTAGCACTCTACTGATAAATTAAAACATTTCTGCAGATTCCAAACAAGAATTCGGTAAGGTGTGCACATGTATGAACATGCTTACCTTATTTACCAAGAAATTCATGTTCAAAACCTAGCTATTATTCTACTAATAAACTAAAACATTTTTGCAGATTCCAAACAAGAATTCGGTATGGTTCTTGTTTTCTTTCTACGGTGATTTTTAATTCCCAGGAAATAAAATAGGAAGAGAATCTGAATCTCGTGCCAAAACGATGAATAAGTTTACACAAATCATCTTGTTCATCAAAACTCAAAGATTCCATCGCATCTGATCTACCGACCATACATATGTTATTTTAATTTTCACATCTAACTAATTAATGATGTAATGTTTGAGTATTGAAATCGTCATAAAACAATCATTAAACAACAAAGATTAAAAAAAATAAAAATATTATCCTTTAAAAGGCAATCAAAGAAGATATGTCCCGATTTTTTTAAAGTTATTGAAAGTTCATGCATACATCTATACAGACAATCAAAATTTTATGGGATGTTTTGGTTGGTTTAATGTGTAGAAGAAACCAAAAGTAGAGTTGTCACGGCCTTTGAGTGTTATGTGGGCAACACCTTTTCAATTTCCTCCATGCAATCTATATTTCTTGTATGGGCAGAGTTTGGCCTCCCTTGTGCTAAAATGAGGTGGACTTGCTGCTAGGGATAATAAATTTTAATGTTCCATCAATGGAAAAAGATATTGAACCAGCCAAAATGTTTAGTTTCTTGTTCAAATGAATATGATTGTGTGATCAAAAGTTGTTGATTCTTTTTTGACTTTGGTTGTGGTTGGTATTGGAGGGTTAATCACCTAAAGGAATGTCTAATTTGTGTTCACACAATCTTACTTCATTATGATGATAAATAATTTGCATAATATAGAAACTATATATTATTCTATAGGTGGCTAATAATGGCGGAAGGAAATGCCAAATTAAGTTGGTAGCCTGCTAGTACGAAAACGTCGGCTTATAAGTTAGATTCACTGTTTAATTTTTATGATTAGTATTTTTGTGGTTGGTATTGGAGGGTTAATCACCTAAAGTAATGTCTAATTTATGTTCACACAATCTTAATTCATCATGATGATAAATAATTTGCATAATATAGAAACCATCTATTATTCTATAGGTGGCTAATAATGGAGAAAGGAAATGTCAAATTAGGATGGTAGCATGCTAGTATAAAAACGTCGACTTATAAGTTAGATTTAATATTCGATTTTTGTGGTCAGTATTTTTTGAAATTTATTCTCAAAATATTAGAAGTCATGTATTGAGAAATATTTTTTAATCACATTCAAAAAAAAAATTAGTCTCGAAATACGTAAAAACTAATTCAGAAATGTCCTTATTGTTGAAAAAAAAAATCAAATCCCATTTGCGCCAATTTGTATGAACCATAGAAGAATGAGATACTATAAATTATTTAAAAATAATTATTTCATGATGTTTGATCTGTATGAAAAATAAGTGTTTAAAAGAAAATTAGGAAAATTAATTAGTGTAGGTCCTATGATTTAATGATAAAAAAAAATTCGTTAATGTTTTATCTCTTAAGAATTGTAAGTTGTTTTCCCTTGCTTGCAGCTTATTTATTATTATTATTATTATTTTTTCATATTTTTCATTGAGCAAGGTGCTTTTTTTTTTTTTAAAAAAAAAAGAATGAATCGAACATAAAACAACTAGAAAAATATTTTATGTGAAATACGTGGTAAATTAAGAATGCAGCCTAGTCTCCCTTCAGACTATCACCAGTAAATGGCAAAAAAGTAAAAGAAAGGAAAAGTTTAATGACAAAAATTACTTTCAAAACATTAAATTGTGTCAAAATTATGCTCTTATTACCAATTTAGGTTATTAATTTGAACATCAAATTATTAATTTTTTAAATATTGCTTTTTTCATATATTTTTGACTATCAAAGTTGACTTTAATTTTTTTAGATTTTAAATTATTTTTTAAAATATAATTACTAATAGTCTAAAACGAAAGATACTTTTATCGTGCATTCTACTTGTTCCTTTCACTATTTAATGAACAGTGTTTTCTACTATTTTTTTTTTCGGTTGAACCCAGTAGCCTTTTGGGTTGAACACGGTAGCCCAGCGAGTTGCCTAGCCTTATTTTTTTTCCTTCTATATATATATTATTTGATTTTACATTTATAATAAATTTTTTTTTCTTGACTTTTAGTAAATATTTATGTTTTTTTTGTTCTATTTTATGATATGTTTTTATTTTAGTCCTTAAACTTTTATTATGTTTGATTTTTATTTTTACTATACTAAAACTAAATAAATTTTACTATCCTAAACCTTTTTTGTACTACTCACTCCTTTTTTTCTTTTTTCTTTTTTTACCCTCACAATATACTATTCACTTTTAGGTGTTTTTTTTTTTTTTGTAATTTTCAAATTATTTCGTTTTGATTTTTTTTTATATAATTTTTAAATTATTTCATTTCAATCCCCGAAATTTTAAAATAAAAATTTTAATCTCTAACCGATGTACTACATACCTTTTTTTTTTGAATTTTTTCATCAATTTATGTTCTTTTTTTTATTTAATTGGGTATTAAAATTTTTAAAAATCAATCGTTATTTGTTTTCATACAAACCGACAATTATATAATTTATATAAATCAAATATATGTATTTTAAAAAAATAATCTTCTCATCAACATTAAATAAAAAATATTTTATTTTTTCATTGATTAATTTTTATGCAAGTCTATAAATTAATTGTAACTTTATTTTTTGGATATATTCTTCTAAAACAATATATTTTTAAAGCATTTGTTTTTATATTCTTAATTAATATTTCAAGTTTAAATTATATATTACAAGTTTTTATTTAGGAATCCCTAAATAAAAAATAAATAAATAATGTTTTTTTAAGAAAAAATTTTATGAAAAAAAATATTAATAATTAAATAAAAAATTAATGAAAAAATTTTAAAATTTTGAAATGATTTTGTTTTATCTATCGTAACATTACGTTGATAATTTCAAAATTAATCTTCTCATCAGCATTAAATAAGAATTTTTTTTCCATTTGTTATTTTTTATAAAAGTTTATCTATGAATTATAAATTTATTTTTTGGAATAAAATATTATGAAAAATATATTTTAAATTTTTTTTTTAATTCGATGAGAAGATTTTTTTCCATCAATAAAGAAGAATGACTTATGTTTTTTTTAAAGCAAAAGAATTTATAAAAAACATTAGAAAAAATTAATTAAATAAGAAATTATAATTAATTTTTTTTAAAAAAATTTAAAATAAGTTTGTTCTGCTAGACCTGCAGACATAGTGCGGGTAATCGACTAGTAATGACTAAAACAAATAACATAATATCTCGCTAACAAACATATTCAGATGATATTCTTGTGAGATACAATTGTCTAATATATGAATAAATTATAAAGCAAGTTTTGAATTTCAAGAAACAAATTAATTACTACTATTTATTTTAAAAATTAATTATTTAATTTATTGAAAACTTTATCCCTTTGACTCATTTTTTATTTATTTTAATTTTTTATTTTGAAAAAATAGAAAATAAATTAATAAAAATGATTGATAAAAAATAACATTTTATGAAATAAAATAATATTAAATTAGACATGATAAACATTGGTTAATAGATTAAATAATTAGTTTTTTTTTAAAAAAAAACCAATAATTTGTTTCCAAAAAATAGAAGAACTAATTTATAATTTAATCCCAATATTTCGAGAAATTTTATAATACACAAGGAGTAACTAGTGGCATGTACAGTAGTTACTCATTTGATCCATTTTGAAGAAAGAGATATACACACAAAAAGAGAGAGAGAGAAAATAAAAAAATTAAACGGACGTGAAAATCTTCTTATCATTTTTGATTAGTATGGATGTAATTTTATTTTTTTATGTATATATCTCTCTCCTCAAAGTAAATCAAAAGAATAATTAATGTATACGTAACTAGTTACTCTTTGTGTATTATAAAATTTTCTAAATATTTCAACAGAGAAAGGGAGGCTGCGACCGAATTTAAAAAAAAAAAAAAAAACAAAAGGCTGTCTCCTTTCTCACCGTCACCAGACACGCTCCGTCTCTCTCTCTCTCTCTCTCTCTCTCCACTGTCATCCAGGACAACCATCTTTCTTAGATTTTTTCCTATAAACCCTAAAATACCTAATCCCAATTCCTTTTCCACATCCAAACACCAATTCAATCGTTGAATCTCTCTCTACAAGATCTTTCGTCTTCGTCGCCGCTGCATGCCACCACCTGCTTTGTTTTACTCTGCCAACACCGCAGCTACCAACCATGTCCACTCTCTCTCTACTGTCATCCATGGCCACCATCACCAACCGTCTCTATTTCCTCTTCTTATTCCCACCATCAACTATAACAACCAACTTTCTCTTTCCTTTCCCCTCCCTTCTGCCACCATAACCACCACCATGTTTGAAATATCCTCACGTTTTGAGTGCTTGTGTTTTTTTAATTGACTTGGTTTAGAATTAATCAATTCCATTTAATTACTTCCTTTGTTTTGTGCTATCTTATTACTGGAAAATCTACGTAATACCAACTATATGATTTTCATTTCATTGGCTAGAAGAGGAGCTTAAGCCCTCTCTATCTCTGGAAATATTGGAGATAATTGTGTATGGAGGCGGTATGTCACGTGTCAAAGGACGACTTGTCGTCTGTTTTTAATTATTGTTATATTATTTTTACCAAAATTAATTTAAAATCTAAAAAAAATGAAATGCTTAAACAATATGGTTTAAAATAATATTTTAGTAAATAGTTAAAGGGTTTAACCGTAAAAAATAATAATATTTATTAAAAATTAATAATTTGGAATTTAAAGAGCTCGAATTGGCAATATCATTTTTATTTTGTCAAAATTAGCTGCATGATGGGCCATAAAATTTGTGAATGAACAAATTGTCGTATCTGACCATGGAATGACCTTGAGAGCCCAATCCACAAGGAACTTATGGACCTTTTGGTGTCATTGAACACCCTCATGTCTTGGGCTTATTACAAGTAAGTCCAAGACAGCATGAGGTAGAATACGAAAATTCTCTCCCTCTTAATTTTTTACCTATATAAATTCCTGTCTTATTATTATTTCAAAGGTAAATTAAAAATAGGCATTTAATTAATAGCAACTAAACATATTTTATAAATGTTTTGCAGAAAAGTAATTCTAAAACAACTACAAACCACAATATATATATATATATATATTACTGATTTGTTCATATTCACAAAAATTAATTGTCATAGTTATCAAAAATAAATTGAAAAAGTGCATCCATCAAATCTCGGATCACTAATTTATCAGGAATCCTAATGGGCAATTATCATGAATTATCGAATGTTTAATATAGTTGTAATTTTTGTAGCATATTAGAATAAAAATTGATTTTCAATACTATTTTATTTACTTTTACGGTAAGATGAAGGGCAATTATTTCTAAAAAAAATTAAAAATATTTTAAGCTGCATTATAAAAAAAAAAAAAAAAAAACAGAGAGAAATATTTCGACCAGAAAATTAGTAAAAAAATCTCGTTTGTGTAAAAAATAATAACAATAATAATAGAATCCCAGTAAGCTTATTTAATAACTGGGACCTAATCACCACACGTAGCCTGCCCAAACCTGCAACCGCACTGTACGGACACGACTATTCTGACTCTGCCTTGAGCAAGAACCGCGTTACTTATTCGACGAAATGCCCCAATGAAACGATTCACCGCAGAAACGCTTAATTTAAACCAGATCACAGAGAGCTAGAGATTGAAGAAGCAAGGAGACATGTTGCGGCGCGTGGCTTCCCTTTCTCCATTAATCTCCACCTCAAAATCAACCTCACTTGATCAGGTACGAGACCCGCTTCTTGAGTTGACAAAAAGATTGCACTTCTATAAATCAATCCTCATTTTGTTTGTTTTTTTTTTGGGGGGTTTCTAACAGGCAGCTTGTGGATTTAAGATTTGGAGATCATTACTTACTACAGAGGCATCCACTTTGGTATTACTCTCATATCTTGTTTGGTTTCCTTTTCAAGGTTAAGAAGCTATATGGATTTCTTGATGTAACTGAGCTAATGATAGAAATGATTTTATTTAGTTTGTATGTACATAAACTGTGAAAGTATTTTGGTGTTTGACTTTTGATGATCCTTCTCTAACAATGTATGAGAAATTTTGTTCATTGCTATTGTTCATGTACAATTTTTGATTTGTTCATTATGTTGGGAATAATGTGCTTTCTAATTGTTGTTTATTTGCAGTTACAGGTAAAAGATGGAACTGCTTCATTCAAAGAGAAAAATCCATTTATAACTTTTGTCCTAGGTAGGTAATTAAGAATCGTGCATTTATAAGTAGTTGTGTTTGTGGGTTCTTTTTTTTTTTTTTTTTTTGTTAATTTGTTTTTGATGAATAAAGATTTAACTACCACATAATAGCACTTTTGAATGCCATGATATGTTTCCCAGACTCAGGATATAATCCAATATAGTGCATGCCTGACCTGTGTGCCCCTGTGACTATATTCGAAATTTTGTTTCAGATTTTTGATTGATTTGAAGTGTCCAAATTTTAGTGCTCATGTCCGAGTAACTGGTAATCATCATGGATACTTTAGCATTAAATGAAGAGTCAAAGTAGTAACTGCACACAAAGCAAGCTTGTGATTTGTGGAAGGTGAAAATGGTGGATGTTTTGGCTTAAGTTGGCTGATGCATATCTAGTAATATAATGTTTCAAGAAAACTGAATGATTCATGAGAGCCTTTGACATGTAATATTTGTGGATAACGTTTTTCCTTTTCATGTTTGGGTGGCTCTTTGGATATTCCATATTTTGGGCAAAGGTTTACATATTTGATATGCTCACTTTTACAACTGAGTTCATGTATCACGTTTTCAAAAAGATTTCGTAACTACTGGTTGCTGAATTGTTCGTATCTGATTTCCTCCTTTTTGTTTAGTAGTTATGCATGATAATTAAATTAATCCCTTACCTTTTCAGGTGGTCCTGGTAGTGGAAAAGGTACACAATGCCAAAAGATCGTCGAAACATTTGGATTTAAACATCTGAGTGCAGGAGAGTTGTTAAGGAGAGAAATAGAATCTAACAGTGAATATTGGTAATAGTTCTGAGTGCCACAGAGTTTTGAGAATATTTTATCAGCAAATCCTAAAATTACATGCAGGGCCTCTGATGATAGAATCAATTTCCAGGTCCCAGATTCTTGACACAATTAAAGAAGGCAGGATTGTTCCTTCAGAAGTGACGGTCAAACTGATCCAGAAAGAGATGGAATCAAGCGACAACTGTAAATTTCTCATTGATGGTTTCCCAAGAACTGAGGAGAATCGCATAGCATTTGAACAGTTAGTGAGTTTCCTTGTTTTTTCACAATATCTTTCATGAAAAATGCAGTTTTTTTGTCCTGATGTTTGCACTGATGTTCGAAGGATCTGGTATTCTGGTTAGTTTTCCTATCAATTTGATTATGATCTCCAGTTATGTTAAAACCCATCAGGTAGAGTAATGGTTTAGCAGAATAGCATGAAAATGCTAAAGGAAACTGAGCAGTGTGAAAATGAATCTTGATTTTGCCAATTGATGATTTGCATCCAGTCAAATGATTTTTGTGCTGGTTGTGGAGCATGTAATCATGTTGGTATTGATGCAGACTGGACTTGAACCAAATGTTGTGCTTTTCTTTGACTGCCCTGAAGAAGAAATGGTAAAACGAGTGCTAAACCGCAACGAGGTGCTTATACATTATGCAGTTTTTCCCCGTTCAAATTATGTAACAACAATTGTTGAATTGTATTGTAATTTCATTGCAGGGACGGGTTGATGATAACATAGATACAGTCAAGAAACGTCTTAAAGTGTTTGAAAACCTAAATCTTCCTGTTATTGACTACTACTCCAAGAGAGGAAAGCTTCATAGAGTAAGTATTTGGAAACTTAAACTACCATATAACTCAGTGGCCATGGCTATCTTGTTTCTTGCCTTCAAGCTTGTCCTTCTGTCAGATTCTTTATGTATATCTATCACGATTTATCTTCAATAACAGTTCGATTACATACAAAGTAACTAAAGTAAGAACTCTTAAGACTTATATGGGTAGATATAAACGTGTGCAGATCAATGCAGTGGGAACAGAAGATGAGATATTCAAACAAGTTCGCCCTATTTTTTCTTCTTGCGGTATGATGTCTCATTATTTCGCTTTTTAGCATGTGTTGTCATTTCTTGACCGCTTTCAAATTTTTTTCTGCTCTATGTTAATGGCCGCATTTATATTAGCTTTCTCAATATTGACAAAACTATAGGATTACTTGAAACTGATTTTCACTTGAGGAAATACCATGAGTCTTTTGTGCCACACCTTTGATATGAGATATTAGATTATCCATGCCTCTATGCTTTTAATCCAAACACATATTCAGACAAGGTGAAAAAGTATGGAAAAAAAAAACCTCGAGGCAATTAAATCCTTGGAAAATTCTGCTTATCCTGTATGTTAGTTGAAGCATTTTTGTATGCCAATAATGGAGTTAATCTTTTCTGCAGTTGGAAAATGAACTGAAAATTGTTTCAGTCAAGGCTGAGCATCGAAAGATTCTGATCTTTAGTTGGATTTGCAACCTTTAGGTTGGCAAACCTCAGTTTTCTCAAAGGAGTGAAATTCTCAGCAAAAGGATTATTAGAATTCCACCGCGATGAACATTTCTCAGCCTTGAGAATTAAGCTTCTTTCCAGTCTACTGGTTTTGCTGGTGCAAGTACATATTTCAAGGTGCATGAATCCTTGAAGCCAACCTGTTCCAACTTTTGAATGATCAACTGAAAACACGGCTCCTTTCAAAAAATTCTTTTTTGAAAAAAGATTAGTACCAAGCTGTAAGCTTCTAAATTCTCTTTTTTCTTATTAGAAAATTTCTGAATTGAATGTTCCAAATTTATATGCTCTTTTTTTGCTTATAGCTAAAAAAGAGTGAGCACACTACAGTGGTCCGTGCTTTCTAGATTGATGTCCATTGCTATTTGAATTTGCTTCTGACACTTATTTAACTTTACTGTGCTTATACATAAATATACCATTTTACTGCACAAACATCGTCATCCTAAAGAATTCCATGACGGCAGAATCAAGGGAAGCACTGCAATTTGCAGAAAAAGTGCCAAAAATGGATTAGGTACAATGCTAATTGAATTGATTATTTACTTGAACGTGAGATTTTATGGGAAATCTGCTCTTTATGTTCAGACTCTTCAACCCCATCTCCCAAAATTATGATCATTCTACACTCACCAAGAAGGAACACAGGGGAGCTAAAACTAGACCAGAAACAGAAACATTTCCACCAAAACCAAAATAGGACTGCCCTAACTTTTCCAAAATCATCTATAGCCACGCTCCTCATCAACCACAAACCCTCTTCCAAAACCAAAGCAGAAGCCATAAACAAATCATGTTGTTTAAGACCCTGAATCGAAAAAAAAAAAAAAGGCATAACGACCTTTGGGAGACAATGTACAGAAGAATCATAACTAATTACAAGGCAAAAGAAATCCTTTTACAAGAGAATTAGAGGAAAGCTAATTACTCATGCTGTGGAGTTGCGAAAAAAGCCAAAAGAAAACTATCAGCTAGTTCAAATTCGAAGCACTTACAACCAATTAGCTAGCCATTTCCCCTATTTATACTTATTAAATTTAGTCCCTTTTCTTTAAAGATATTATAATTTTGATCCATAAAAATGAAAAGTTTGTTCCATTTTGTCTCTATTTTCCCTTAACATATTTAAACTTCGCTTATGGATGAAAAGTTTCTTCCCTCCTCCTTAAGAAAATGATACATTTGGTTTCCCTTCTTTACGAAGTTAAAGTTTCAAAATAATTTACTTGCTTAATTTCATTGCTCAAGGAAAAAAAATAAAAATAAAATCAGCTATTTCAATATTTCAATTTTTAATCCTGATATATCTATTTAGGGATGGTAATAGATCAGATATCCATCCCTTATTTTATCCATTAAATAAATAGTCCGTTTATATTTATTAAGGAATTATCCCACCCATTTAATATCTATTTGATGCCCGTTAAAAATAATCTGTCAATATGTTTTGTTTAAGTGCTTTTAACTTTAAAAAAGTTATTTCGTCCTTAAAATTAATTTTTTGTTCTTAAATTTTTGATAACAAATATCTTGATCCTTACTTTATAAAATTATACAATTAGATTCTTATATGTTATTTTAAAAAAATTAGTAGATACTAATAGAGTATAAAATTGATATCCACACCCGAAAACTATATTAACAAATATTTTTTTCCCTTATGGATCTCAATGCCTATTAGATATTTTTAATATATATTTATTGGATGTATCAGTTTCATACCTAGTGCATTGCCATCCCTATATAGTTCGGAGTTTTTTTTTTTTTTAAAAAAAAAAAAACCATTTTCTAAATTCATAACTGTTTGAATTGTACACATCCCAACAACATTAGTCTTAATTAAATTAAAATTTATTGTTCTCCACATCAATAAGAATAATATTTCTCTAATTAGATTCTTCCAATACTCATATATGTTACAACCGAATTACCTCATAATTAATTACTTCAAATAATTTGTGTCTTGTGCTTCTATATTCTTTATCTGGCACTCTCTATTACTGTTACTGCTTATAACATATATTGTGTTGCTATTTTTCTGATTTTCTTAAGGTTTATTTGGTTAAACACATAGCACGTACTGCAGATAATATATACTCATACATGTAAACACTTGTGTTGATGGAAAGGCCTTGGATGGAATTAGGCTGAAGAGTTCAGTTAGGGCAAGGATGGTTGAGGTTGCACGGGTCACTAGCAATGCACTGGCTTTCGTTAACATGTTTGGTACAAAGTGTGTGCTTAGACAAATAATATATTTCTTTGTTTTATATTACATATATACCTCGATTAAAAGTAAAATTTAAATAGATACATGTATTCCTCATTTCAAAAATAAAAAGATAGCTAATTGTTGTGCTCTACGACAAAAGAGAAAGACTTTGAGGATTAGAGATGAGAAATTTTATAATACATCAAGAGTAATTAGTGGCATGTACGATAATTACTCCATGGGCTCACTTTAAGGAGAGAAATAGACACATAAAAAAAGATAGAAATTACATCTATACCCATCAAAAATACTAAGAAGATTTCTACGTCCGCTTAAATTTTTTTATTTTTTCTCTCTTTTTTGTATGTCTATCTCTCTTTTCAAAGTAGATCCATGGAGTAACTATAGTACATGCCACTAGTTACTCCTAGTGTATTATAAAATTTCTTGAGTAGAGAGTGTTAGATAAATACGAAAGTTTCTAAAATTTATAAAATATTGAAAAAAAATCTAAACTGTTAAAAGAGAAATCTGAATATATCTTAAATAATTTTAAAAAATTCTTTTTTTTTTTTTTTTTAAGAATGTACATAAGTAAAATTTTCCTTGCAAATGTTTAAAAAGAAATTTTTGAAAAACTGATTGTAGCTATTAAATCGAATTGATCGTAACCAACCTCTAAATTGGTAAGGTCCTCGTTTATTCAAATCATCCAAGCATTGTAAATATTTTGAGAGCAATACAAGAGATTTTCATAATATATTTTGGTGTGACGTTCTTTCTCTTCACAATGTAATACAAGAGAAAGAATGACTTCATTGGATTTAAAAGAAAAATGAACCAAATGGTGCTCGGTGAATTTGGAAAAAACCAAATTCATAACCATTCTAAACTCTCTCTCTCTCTCTCTCTCTGTTTTTTTTTTTTTTTTAATTGAAAAATTACCCTTGGTCGCAAGATTGAGTTCTTAATCATTTGTAAAAAAAATAAAATAAAATAAAATTGAGTTCTTAAAATTACGGGATCAATGCCCCATTTCATGGATTAATGCATGTAAAGCCTCATTGATAAATAAAAGGTCCAAGCCTTAGTATAATGGGATTTAGTTTCAATAAATCCTAAAGCCAAGCCCAAGCCCATTACGAGCAGAAAAATTCTTGACCCAACTCGGAGCTCTATCCATCAGACTCTAAATTCCAAAAGCCTCCGCCGCATCGTGCCATTGTTTAGTACTTGGAGATAAATTGCGTCAAGGAAAGAGCCTCAAGAGCAATTTTTCAGGATCTCACCAGCCCTTAAAATAGTTGAAATTAGAGGATTAGAGAATCTCAAAATTTCTTCTCCCCACAAACCTTTTTGACTAAACACAGCGTAGGCAGGAGTAAATTATGTATAAATTAGTTCCTCTGTTTTTATAAAATGAATTCAATAGTCTCTCTAGTTTTAAAAATTAATTAATCATTCTCTTAAAAAATATCAACCGTTATTAATTTAATATTAATTTATTCTAAAAATTACTTTTTCTTATCGATCTTTCCATAATATCTATTTTATTTTTAACTTTTCTATTTTTTTTAAAAAGTACAAAATAAATTAGAAAATGACATGAAATGGACAAAAAGGATTAATTCATTCGTTTTTTACTATCAATTCATTTTGCAAAAATATAAGGACTAATTTATAATTTACTCGTGCATGCAGTTACCTTTCTGATGTGGACCCTAACTTGTACATTAATTAATTTGTATTTAAACTCTGACATGAACTGAATGAAATGGTGTAGAACTGGTGGTTGTGTTTTGTGTAGTTTAGGCAAGTGGCAGCTAGATTCACCCTCTCTTCTCTTCTTCTTCTTCTTCTCTTTTACCTTCATGGGCTTGTGTTTTCTTTCATGGGTTTTGTATCATTTTGTCAATTTCGAACTACTTGATCCATTTGACACTCTGCTTTGTCGCTGTTAAATTCAGTTCTGGTTTCTTAATTAACAAGAAAAATATTTCGAACGAATCCTAATTTAGTTCCCATACTATTTTCTAAACCTAATTTAATTTTCAATAAGTTCCTTTTTTGTTGTTGCAATAGAACCTAATCTACCTGTAATTAACATACAATCATATTCATGCATGTGCCATATCATATTTCAAGGCTCAGAGCCACCGTATCTGTCATCTCAAGTCCTTGTGATTTCTTGAATAATTTTATACATGCGACAGCCTCCAAGACTTGGACTTGCATGCATGTACAACCTGACAGATTCTTCCTATAAATTGGGATCATCTTCACACCTATCAACGCAAAATAGCTAGAGATTGAGAGGCCAAGAGAGATCATGGACTCTAAAATATTTATGCGAAGCAATGCTATAGCATTGCTTCTTACTTTTCTTCTAAGCATATCAACTATGCAAACATCCTCAGCAGATACCACCACCACCAAAAATTCTAGCGAAACCTACACAAATTACCTAAAAACGGCTTGCAATTCTACCTTATATCCACAACTTTGCTTTGAGTCCCTCTCTCCTTACACCTCCACCATCAAAACCAACGACCTCAAACTATGCACCAAAGCATTAACGGTGACCCTCAAAGCTGCAAGCAACACGTCAAAATTAGTAGAAAGCTTATCGAAGGAAAGCAACTTAAGCAAGACTAAAGCTGGTATTATTAAAGATTGCATTGAAGAAACGGGAGACTCCATCGATAAACTGAAGCAGTCTTTGAAGGCTTTAGGCAGCCTAAATGGTTCAGCTGATATTCATTTTCAGATTTCTAACATACAAACATGGATGAGTGCCGCGATAACGGAAGAAAATACCTGTACAGATGGATTTGATGAGAGGAAGATAAGTGATGAAGTGATGAGAACGATCAGAAAGAGTATAGTGAATGTTGTTATGCTGACTAGCAATGCTTTAGCTTTTATTAATAAACTTCCTTATTAGTTTTTTTCTTTTTTCTTTTTAATTCCTTACTAGTTCTTCAATTCTGAAGGACTGTTACATCCAAAACGTTTCTTATATCATAATCACTTGTTAAATGTTATTGATATTTTGAACAATTTGTTTTACTTCTCATTATCAAATTAAAACTGGATATTGTTCCACTTGTATATTTTCTTTTTATTAATAAAATTGATCAGAATACTGTTTCGATCTGCTTGCTAAAAAAAAAAAAATCAAATTAATGAGAAGCAATTGAGAATTCCTCTACTGACATTATTGTTGTTTTGTGCTGAGAGGTTGCTCTGAAGTAAGTTCTTCTATATATATATGTATGTATATAAACTACCACAGCTTCGTTTTTCTGATGATGCTAACTATAAGAACAAAATGATAATTAATTAGGGTTTTGCATACGATACTACATTAAAAAAACCTCAAATAATATACTATATAATGATTAGGAAAATTCTATATAATATTATAGCGCACCTTACACATGATTTTGAGGTTCTCGTTAATTAGAAAAGTACTCTTCAATTTTAATTTAATTGCTTGTTTTATATGATTAGCAAAAGTAATTTTTTTGAATTGTTGGAAAGAATAGTATATATCTCTTCAGCTTTTGGCCGTCATTTAGTAGCTATCTGTATAGTTAGCTTTTGACCTACTTAATCATTTTCTAGTCCAAGATTTATTTCATTATTTTCTGTTGACCGTTTTGCTTCTTTTTAATCCCATCTTCTAATTAAAAACCATTTCACATTCTGCCTTTTTTAAAGTAATTTGATGAAATTATTACATTTATTTTTCACATTGTTCCTACGTAGAGTTCTCTTTTATTATTATTTTTTAAAAAAAATTCAGGTATCTCCAATCAATATTGAAGAATATATGATTAATTTTGTTCAGAGAACAACAAAATTTAACCCATTTTAACAATTTGAATTGAATGAATTGTTCCTATATGTCAAATTATTAGTATAAACCCTTTTGTAGTCAAACATCACAATTTATTTATAATCCAATAATTAGAATCAATTAATACATACGGTATAAATAAATGATACTAAGGTTGATGCCATTAGAACCAAAACTAGGAGGATTAATTCCCAATATTACAATAAATAAAAAAAGTATTGACTTCTTTGGAAAAATGTAATAATTCAATTGGGCTACGATCAGGTAGCATGTCCAACTATTGTGGAATGTGTTCTTTAAAAAAAAAAAAAATTGATTACCTAGATTAAATAAAAGCATGGTAATAGCTGGAGGGATTAATATCATATATGGTGGGAGTGGGACAAATGGTGAAGAAATGCATCGCATGGCCGGTGCCATTGTTCATGGTTTGCCTCTCACAAGTTAATATTAGTTATATCCATCGATTAATTTAAGCTCTTGGCCCCATTAATTAATTAAAGAGAACATGGCACTACAGGAACTAATTATCATATCGAAAGACCTTGGTCATTCATAAATTAAGGCCTTAACTAGTAATGGCAACAAGTTAAAGGCCATTGCCCAAGGCAACATAGACTATCAATTACTTATTAAGTACAGTATAATTTTTCCTCTTAAAATAGATCAACATACTTTCAAATTGGTCAAGAGGTCGAACCTAGTATTGCAAAAAACACCTGTTCAATCTTTCTGTGAACTCTCTCTATCTTGTTTTCCTCCCGACAAGCCATGACATTTTTTTCTTCACGCCCTTTAACAGTTGCTTGTCTCTTGGATTGACGGCTAATCACAATCTACATTTAAAACCCTTATATATATATTTAAAAAAAAAAAAATCTGCATTTAAAACTCCTCTTCTCCATGACTCTATCTCATGCTCTAATTTGTATGCCAAGCCACCATCTTGTGGGTCTGAAATACCCTAAAGAATCTAAGGAAAAAAAAAAAAAACATTCTTGTCGAAATTCGAGATAACTCGAGGAAAAAAAAAAAGACTAATGATATATTGTTTCTTTCGGTTAAAAATTTAAAATTCTTAGAAGCCAATTATAATCTTTTTTTTTAATAGTATTTTTGACATTGCAAACCAACTTAATTATTACCAGTTACTTAAAATTTGAGCAAAAGTAGATTAAGATCACAGCTATCAAGATAATATTGTCTCGTATTAAGCAATGCTATCAGCTGCCATAAGGGTATAAACTGAAGAAAACATCATCATTGTCATTCGGGTTAATAATTTACAACCGATGAGATATATTTGGAATAAATTAAGTATTTATTGAAAAGATTAGCTGTACATATTCGAATTCCTTCGAGAGAACCATATTAATCTGTCCAACCCGAACGACTTTGCATCTAACGTTTTCTATTATACTCCAAATAATTTACTAGCATATAAATTTATAATTAAATAATTTTTATGACCTGCTGGAGGTATATATATATATATATATATTTGAGGGCCAACAACGTGTCCAAAACTTGCCAGAAGTTTCCAGCTAATTGTTTTATTTTATCAGAACAATCATAATTACAAGGGAAAAAAATATTCCTTTTACAAGAGAATAAGCATTTTGTAAAGGTCGCAAAAGCCAAAAGAACACCAAATTAGCTAGTTCAAGCATATAAAAAATATTTGCATAAAAAGGGTTTTGCCGGCTTGCCCTTTCTCCTTTTACGCTATTGTAAATTTGGTCCCTTTTCTTTAAAAATATTCTGGTTTTGATCCATGAAAATGATTAATTAGTTCATTCCATTTTGTCTCTATTTTTCCTTGAGTTAATTAAACCACTTAAGGATGAAATCATGCAAATTGTATATTCACGAAGGATCGATGATCTTACATTAATTTCCAAGAAACCTTAAAATAAAAAACTGGAAAATTGCTTTAATTTGGCTATATATGCAGGACTCTATATGTATACCTAGTTTGGTTTTGTCAATTTTGCGGGCAACTATTTTGTTATTTAACGTTAATAAAATACTAAATAACAATAAAAGTACTTTTTTTCCAGTCAACTAGCTCTTCTATAATAAAATATCAAAATTTACTTATTCTTTGTTTTTCAGGTAAATATCAGGGCATTATCATCCCAAGACAGGAAAATTATATATATATATTCTCACACATAGATCTATTACATCTTGAACTATACAATGTTGAATAGTCTTCCACTATTACATAATAATCAAATAATAATAATAAAAAAAGAAATTCAACATTTTGCTATATATAAATTCAACGTCTTCTTACACTCTTGTCTCGCTATCTATAAGTGGGTTATCCCCAAGTTTCTCTTGTTAATCCATGAAAATTTTTCTTCAATGTTTTCTTTTTCTCTTTGTTTGTAATTTTCAAATGAAAACTTCAATTTAGTTCCAAACTAATGATTTGATTATCAATTTGAATTCTAAACTTTTCAACTCAAACATATTGAAAATAGACAAGATCATTCTTTCATCGATTTGTTGTTAGCGAAAATTAAAAGATTTCTTCAAATTTTAACATGATTTATGCTTATTAATTCTTCCTAAAAAAAGATGTCAAAATAAAGTTGAAAGAGCCATAATGTACAATTTTAGCTTTATTATCAAGTGTCCTGAATCGATAAAAAATTTATATATTTGACGTTAAAATATTAAATTAGTGCTAATTATTGGAGCTTTTTTAATTAATGAGCATGTGAAATTTTGGTGCAAATTATACAAAATTTGTTATTTGTTATTAATAATGAATAGGTGGAAGGGTGGCATTGTTTAATATCAATTATATTTAGACAATCGATAAAATAAAATAAAATAATTGGATACTTAATTGATATATTCATACTTCTTGCACTAAATTAAGCTTTTATAAAATTAACAGGTTGTTAGTAAAAAAAAACAGATCTTTAGATAAATTTTTTATCAATATATATGATTTAAATTTTAAAATCATATTTTTGTAAAAGAATTTAAATTTTATTATTCTGGTTTCGAATATGATTAAAAGAAATACAGAGGAAAAACCAAAAATCATGTTTTCATAATTTTTAAATATATCATATTTTGTTTGAAGTGAGTAGTGGAGTTAATAAATAGCCTCGTTGGTATATAAAAGGCCCAAGCCTTGTCACAATGGGATGTTGTTGCCCCACATAAATCCCAAAGCCGAGCTCGTTCCAGGCAGTTTTTCTTGGCCAACTTTGAGCTCTTTCCCTGTAATGCCGTTTCTCTTAATTCCTGGGCCACTAATCTGCAAGCACTAATTTATATAGTCCTTTCAGATATCGAGTTGAAATCAGACTATTAGACAATCCCAAAAGAATTTTCTCCCCCACAAAACTTTTTTTTTACTGATCATTGGTGCATTTTTTATTTTTATTAATATTTGGATAAATATACTTATTTATTTTTATATAATATTCAAAGTCTCTTATATGTTTTGAAATTTCTAATTGCATCATATATGTTCTTAAAAGTATTTGAAATGATCAATTTGTTCTTTCGATCAATTTTATGACTATATAAAATTTTTTAATTGAAATGTATCCGATTAAAATGCAAAAAATAAAATAAAATTTAAAGACTTTAAAAATAAAAAATGCAAGTCATGTGAGTTTAAATGTTTTTTTTTTTTAAGTAAAGAGAATTTCGGTAAAAAAAAATTAATGGTTGAAAAAATTGATCGAAATAACGGGTTAAACATTTTAAAAATTTTTAGAGATAAATGAAATACGAGTTGAAAATTTAAAGACAAATAAAAGATTTTGAGTATTGTATAAAAACAGATAGCTATATTTATCCTTAATATTTTTATCTTAAAAATTAATTGTGATATCATGTTAGCATTTTTATTTATATTTAATGTTTTTAATAAATTCTTAATCATTAAATTTAATTGTGTATGACAGGAAACCAATATTAATTAGAAATATTTTTAAAAAAATACATCACTTAAAATTTTGATCAGATAATTATTTTGAGATAGAAATAGATACAAAAATAAATAATTTCTTTAGGAAAAAAGATGCAATAAAATGTCGATTTTTTTAAGCAACCCCTCTAGTGTGGATTTATTTTCCAGTTCAATGATTTCAAGTGCAAATGAGCCTAACCTCCGTTTATGGGCCCATCAAGGATGTTGCACAAGGTCTAAGTTCTAAAAACAGCAAAAGATCAGAGCATCTAGCCCGACCCAGTTCCTATCAAGGCCCAATCTACCATAGTCTCTTTCCATTGTACCTCTAATTGCTACTTTCTTAAATTTTTTAATCCAACTATACTCTCTTTCATTTATGCTATAAACCTACTAAAATTTATTTAAATAAAAAAAATTATTTTTGGAATTTTTTAAATTTATATTTATCAAAAAAAGAAAAAAGAAAAGTAAAGCACCTTTTTTACATCAAATTTGTCTTTTTTTATTATTATTATTTACACTAATCATTACATTTTTTCCATCGTTAAATTTATTAGAAAAAACAAAATTTTTAATCTCAAGATACGATAAAAGAACATTATTACATGAGAGAGAGAGAGAGAGAGAGTTCTCATGAGTGGATTAGAAATCTATTTCACCTGAAAAAAAATATTAATTTGGTAGAAATTATTAAGAAAATAATTTGTTTTTATTTTTTAATCGAGATATTAATATTTATTTTAATAAAGTATTCATTATAAATAATCCATTTCAAATAAAATTCCCACCAATTTCCCACTTATCTTCTTCTCAAGAATTCCAAAAATGGTAAACCTTCTTCAGCCACCAAGATTCCACACACAGTCAATGACTCTCCACCTCTACCCTTCCATAACTAGCAAATCAAGCAGGAAAAAAAGAGAGCTAAAAGAAAAAAACAAACAAAAACAATTTCAGAAAAACCTAAACAAAACAACCCTTTCTTTCCCAAAATCATCCCCAACTCCACTCCTAATCAACCACAGACCCTCTCCCCAAACCAAACTGGAAGCCCTAGAAAGTGTCATCAAAGACATTGAGTCCTCTATGGGAAAAGGCATAAGAATTGATACTCAAATTTTTTCTTCACTTTTAGAAACATGTTACCGTTTAAATGCTATAGAACACGGTGTTAGGATTCATAGGCTAATACCCACTAATCTTTTACGTAGAAATGTTGGTATTTCGTCGAAATTGATGAGGTTGTACGCATCATGTGGGGATGTTGAAACGGCTCACCAGGTGTTTGATGAAATGTTTAAGAGAGGTAAGTCGGCGTTTCCGTGGAACTCGCTTATTTCAGGGTATACTGAATTGGGTCTGTATGAGGATGCTATGGCAATTTACTTTCAAATGGAAGAAGAGGGTGTTGAACCGGACCAGTTTACGTTTCCTCGGGTTCTGAAAGCTTGTGGGGGAATTGGATTGATTGGGATTGGCAAGGCGGTGCATAGGGATTTAATTCTATTGGGGTTTGCTAATGATGGGTTTGTGTTAAATGCGCTTGTTGATATGTATGCGAAATGTGGTGACATTGTTAAGGCAAGAAGGATATTTGATCAGATAGACTGTAAGGACTCTATATCGTGGAATTCTATGCTTACCGGTTATATTCGGCATGGGCTAATAGCAGAGGCATTGCACATTTTTCGTAGGATGGTTCATGATGGGTTGGAGCTTGATTCGGTGGCTGTTTCGACAATTCTTGCCAATGTTTTGTCTTTGGAGGTTGCAGTTCAAATTCATGGATGGATTGTTAGGAGAGGAATGGAGTGGGATTTGTCCATTGCTAATTCTTTGATTGCTGTCTACTCAAACGGTGGGAAGTTGGGTCGAGCTCGCTGGTTATTTGATCACATGCCAGAGAAGGATATTGTATCATGGAATTCTATAATATCTGCTCATTGCAAGGATCCTAAAGCGTTGACTTACTTTGAGTTGATGGAGAGGGATGGTGGTGCTTCCCCAGATAAAATCACATTTGTGTCATTGCTATCTGCTTGCGCTCATTTGGGTTTAGTGAAGGATGGGGAGAGGTTATATTCACTGATGAAAGCAAAATACCAAATAAATCCTATCATGGAGCACTATGCTTGTATGGTGAATCTTTATGGAAGGGCAGGGTTAATCGACGAGGCATATGTCATCGTTAGGGATCAAATGGAGTTCGAGGCTGGTCCTACTGTGTGGGGAGCATTGTTGTATTCTTGTTATCTCCACCAGAATGTAGATATTGGAGAGATTGCAGCTCGATATCTTTTCGACTTGGAACCAGATAACGAGCACAATTTTGAACTCTTGATGAAGATTTATGGCAATGCAGGTAAATTGGAGGATGTAGAGAGAGTAAGAAAAATGATGGTCGACAGGGGATTGTAAACTTATACACTGTACAGAATTAATTTTGATATGGCCTCCATCTCAAGGACGAAATATTCATGTAAATTACAGGTACTGGATGAAGATATTCATGGTTAAACCACCTCTTTTACTTGTGTTGTTTCATTATATAGGCGAAGCTTATTGAAGTATCAACATTGTTACAAGGCTAGCTGTTGGGGAAATTAGATAAATGGGAATTGGTGTTGTAAATTTCTCACTTGAAATCCCAGAATTTGGTGCTGAAACAAGCCACTTGTGCTTAATGCTCGTATACCTGGAGAATATTTAATGGTTAAACCTTGCATGTGTTTAATGCTCATTAATTTGATAGTTTTTTTCTTGGAAGGAAGCTAAGTTAATTGTTAGTTGCTGACAACTTTTTGGAGGCATGAAGATGGCAATGTTTTAACTACTGCGCTTTGTTTTTTCTGGTGATGCTAACTCATGCTTAGACTAGTGACTATATTAACAAAATTGTACTTAAGGCATGCATATAATACTAATTTATTTATTTTTTTATGAAACTTAACACTACATGCTGATTAGGAAAATTCTATAAATATTATACAGTACCTCATGAATGATATAAGGGGCTTGTTAGAAGCAATCTTCCATTATTAGTTATTATTTGTCTTGTACGATTAGAAAAAGAATTTTGCTGCATTATTGGAGGGATTGGTATCTCTTAAGATTACGGCTGTCATGTAGTAGTTATCTGTTTTGTATAGCTTTTGACCCAGAGTCATTTTTCAGTACATGATTGCTTTCTATTTTTTATTTTCCGGGACCCTTTTCCTTTTTTTAATACTGTCTTCTAATTAAAGACCCTTTCACACTCCTTTTTTGTAAAGTAATTTGAACTTTACATCCATATTCACATTGTTCATACAATTCTCTAAGATCCCCTTTTATTTTCCCCCTAAATCAATTTGTGCTTTCATTTTTTGTCTATGCCAAGTTACTATAAACCATTTTGTAACCAAATATTGCAATTAATCTCAATGGTAGGTTTGGTAGTCGATAAGATATGCTTATACTTAACTCTTTGAGCTTGAAGTTTGAGAATAGTATTTACGAGAATTTATTACATTGAATGCATCATATTAGTATAAAAATTCCAGCTTAAGATCACTCAAAAGAGAGTATTTACTTAACTTTAAGAGATTGATATGATGGTTAAGGAGATTTGCTCCATTTTTTTATTTTTGAAGTTCAAATATTGGAGTGTGTATCCTGAAAAAATTTTAAATTCATTTGCATGTATTAGATAGATGTGGAGAAAAGTCTTTAAAATTATTGAAAAATAGACTTAGTATCGATTGACATGTAAGTTAGTCCAAAAATATCCTTATTGTCGAATGAAAAAAATATTTAATCACAATTGATATGCAAACTAAGGTGAAAATGTTTTTATATGTCAAATAATAATAAATAAATAAAAGTCAAACATTACAATTTATTTACCCAATAATTAATATGAATGCATTCAATTTGTTTAGTGCTACGATTGATGCCATGACATTTATAATAAAAATTAGAGTTAATAGCTTGATTTATTCTTGTATTTTTATATATATTATAAAGATAAAATTTTAATTTAAACTTATATTTTTCATTGAGTCAATTTAATTTTTGATTATACATTAAGTTTTAAATATATTATTTTGTCAAAATTTTCAAGACAAATCATCGAATTATTCATATGATTCACACATGATTAATTTTTATTTGATAAATTAAAATTAGAATTGGTGCTATTCACATAATTAGAAGCATTTTATGCAATTTGCTTTGGATCTTCCTAAAGCTACTCAAAATCAATTGGCAAGAGGTCAATGATTGCATGAGTTGCTCAAATAATCTCAATCCACTCCTTTCATGTTGGCAGAACATATAATGACTATTTATATGATTATCTTGATTCATTAAAAATTAGACAAGTAAAGAAATTTCTCGTGTTGAGTTATGTGTCTATTTAAAAATAAGTAAACTTTACTTTTCTAAAATACCTTCGCAAATTAGTCAAATTGAAAAAAATTATATACAAATTATTTGACTAATTTTGATATTTTAAACTAAAAATCTTGCCAGAATGATAAATTAGATCTCTAACATATATTCAAAGATAAAATTAATTCAATTAATAATTTAAAATTTATCTCATTATATGAAAAAAAATAAAAATTAAACCATTAACTCGAACAATCGAAACTAGGAGGATTCCCAACATTAGACCAAAACATTTTCACTTCCATACGACGATGATTATTTGACATGCAATTCAACTAGGTTATAAGCTAGCACGTTCGTTAATGATTATGTTATATCGAAATCATTTTAAAAAAGTATCTTCATTACTTAGATCAATGAAAGCATGGAATTAGAGGGACTAATTAATATCACACATGGCGGGACTAATGGTGAACAAATTCATAGTATGGTATGGCCGGTGCTTTATTTTCAAGTTTTCTGCTACTTTTGCCTGCCCGGTGCTAAGTTCATGGTTGTCTCTTGCATGGTTTTCAGTTATTAACCATAAATTTAAGCTCTTGACCCCATTAATGAAAGCTTAGTCCTAGAAGGACTAATATATGATATTGAAATACCTTGTTTGTTCCCACAGATTACTTGAATAAATTAACGCCTTGTACGGTAATGGGCAGCACGTCAGATGCCATTTGGCATTGGCCAAGGCCATCAAGATCAGTACTTCTTTACCCAAAAGATGGCTAAACTATATAAACACTCCTCAATTATTTATTATTTTGATTCACATTGCGTATATTCTTTTTTTTTTGGTTCTCTCTTTTGATTTTAATATATGAACTTTGAAATGTTTGGATAAGGTCCTCTTATGCTGTCCGTTTACCGTCGAACTCCATCATTTCGATCAACAAATCACTTAAAATACCATCACAATAATAATTTCAATTTGAAAAAACAATATTTTAATTAAAAAAACCTTTTACAAACTCAAATTTAACATAAAAAATTATATTTTAGCCTTTTTAACTCTTTCATCATAATTTCTAATATTGATAATATGTCCAATATAAAATTTGTGATTTGTAGTAAAATATCAATTCCTCTGGTGAGATCTAATTCAATTTTCATAATATATCTATTTTTTTAACGAAATTTTGTTATAGCATTTATAGCTATTCTTTATACATTCTACTTCCATACTACATTACTTTAGAATTTCTAAATTTTAAAAAATCTCAAATTTGATGATATTTAGGTTCAAGATTAGTATGTATGAATTCGTCTCCATTATTATATATGAACTCAAGTTAACCAAACATTTCATTTGGCAGTGGTCTGTCTATCAATAGTTACCGAAACCTAATAAATAAGGTCCTAATCTAAGTACCTCATAACATAAGTATTAAAATCAAAAGAAAAAAAGGTTGAGGATGTCAATTGAAATTATCATAATTCAAGGGTTATTTGTAAGTTTTAGCCCAAAAGATAACGAACCACAATTCTTTTTCTTTAAAAATATAAATATGCTTTCGATTTGGTTTGTGTCATGTCGGTACGAAAAGGTCGAGAGCTAAACAGTAAGTTTGGGAAGTGCAACCGGCAACGCGGTTGGTACTCGCTTTTACAATATGCCACGTTTCTTAAAGATATCTGAAGCTAACTTGAACCTAATATTGCCTTTTTTTTCATTAAAAAAAATCAAAAAATTTTATAATACTCAATAAATAATTAATGTAAGTTATACAATAAAGATAGATAGATAAAAAAATAATAATAAATAAGAGAAAGAAAATTAAAATAAAATTTAAGTCAAAATAAAAATTTTCTTATCATTTTTTTGTCGATTTTAATATAATTTTTTAATATATATATGTGTCAATCTATCTCTTAGAAAAATACATGTAGACTATTATAAATTTCTCAAAAAAAAACCTATTCATTCTATTCGTTCACTCTCTCTCCCTTCTTTCTTGGTTTTTCCTTTAGGGTGGCCACAAGCCAATCATAATCAAAATCTACATCACCCACTTTCATTGTTTCATTCTCAATGTCTCATTTATACGTGCCAAGCCATCATTTTGGGCTTAGCAAATTGAAAAACAAAACACTTATATTTAAAAAGAAACATTAGTACTGTACAAGAAAAAAGAATGAACTTTGAGAGGAAAAGAAGCAAGGGAAAAGAAAATAAGAAGAAACATTGTGAATTGATTGTTTATTTTAAGAATTTGAAGGTAAATAAGAAAAGTGGAATTAAAAAAGAAAATTCCACATGGAGACCCTTCCGTAACTATTGTTCTCTCCTAATCTAAAAGAAAATAAAGAGATTATCAAATGTATAATTAAAAATTTGATTGTATTTATGTTTTTCTTTTATTTGGATGATTCTTGTATTTATATAAAAAAAATCATTTCCCACTCAAATAAAGACATATATATTCAAGTAAAAAATTGATTTCTTTATATAAAACATCTCTTTTTCTCTCCCTCTAGATCAATTTAGTGTAATTCAAATCACAAATTCTTTTATTAAAAGAAGTTTTCTTGAATCTACAAAAATATTGATAGATTTAATTTTATTATTTGTTGCCATTCATCAATTGTAATAAACTATATTCAAGAATATATATTAAAAAAAATCTATGAATTTAGTATTTTTTTCTTAAAAATTTAAATTCTAAATAAGATTTAAACACAATTAAATTTTTTTTTCAACATATACTTTGTTACAAGGCATGGATAAATATTGAAAAGTTCTATTATTGTACGAAATGAAAAAAAAATTACTTAGCATACAAAATAATTGTTGACAAATAAAATATAAATACACATACAAAATAAATGATAAAAAATTTGCTTTAAATTATAATCAATGCCATTCCTTGTATTGATGTTGAATTCGTTCAAAATTATCCATTATACCAAGCATTGCTACGTAGAAAAATGTTTATAACCGGCCAAAGCAGTATCAGGTAAGCTTCATATATCTTTAAGAGACGTGGCACATTAAGAAAGCGAGTGTCCAAAGCGAGTATCAAGCCGTTGCTCCTCGGCATTGGTAAAGACATTTGCGCTTATCTTATTCCTCAGTCTATCGGTTGCATTTGTTTTCTAAGACCGACATGTGAGCAAAGCATGCCCAAAATTCCGTACACCCAATAAACTCCAACGCACCCAGCGCAAGTTAGCACATAGCCCTAGGCAATAAATCCTCGCATTAACCTCTATAAATTCAATCCCTCTCTGTTTGCTCTCTCAATCCCAACTCTCTAGCCACTCTCAAATCCAAAAAAGATCCAATTTTTAAGCCTTCCTGTCCAAAATTCTCCATGGAAAAATCTAAGCTTTTTTGGCTACTCCTCTCAATTTTATACTTTGCAAGCACAGCAAATTCTGCTGGAACCACTAGGGCAAGTCCTAGTGCTGCAAATTTCATCAAGGCTTCATGCACAGCCACGACATACCCTGCCTTATGCGTCCAATCTCTCTCCCTTTACGCCACTTCCATTAACCAAAGTCCACGCCAATTAATTCAGACAGCCTTGTCCGTCAGCCTAGACAAGGCTCAGGCCACCAAGACATTTGTCTACAAGTTAACAAAGTTCAAGGCACTTAAACCTAGAGAAAAGGCAGCTATTAAGGATTGCCTTGAAGAGATCGATGATACTGTGGACAGGCTTGTGAAATCAGTGAAGGAGTTGAAGAGCGTGGGGTCATCTAAGGGTCAGGATTATCAATGGCATATTAGCAATGTTCAGACTTGGATCAGTGCTGCATTGACTGATGAGACTACTTGCGTTGATGGGTTTGCTGGGAAGGTTTTGAATGGAAGGATAAAGAATTCGATTGGTACAAGGTTTGTTCATGTCGAAAGGGTTACTAGTAATGCACTTGCTTTGATTAACAAGTTTGGCTCTAAGCCCTAATTAAGTCGCTGCAGCACTTAATGGCTAGCTACAGCTGATCTGGGTTGCCTTCCATCTTTTTCTAATGTTATTACAGCAAGAAAGAAAGGAAATCCTTAATTATAGGCAACATGATCTGGGTTGCCTTCCATCTTTTTCAGTGTCCAAGTTTTTGCGATCTTTATGTATCATAAAGAATTTTGAGTGACGTAGGTTTTTAATTTTCCCCTTTTTTCTTTTTATAAATACCTATGTTATAGTGTTTTCTTTTTCTGATGTGATATTAATGTACTATGGTTTGTAGAAGCAATTTTCTTTGCCTCTATGATATCAAATGAAGTGGGTTAAACATTTCTTAATTCTATTTAATCTCATTATGAAAGATATCAAAAGTATTCGGTTTTTAAAATCGATAAACAATTATAGATTTAATCTATGCTGATCTAATTTTAAAAAATTGTATATTTAATTTTTATAATTTTGATCGATGTCGAAATTGATTCAAAAACACATCATCAAATTATTTTGACCAAATTATGAAAAATAAAAATTTTAATATTATTACAGCAAGAACGAAAAGAAATCCTTAATTATAGGTAACATGGCCCCCAGCCCAAGTCACTATCGTGCACTAATTCAAATCAAAACTCTGTTTTTTGGGAGAAATCAATTTCATTTCAACACTATTTTCCACTTCTTGTGTTCTAAGATATGTTGGTGAAAAAAAGGGGAGAAAAATCCCTTGATTGAAGGAAAAATGGGTCCTCGTATTTGACGCTTGAGAGCAAATAAGGTTGCATGGACCCCAAAAATATCAGGCAAGGACAAAAGGCCTAAATATTCGTAAAAAAACACATTATGGACGGTATTGAAGGGTGTGAAAGCTGAAGAGCAGACAAAGAGGACTTTAGTGGGGACTCTTTACTGACTATGACCACGTGAGCTTGTTGTCTCTTAAAGAGCCGAAAGCAGCAATTAAAAAAAAATAATAATAATAATATTTTATTTATTTGGAATAAATTAATAAAAATTGAGAAATTTTATTGGACGGTGGCATGTGAAACTAGCAGAAACGAGAGGGGATAGCACATGGAAATCTTGAAAAAAATATATATATATAGCTGATGGGACAGAACCTAATTGACCCCATAGCCTCAGCCTTTTTCTAACCTGCCTGCTTTGGATTTTGTTTTCAGATTTGTTGTCTGTTTTTTGGAAGAAAAAAAGTAAGGATAAAGTTTAGCCAAATTACTTTTTTAGTTAGGTTTCCGTTAGAAAAAGCAGGTAGATGGCCACGATTTACGCCGTCAGAAAGAAAGAAAGAAAATATTTTTTAGAATAAATTAATATTAAATTGACTATGATTATTAGTGATTAAGTAATTAATTAATTTTAAAAGATTAGAGATTATTTGATTTATTTTGCAAAATTAAAAAAAATTAATTTATAAATTATTCCTTGATGTACTGGTCTAGCGATTTTGTTCGAGATGGGTTGTTTTCCTGCCTGGATAAGCCCATGCTTTGCTTACGAAACCTAGCCCATTGTTTCAAGACTTACTTAAAATGTACTTGAGACTTATCTTTTTTAAAAGATGACAATGCTATCTTTTTTTAAAAAAAAAAAAAAAATCCTTTCTCTTATTTAATGAGTAAAATATAGAACTTAAATATTTCTTTTTTTTTTTTTTTCATAATCAAACTTATAGTTTTGACATGCAAGAGCATTTTCTTTTTTTCTTTTTTTCTTTTTTTTGGGGAGGGGGTGGCATAATAGAGCTCTCTTCTTTATCAAGTAAATTATAAATTAGTCCCTTTTGTTTAAAGAAACATTAATTTCTTTATTTTTTAAAGAAACTAATCATTTAAATCTCATGTTTTAATTTATTTCAATAACTTAGTCATTTCATCAATTTTTCGTTAGATTAGTGATTTTTTTTTCAAATTGCTCTTCTTTTGATACCTTATTTCTCTCATTTACTTACTTTTTTAGTTTTTTTATTAAATTAATAATTTTTATTTTTAAATTATCCTTCTTTTGATTTTTTTAGTTGAGAAGAGAGAAAAAAAGAGTGAATGAGAAAAATAAAACATTAAAAGAAGAGCAAATTGAAAAAATAATCATTAATCTAATGAAAAACTAATAAAATGACTAAGTTATTGATTAAATTAAAACGTAAGAGATTAAACAATTAGATTAATTTTTTTTTTTTTGGAAAAGAGAAGGATTAATTTATAATTTACTTTTTTTTTATCACTGAAAAAGAAAAAGGCAGGAAGTACAAGAGAGAAAACAAAGCCTGAGCAGAGCAAGGCAAAGGTGGTTGGTTTTCCTCTCCCGTACACAATTGGTTAGTGACATTCTTCGTAGCAGTAGTGCAAGAGACCTTAAAGTTCCAATCCCAACTTCCTTGCTGTATTTCATGGACTATCCAATAACACGGGCATACATAACCCCTCAGGACTTTTTTCTTTGAAAAAAACAAAAGAACAATTCTTTTGATTGAGAAGAGAACATGAAGAAATATTGTAATTTAGCCCACAAATCAAGGTTCATACTTTCCTTACATGTAATAAAAATTAATGGAATCAACTTTATCCTCAAATATATATTAAGTGTCCAATGTATTATTTTCATAAGATTTTTACATTAAACTATTGAAATTTATGACACGATTTGCATATGATATCTTTTTATTTGACTAACTTAGAAAGGTGCTTTAAAAAATAAAAATCAATCATCCGTAAATCATATAAATAATTTTAGTAATTTAGTCTAAAAATCTTAATAAAATGATAGATTAAAAACTTAAATGTATATTTAAAAATAAATTTAATTCAATTAAAAGCATAAAGAGATATTGATGAATTATTTTATTATATAAAAATAAACTTAGCTATTAATTCAATTTTTTCCATCATCCAATCATCCAAACTTTCAACAATGATATAATCTAGCAATTCTCACATACAAAGATTAAAGAAAGGCTGAAGTTTCATAAAATCTAATGCTGAACAGAAATAATTTTTTATTTCTTTTAGAGAATTGGACGATAATAATAATAAAATACTGTATATATTTTTTTTAAAAAATCCTACAACTATGAATTAACTCAATGTACATTATTAATATCAGTTCATGGGTAGTGTCACGTGAAAATAGAATTATTTTTGTAGAAGAATATTTATCAAAATGGCTAGCAATTAGATCCACAAAATACGAAATTTCAGCATCACCGAATCTTGACATTCCTCATAAGAAAAATGAAATCCAATGGAAAATAATTTTATGTGTGGATTTCCCTATGTGCCCTGCTTGTGCCACCAAAATTATGTGACGTGTTGAATTAATTAAGTCAACTTTAATCAGGTTGCTGATGGGGGCAGATGGCCCCTCAATTTCTGGCAAACAACAACTAAGCCCTTAATCTGTATACATTTGGTCGCAATGTAATTCTTTTTGTTAGCTATTTTCGGGTAATCACGTGCGATAAGCAGGTGATTGAAAAGGAGTTATTTTTTTCAAGAAAATATTTATATTTGTAAAAATTTTACTGTGTGTTGAAATTTTTGAAATAAAATATTTCAATTAGTATATTATTTTTTTAATTATTTTAAACTTATCGTTAAATAACTTGATGTTTTTTTGTTTAATTTATCACTTTAATTTTAAATAGATTTTATTTTTAAATTAATATTTGTTCCGTATAATTCATGATTAAATTTGATAACTAACAATTAAAAAAGAGAGGATATTTAAGAAAAGTATGAATAAAAAAAACTCATATGATATAACAATTAATATTTTTTTAAAATTGTGTGAGAAGTAAAAAATGATAATTTTGTTAGAATAGAGGAAGTAAAAAAAATAATAAGCTCATTGGTAAATGCCTCTTGTTTATATACAAAAGATTACAGGTTCAAATTTTAGTTTCGTTAGAATTTTTGGATGTGTGAGTTATAAAAAAATTAAAAATAAAACTAAAATAGTACGACTACTAAAAAAAAATCTAACAAATGGTTTACATTGCCATCAACTGATAATTTAGTTTTGTTAGAATTTTTAGAATTGTGGGTTATTAATGATAAATGGCTTTATTCCTGGTATTAGTTTGGATTAGAATCCTTTACAATATCTATTAAAGTATTGGAGATTTTTAGATTATTTTTTCATTAATCATATTAAATCTATCACCTTCTTTCTGGGTTAGATTAGTGTTAAATCATTTCTAATTTTTTCTCCATTCTAAAAATCAAAATTTTTAAACTCATTAACAGTACATATCTGATATCATACCAAAAAAAAAAAAAAAAAAAAAGAAATTTTAAAAAATAAGAATCGTATTTCTAATACGATGATAACAGAATACCTTTTTTCACTCCAACTTCAACCTTGAATGATACAAAATTAGAATTAAATAACTTGTGGTAAAAATAACTTTAATCTTGGCATGCATAGAAAAGGATCAAACACAATGTTGGCTAACTTGCTTCTCATGAATTTGAATATGAGCTTGCTTGCCGTTGGGTTCTTTTACAAATCTTGCTGTCCTCACGTGGGGTGCTGATGGTTCAAATTATTGCAAGTTTGCAATCATTAATTTGTAGTAATTAGTCTAATGTTCATTCTTTTAGGCCTTTTCTAATTAAGTCCTAATTGCCCATTAAAATTTCATTTTTCTGTGGCTGGATTCTAGAAGCACAGGCCAAGCTTGCATATCAATAGCACCAAAAATATTGTGCTGTTGCATTATTGGAATCAAGTAATTACTGACAACAATTAACAAGTGGTTATGATATAATAAACTTTTAGATGTAACAGTCCTTCAGAATTGAAGAACCAGTAAGTAAGGAAGAAAAAGAAGGAGGAGAAGAAGAAAACTAATAAGGAAGTTTATTAATAAGAGCCAAAGAATTGCTAGTCAGCATAGCAACATTCGCTATACTCTTCCTGATCTCGATCATCACTTCATCGCTTATTTTCCTATCATCAAATCCATCTGTGCAGGTATTCTCATCCGTTATCGCGGCACTCATCCATGTTCTTATGCTCGAAATCTGAAATTCAATATCAGAACCTTTTAAGCTGCCTAAAGCCTTGAAAGATTGGTTCAGCTCATCGATGGAGTCTCTCATTTCATCGATGCAATCTTTAACAATACCAGCTTCAGTCTTGCTCAAACCCCTTTGCTTTGATATAGATTTTACTAAGGATGATGTGTTGCTAGCAGCATCTAAGGTCACAGTTAACGCTGCGCTGCATAGTTTGAGGTCATCGGTTTCGATGGTGGAGGTGTAAGAAGAGAGGGACTCGAAGCAAAGTTGTGGATATAAGGTAGAATTGCAAGCTGTTTTTAGGTAATTTGTGTAGGTTTTGCTTGAAGCTTTGGTGGTGGTGATCAAATCTGCTAAGGATATCTGCACATTTGACATGCACAGAAGAAAAGTTAGAAGCAAAGCTAGAACATTAAATGAACTTGGTCTTGGAATAATTTTGGCTTCCATGATCTCTCTTTCTCTTATCTCTCAATCTGAAGTTTGCGTTGATAGTTGTGAAGAAGATCCCAATTTATAGAAAAATCTGTGAGGTTGTACATGAATGCAAGTCCAAGTCTTGGAGGCTGTAGAATATGTAAAATTATTCAACAAATCGCAAGGAATTTAAATAAGGGAAGACCTGGTGGCTAGCTATAAGCCATCAAATATGAGATGGCACATGCATGAATGAAAATGATTGTAGCTATAGGTTACTAGCTAGATTAGGTTACTAGCTCAATATATAATTAAGAAATGAGAATTGAATTCAACAGTAGCATAGCGCAATGCGAAAGGGTCCTTACACGCAACGATATGCCAAAAGTATCAGTATCTCTTCTTCTTTCAGAATATCTCGAAATTGTATCTCTCTTTCTTTTGGAAAGTCTCAAATTCAAACTTCTTTATATCCATTTTTTTTTTTTACCAATGATATAAATTGATTTCTGAAATTAAGATGAAATCTACCATTTACATAATAAGTTTAAATAGCGGGGGAAAAAAAGAAGAGAAAACTTTCTTCTAGATTATGTTCTAATTGAAAATAAAAAAATAAAAATTTATATAAAATCAGGTTATATTTCTTTGGAAACTAGTTTAAGATTCGTACTTTTTTCGATTAAGATATATATATATATATATAGGTAGTAGGATATTTTCGAATTATTTTTTGCATCAAACTACATTAAGGGAGTGTTTGATAACTTAACTAAGTAGCTTAAAAAATTAAATTGTACTACTTAATATAAAAATCTTGTTTGATACCTTAAATGATCTCATATTAAAACTTTAAGTTCGAGTTAAAATCTACTTAATCAAATAAGTTAAAATTTTTAACTTATTTGATTAAGTCAAACTATCTAAAACATAATCTCTCTCTCTCTCTCTCTCTCTCTCTATATATATATATATATATATATATATATATATATCAGAATTTATAAATTATAATAATATATTTTGAAAAATAAAATACTCCTTTGAAAAGCATAAAAATAATTCATTATATAAATGATAATAATATATTTTTAAAAAATAAAACATCGACGTTATAAAATTTTATTCCAAAATTTATATATTAAAAAATCAAATTTATTAACAAATAAAATTATATCAAAAATTAATTTGATGAGAATTTTAATAAGAAAAAAATAATTGAAAAAAATAAAATTTAAACAATAAGAGTAGTATAATCGGATACATATGTTCAAACTAAAATCTTAAAAAATATTATATATATTCTATCATCTTCAAACATGCTTATTATATTCGGTACTTAATTTTCATTTAATACCAAACAGACTTGTCGAAACATATTCGATACTTAACGGATTCAACACTTAAAATTCAGTACTTAATAGATTCAGCACTTAATTTTCAGTTTTATCAAACACCACCTAAGTCTACTACTTTTTAAATTAAGCTACTATCATAACATGTTTTGGCTTTAGTTGATCACTAAGCTATTTTTTGAGTCAAATCAACTCAAATCTAGTGCTATTAAGAGATAATTATACCTAATTATCTATAGACTTTGGTCTAGTACTATTGCCAGTAGAAATTGAAGCTTAATCTTGGCCAAACCAATTCAACTCTTTTACTACTATACCACATCCTTTGGTCTTGACACGTAATGTTAATGTTAATATGCCAATAAGTTGTAACTTAATTAATGTTAATGTCTCTCCTCTGTTTATAAGGTTTCAAATTCAAACCTCTTATATATATATATATATGTATTCACCATGATATAAATTAACTTAGTGAAATTTAGATGAAATATACCATATACAGAATAAGTTTAAAAAGGGCAAAAAAAAAAAAAATTCTTCTAGGTTTAGACCTGATTTGCGCATAAACATTCAAAACATTGGGCAAAATCTTACTAACTTGTGCAATTTGCAATTCTTTCTTGATTTCAGATCCGGAAACCTTGGTAACAGAGCTTTTCTGCCCACTGCAAGCAAGTTAAACAAGGCTCAAAGAAAAAGATCAACTTTATAACCTTATTATGACAGAATTATGGTGATAAACACCAATGATCAAGTAGTTCCAGATTGATAACATGAAATCAAACCATTAAAAGCAAACCCAAGCCCCAGAATGCAAGAGACGAGCAGGAGGAGAGAGGGTGACTTCAGGTGCTGGTTGAAATACCCATTTGCAGGTCTGCGATTACAAAAGCAAGAAAATAAGTCATATGGGATACAGCGTAAGTTTTCAAATAGCTTTGGCTACCAAACTGGAAGTCTGAGTCTACAATCCGTTCCTGCTTGCTACTGCTTTAGAGACAGCCGAGCAGGCTGCAGGATTGATGAGGACACTTATGTATAGAGAAACAAAAGCTTTTAGAATTAGCTTTCCACGCCCAACAATAAAATGCAAAGAATGTCTATTTACAACAAATGCAAAGAGAAACAGTACATAACAGACCAGCTTTGCCACCATCATCACGGCCATGGCTACACAACACACAACCACCAGTTCTCCATTTCCTTCAGTTCATGAGAGATTTTCATACAAGTTAATGTACAAGTTAGGGTACACATCAGAAATGTAACTGCCTACACTGCAAGGAATCGACGTCAGATGGACAGTAAGGGCATTTAAAAGGTTTTGAACCGTTCTTGGACATCTTATTGATAGACTGCTTGCATAGCACGTGGCCACATTGCATCAACATCGGGGGTTCTCGTCGGTTGATTGCTCCTTCGACACAGGACATACAAAGACAGAATGGAACTGAAATTCCCTATCCAACTCCACTGGCACTGGCAACTGTTTCATTGACTGCCACTCCTGTCTCTTCCCGGCCATCACAGTCATAAACTTCAAAAGTGGTGGCAGACCCTGGAACCCTGCAGCTATTGTCACACTCAATGGGCTTTCAAAAGACTTCCCCAAAAGATTGCAAAACTGCCTGGTGAGCTCCTCAGCCACCACATTCCAATTAGTGGCTGACAGTAAATCAGAATAAGGAGAGTGATGAAGCCTTCCAGACCACAGGAGACTGGCCATAAGCTTCTGGATTTCAGAAAAATGGTTGGCACCAAAAGGAGAAATGTGAGTTCTGACATATGAAAGGGCTTTGCTTCTGCTTCCACCTTGCAGTATTTCCACAAACTGCAAACAATGAAGTTTCAGCAGCAGGTCTGACCCATTTTCTTTGAGCTTATTGGAATTGGCAGCAGCCCAGTTCAGTGCAGGCTCTAGATTCCGCTTCTTCATAGCTTCAAGTATCAGATACATATCTGAGAAAAGGGATTTCAAAGCAGCAGTAGATTCTGGTTCCTTGGCCTCATTTATAAAGCAATCGCCAACATCAAACAGGCCTTGACGGTAGAAATGGCCTGCAATTATCTGGTTAACAGTATGAGCATCAAAATCGATGTTTCTATAAGCCTTGGATATATCTGGGTTGAAAGATTTCTCAAGCTGCTTTGGGTACTTGCTCAGGGCTATATTCAGTTCCTTCTGTGTGCCTTCCAGCTGACTAAGTGGAGCAATTTCTTGCAACTCTTTCTTTAGTTCACCAAGGACAGATTTACAGTCCACTTCAGAACCGGAATGTTCTGCCTTCATTATTTCTAATGACTTCTCAATCTCTTGCATCATCTGGTCAACGACTTCTTGGGTTTTAGAAGCAGACATCTTTTGCTTCTTTGCAACACGATCAAATGCATCCTTAATGGGATTCAGATCCATTTTCACTTCACTGTATCACTAGCTTGGGTTGAGAAATAGCTATGTTAAGCACCAGCAAGGAAGTATCAGAAAAAGGAAGGTCATCACCAATTCTGATTGCAAAGAACTCCATCAACATGGCAACACAAAGCAATACAAAATTAAACTCCCCCAATAGAAAAATCTTCAAAATTAATTAGTAACATTTTCAAACAAAATTGCATACTTTTCAAAGGAAATTAACTCATGCCTGAGTTCAAAGTACTGAAATGTGGAGAAGAGTATTAATTAGTAGTTACTATTGCAAGAAATGACAGAAAAGAGTAATTGATTTTCAACTACAAGAAAACTGGCGATCATCCACTGCAAATTTGTAAAATGGATTCAATTCGTTGCAAAAGGCCTTGACACAATAAAGTATTTGCAATGGATTTCACAATTCCATTGCTAGATTTATTCTTGCAATTTTTATTTTTGCAATGGATTTTCTAAATTGTGCAAGATTCTGCCGCTAATCGATTGCAAATTAGCAACACCTTTAAATCCGTTGCTAATCTGTCACAATAATCATCATTGTTCACACCACATAGTCAACAAATCAATCCATTTACATTAAATCATAAATTTCACTAACACTTTCTTGGAAAATTACAAAAACTGGAAATATCAAACAAACCCAAATTCACTTCACCTTCTACTTCAATTTTTTGAAAAAAAAAAATCCAAACTTTCAAGGTATTTTAGCAACTTCATGACAAAAATTAAGAACCCCAAAAAAGAAACTTTCATTTTTACTCACTATAGCATTGAAACAAGAACACTACCAAATTGGGTTTTTCCAGAATCACAAAACTATTAACTATTATCACAAGAGTAAGAATTCAGAGAGGCCCAACAAAATCGTAAAAAACAACATCGAAATGAACCTCGTTAAAGAAGAAGGAGGAGGAAGAGAGAAAGACATACCTCGGGATGCTGGAGGCTTGGACGTTAGATTTTAGCGCGCTTTGTCAGCGGCGGGGAGAAGGTTGCTGGCGGCTTGAGCGGCGGCTTGAACGGCTGTGAATTGAGAGAGAGGGAGAAGAGGATAGAATGGAAATCTGATTATCTCGGCTTTTCTAGATCAGATCGGTTGTTTTGCAAATTTTTTATTTAAATGTATAGGTAGGTACAAATCAGTCCCTCATCCTATCATGTTTTCCACTAGTCATCCCTTATTAAGCTTTTGCTAGATGTGGCTCTGAGGTGAAAATTCGATTCTTCGATTTCGATGAATTCAATTCGGGTTTCAGTTAATCAGACCCATAAAAATTAAAACCGAATTCAAATTGAAATATTATTCGGTTTTTGGTTTTTTAAACATAAAATTTTAATTTTTTTATTAATTTTTAATTAAAAAAAAATGATATGATTCTTGGTTCCTTGAACCTATTTTGGTCACAGTAAGATTTTCTATTCATTTGATAGGTTAAAAAACTATTCTTTAGTAATGAATTTTTTCTTCAATTTATTTTGGAAAAAAAATATTAATTTAAAGTTACAATCAATTAAAAAATAACATCAAACATACAAGTCAAATAATGCAATCCATAAATTATAAATATAAAATTTATTTAAGAATCAACTGAAAAAAGGAGTGAAAAAAATAAATAAAGGATTGAACTAATATGATGGTAGTTCTATGGTTTCTTAATGTTATATAACATATAGATATCTAGATACAAACATATACTAATAATATTATCATATATAAATGAATCTACATATGAAAAAAATTATATATAAATATGCTATTTAGTTTTTAGTGAAAACCAAATAAAAAAAAATTTAAAAACTTAACCAGAAACAAAAATTCAAATTAAATTTGATTTAATTTCACACAATAAAAAACGAAATCGAAATTAAATTTGGTTTAAATCGAATGGTGCTCATCCCTAGCTCAACGACTCTACCTATAATAGATTTGACTTTTACTTTTGGTTTCAATCATAAAAATCCTCAAGGATAAATGTACCATAAATACATTATTTTATTTCTTTTTCAATTAAATATGTGTATTTTATTTTTATTTTTTTGAGTAGATTGATATTTTCAAAATTATCAATTAAGTATTTTCGTTAATTTTTATATTAAGTGATGACGTGTTCATTATCTCTAGAATACCAAATTATAATTTTGCACTCTTTATTCTTCGTCGAGTACATAGACTTTAATTTTTTTATTTGAATACACTAATTTTTTTTAAAATTGTCAATCAAGTACTTCGTCAAATTCTCTCGTTAACCGATGAAGTGACAGTTATTATCAAAATACTAAATTATAAATTTATCATCTTTTTGTTTGAGTGAACTTTTTCTCAAATTATTCTACCATTTCGAAAATTGATAAATAATTTTAAAAAAAGCTATAAAACTCTAAAATAAACTAAGTTAGGTTTAAACATGAAAATTGAAGAAAAACACAAACGTAAGATTTTTCATCATGAATATTAATTGCTTGTAAGCATTTGAGAAGAAAATTCCCCCTAATAAAAGGAAGAAAAAAATAATTTGATATTCAAGAGATAAAGAACACGTCATCAATTAAAGAAAAAAATTGATAAGAAGTATTTAATTGATGGTTAAAAAATAGTATATTCAAATGAAAAAAATTAAAAGTTATGTACTGAAATGAAAAAAAAAAGAAGTAAAATTGTAATTTGCTATTCTAGAGGTTATGAAAGTAATTGGCTGGCAGTTTTAAAAATTGATATACTAAAAAAAAATTGAAATCAATATACTTATACTGTATTTATTGTGAATCCGCAAGATAATGAAATTAATTCTCATTATATATCACTCTTCCTCACGAGATTTACTTACATGGATGACCCAAATTATATCATTCTTTTAATTTTTTATAAAACATTGTATATTAAATTAGGATATGAATGCATTAAATTAGTATAGTAGCTAGGTTAGTTACTCCTATCACCACTTGTCACCACTAACAATCAGATCTACTAATTCTTTATATTTTTAATTGTTGTGCATCTATTCGGTTAAAGTAGTTTAGTGTGTACTAGTTGGATACTCGCGTTATGTCTGCAGATAGATAACCATTACATAAATAAGGTTAACGATTTATGTGGTGTATTGCGAGTAGAAAGTTTTATTTTTTGTGATTAATATAAATTGAATCTATATATAGTTAATTTCTAATAAAACTAACGATATATATAAAACAGATTCGAGTATATAGAATAAATAAATAAATAAAACCACCTAAATTGTAGAAATATATCGAAGTCAATAAATTAAAATAAAAACTACAACAAAATTGGTTTTGATAAATTCTGAATATATATATATATATATATATATATATATATAAACAAAACTTGTGAATTTTTTGAACTCATTATTATTTTAAAAACAATTGAGTCAAATTATCTAAAACATATTTTTAGCTCTCTCTCTCTCTCTCTCTCTCTCTCTCTCTATATATATATATATATATATATATAACACTCATTAAAAAATATAAAAATAACTTATTGTATAAATTATAATAATATATTTTTAAAAAATAAAACATTGATGTTCTAAAATTTTATTCCAAAATTCATATATTAAAAAACTAAATTTATTAACAAATAAAATTATATCAAGAAATTAAAAAATTAATTTAATGAGAATTTTAATAAGAAACAAACACTACAAAAAAAAAAATTAGAATTAGACTGTCGTTAATTCGCTAAAATCGGTCGCTAATTTTAATTAGCGACGGATTTGCGACGGTCCAAAAACCGTCCGTAAAATGCCGGTCGTTAAACTTTTGCAACGGTTTTCGGACGGTCGCTACTTTAGCAACGGAAACAATCGTCGCAAAATTAAAAAACCGTTGCAGCTTTATGACAATTTTAGCGAGGGTTTTAGATCGTCACTAATATTTAGAATTAGCAATGGTCTAGACCGTCGCTAATTCCATTGCAAACAAATTAGCAACGGTCCGGACCGTTGCTAAAATATTATTTTTTTATCCTCATTTTAAATTGACTAATTGTTAATTTTATCGCAAAAAAATTAGCAATTGTCTAGACCGTCGCAAACAAATTAGCAACGGTCTAGACCGTTGCTAAAATATTATTATTATTTTTTTATCATCATTTTAAATTGACTAATTTTTAATTTTATCGTAAAAAAATTAGCAACGGTCTAGACCGTCGCTAATTCCGTTGCAAAAAAAAATTAGCGACGATCTTAGCAACGGTCTAGACTATTGCTAAAATATTATTATTATTATTTTTTATCCTCATTTTAAATTGACCAATTGCTAATAACTTATTAACAATTTTCTAAAATAATTAACTTTCCAAAATACCATCAATTAAACTAACTAAATTAATAAATAACATTTAACAATAAACTAACTAAATTAACAATTAAAAATTACCAATTAATAATAAAAATTAACAACAAAAATTAATAACAATAAAATTAATAATTAAACAATTAATAACAATTAAATTTTCTTAACAATTAACAATAACAAAAAAATTTAAAATTAAATTAAGTAAATAATTGAAAAAAATTAAAAAATTAATTAAGAGGTTAGATGAGGGAGGACCTTTCACCAACACAAGGAGGAGAGTGGGTTGCGCGGTGGAGAGGCTTCGTCGGACTATTCCGGCTGGAAAATGGCCGGTTGAGGAAGGGGGAGAAAGGAAGAAAGAAAGAGGAAAATGAAGAAGAAAGGGTGAGAGATGGAGAGAAGAAAGGGAAGTAGGAGAGAGAGGAGGAGATTGGAAGGAAAATAAAAAAGAGAGGGAGAAGATTTAACGGAAATGGAAGGGAGATCGGCACTGGAGAAAAAGAAGAAGAAGAGAGACAAGAAATTTTTTCTTGCAAATTTTTAGGCAAATTGTTATATAGGAGGTCTGAAAGTTTTAGCGACGGTCTAAAAACCGTCGCTAAAACCATCGCTAAAACCATCGTTAAATGTCTAAAAAAGTTAAAAAAATAGCCATTTCCCTCTTAATTGACCGTCGCTAATTTACTAATTTTGCGATGTTTTTTGGTAAAAAAACCATCCCGAAAAAGGCTGAAAGTAATAAAATTTTTTGAAAAAATTGAAATTAGCGACGGTTTTTTTGGAGGAAACCGTCGCGAGAAAATGGTTGCAAAATTTTTTTTTAAAAAAATTGAAATTAGCGACGATTTTTTCCAAAAAAAACGATCGCAAAAAACCGTTGCTAATTTTCATGATTAGCAACGGTTTTTTTACAAAAACTCGTCGTTAATTTCTCTCGCTAAAGGGCTTCAAACCGTCGCTAATTTCCCCTCGCAAATCCTTTGTTTTTTTTTTGTAGTGAAATAATTGAAGAACTAAATTTAAACAATAAGAATAAAATAATCGGATATGCATGTTAACATCAATGTCAAAAATATAATTAATATTGGTTCAAGGACATTAAAAGGATCAATAATATATATGTTTTCTTTTTCGATGAAGGGACCAATTATATATGACCGCTTAACGTGTACAACACTTGCTTGGAGATCCAGTTATGCTATGACAATATGTATATTCTTTTAAGGGTTTTCTTTTGCCTTTTAATGATCCAATCCCAAAACATATCAATATTTAAAATAATTTGCCATTTTTTTTTGTTTTATCATGAGATTGGTGCCCGAGACTTTTAAAAATATAAAATAAATTATAGTAAAAAAAAAGAGCGGGGTCGCGCGTGGTTAGTGTGTGTGTGTGTGTGTGTATATATATATCGTACTTAGCAGATTCGAGTATATAAACTAAATAAAAAATATATAAAAAACCTACTTAAATTATATGGAATATGTTGAAGTGAATAGATTTAAATAAAAACTACTATAAAATTGGTTTTGATAAATTTTGATTATATATATATATATATAACCAAATAAAGCTGTGAATTTTTTTAACTAATTATTAATTTTTTGAAAAAAAACCAAGTTAAATTATTTTTTTAATCGATTATTATTTTTTTTAAAATGAAGTCAAATTATTTAAAACATATTTTAGCTTTTTCTCTCTCATTAGAATTGATATAAGTGACAACGCCATTTTCATATAAAAATCATAAAAACAATCAATTATATAAATTATAATAATATATCTTAAAAAATAAACAATTATGTTCTAAAATTTTATTTCAAAAGTCATATATAAAAAAATAAATTTATTAACAAATTAAAAAAGAAATGAAAAACTAAATCTCAATAGCCTAACCCGTTAAAAAAAAAAGGTGTTAGTTGGGGAAAAAAATTTAAAAAAGCCATAATAATGAAACTATGAAGGATGCTATAATAATAAGACTGTGAAGGACTAGTTCAGCAACTCATGCTTTTAAGAAAAAGAAAAAAAAGAAAAAAAGAACCGAGGCGGAAAAAAAGAAGGTGAAGACAATAATATGAACAGTTTCACCCTCAATTTTTTTAGTTGTTTTTATAATAGTAATAATCATGGTTAATTTTATATATAGGTTGTTCTAAAAATACTGTATTGTGAATTAATATATATAGTCACGTGCCAAGTCAAAATCATTACCAAAAAATTTGAAAAAACTGCCGAGATAAAATGTTGCCTTTCTGAATTGAACTTGAATGGAGTATTTTTGACTTTCTTTAAGAAAAAGAAAAAAAAAAGGCAAGGCGAGTAAAAAAAAAAAATAGCAACTTGGTTTGTCCACTTGGACCACATCCACAATTTTTCCAAGGACCAACGTTGCGTGTGTGTATATATGTACACGTACCAAATTGGTTCACAGACCCACATTTCTTTATAATTTGCCTGTTATAAAAAAAAAAAAAAGACAGTCTCACTCCCAGTTCTTTTAATTTTTTTATAATATATATATATATATATATCCATAATTTTTTTTGATTGTCTTGTTTTTTGGATGACTAGTTTTGTAGTTTCAATGAGTGAAGCATGATGTTTATTTATAGTTTTCTAGAGATTCTTTCTTGATTATATAAATGGAAGGTTTGGAATTTTGTTTTGTGTGTTCGTTTTTCATGGTGGTGAAGGTGACTGTACGTTTTGTCTAAATACTGTGGACATAAAGGTCGTGGTGGTTGATGGGTCAATTACTGAAATTTTTTAGCAATAATTCCTTGATGCCGTCATTTTAGATTCCTTGCTTTCATGAACAGTTCTAGTTTCATTGAATTAAGTGGCTTTTTTTTTTTTTTTTGAGAGTTTGTCATTGTGAGAGGCCTTAATTAAGAAGTTTGTTAATGCAGCAAGAAGAAACTCATCAGTTTGAAATTATTTTTTTTATATTTTTAACTCTCAGACATAAGATTTTTATCAGAATTAGTCTATTAGTATTTTCACTTATAATCTCTTGTTACAAGAAATTATTATCATTGGACTATACGTTCTGTGATATCAAGTTATGATTACAAGCTTAAGTCTCATTGATGATTTATATATTGATATGTTTACTTAATTTTAATTAGTCTTATTGGTAAAAATATTTTATTTTTTTTATCTCAACATAGATAAATTGTTATATATATATATAATTTCTCATTAAAGGAGTAAATGATTAAGATATGCGAAACTTTTAGATTGAGGATAGCCTGACCATTAAGATTCTTTTAGATATAAGATTCCTTGATGAGAACCAAAGAATCTGTATACAAATTGTGCAACAAAGGGCCCAAAAAAAAAAAAAAAAAAAACTAAAGAGAAAATATTAAAAAGGAAAACAAAATAATTAACTAGTAACTTAGTTTATTTATAAGAGCCAAAGCATTGCTAGTCAGCCTACCAACATTCACTATACTTTTACTGATCGTGCTCTTCACTGCATGACTTATCTTCCTGCCATCAAATCCATCTGTACAGGTGTTCTGATCCGTTATCGCGGCACTGACCCATGTCTTTATGTTATCAATCTGAATTTGTTTATCAGAACCACTTAAGCTGCCTAAAACCTTCAAAGACTGCTTGATCTCATCAATGGAGTCTGTAATTTGTTCAACGCAATCTTCAATAACAGCAGCTTCAATCTTGCTCAGCCCCCTTCGCTTTGATAAACTTTTCACTAATTTTGATGTGTTGCGAGCAGCTTCGAGGGACACAGTTAATGCTGCGTTACATAGTTTGAGATCATTGGTTTTGATGGTGGAGCTGTAAGAATAGAGGGACTTGAAGCAAAGCTGTGGATATGTGGTAGAATTGCAAGCTGTTTTTAGGTAGTCTGTGTAGGTTTTGCGTGAAGTTTTTGTGGTGGTGATAGCTGCTGAGGATGTTTGCGCATTTGATATGCATAGAAGAAAAGCAAGAACGACCAATGCTAAAATATTGAAACAAGTTGAGCTCGAAATAATCTTAGCGTCCATGATCTAGCTAGCTTGTTTTCTTCCCCTCTCTCTCAATCTCTGTTTTGCGTTCATAGGTGTGAGAAGATCCCAATTTATAGGAAAAATCTTTTAGCTGTGTCTGCGACGTAACTACAAGAGTTGGAGGCTGTAGCATCTTTAAAATTATGGGAATTAAATCAGATGGAATTCAAATAAATAACATGGGGTGGGTCTCAGGTATATACGCAATACGAGATGGCACACGTGATTGATGTTTGTAGATTACCAGATAGATATTGCATGGTTCGAGTGATCGGAAGATTGAAAGGTTTGTTTCTCACGCTGTCCTTTAAATTTTTTTTATTCATCAGGAGGTTCATGAATCTTTAGCTATACAATAGAAGCACGTAATAGTTTTTCATTACATAATTATTATTAAAGAACAATCTCACTTGAATGTTAAGTTGATAGGTGAGATCTCAGTTTGAAACTTACACAAGTCCATATTGACTTGTGCTTAATACTTGAGAAATTGAGGATGTAGAGACTTGAATTATGACTCGTTGGTCAACCAAGATTCGATATCATATTAAAGCGACCATCTCACCTAAAAGCTTAAGTTGACGAGTGAGGTCCCGTAATATAATTTATAATAGTCTCTAATAATTATAAAAAAGACTTAAAATTTCTTTATTAAAAAAATTATCTAAATACATAAACGTTATGTTAAGTCCGTTTTTATACTCGTCATTTAAAATTTAAATTTATAGAAAAACAATATTACAAGGAAAAAAAATCTTAACAACAAAAAAAAAGTTCAACTAAGATTTTTTTATTTATTGAAAGTTCAACTTCGAATTTAATTTTAATATGTACAAGTTAATTAAAACAACTGACCACGGAAGAAGAAAAGGAAAATTAATAGTTACATTATGTACAGTAAATTGTTGCGGGTACGTAAACAATAACTCAAAAGTAGATCGGTTACGAAGGACTGTGGACTTATCTAGATGATTGCATGAACCCATTCATCTTTTCCTCCTGTATAATTTGTCAGTTGTAATGCACCTATCCTTTCCACATACTTTAATGTCATGTGAGCATTCTATGACGTTTGAGACTCTTTTTGTTGGTGTAGTGGGCTTTGAAAATGATTGAGGCCGCAAGCCGAAAGTCAAAACCTAATTACTTCTTTGGAAAAGATTTGTACTATTATAAGATTATATATATTTCAAGTTAGCCGTATGAATACTTTCGTACGTGAACATAGAATTGAATATGTCACATTTCGTCACATGAAATGATTTAAATACAAGATATCTTGTGAATGTAAGAATTCATGAAAATTACATAAATTTTGATTTGAAAGCTGCCTTATTTCAGCTAATGATATAATTATTTGAATTAAAAACATCTTGGCATTGAATTAAAGTATTTCTTTTTATTACTCAACACGGTTAATTCAAATGAAAAAACTTTTAATCGTTTAAATAAATAATTTTAGATTCGAGATTTTGTGTATATAAAAAATTTATTGGATAAATGTATCTATCTTATACGTCCAATTAAATAGTGAAAGATTAATATAGACTTTTGACCTAGGATATTTTGAAAAAAAAAAAAACAATAAACTTTGAAAGGTATAATTCTCAATCTTCATTATTTTACGTTCTGATTTGAAGCATTGGGCAACTTGTACTACGCCTTTAGAATAAAATCAATAACAGTAATTTTGAATCAAAATAAAAACCCCCATATATATATATATATATATATATCAACATTTTTTTCAAATATGCAATTTATTATATTTGGATTGTTCAATCAAAAGCTGGTTACATTCTATTTAAGAGATTTTAAACTACAATGAAATTTTATAAATAATTGTGTCTATCTTGTATGTCCGATTAAATAACGAAAGATTAATTTAAACTTTTGTATTTAGGATATTTTGAAATTGAAAAAAAAAATCAATAAATTTTGAAAGGTGTAATTCTCAATCTTTAAGTCATTATTTTAGATTTTGATTTGAAGCATTGGGCAACTTGTAATACGTCTTTAGAATAAAATCAATAGCAATAATTTTGAATGAAAATAAAAAACTATATATATATATCAACATTTTTTTCAAATATACAATTTATTATATTTGGATTGTTCAATCAAAAGCTGGTTACATGCTATTTTAGAGATTTTAAACTGCGATGAAATTTTATAAATAACCAATTATGTATTCTTTATTTTCCAAAAAAATTATCTACATTTATATTTATATAATATGTTTTGGAAAAATATGAATAAAAAAAATGATATAGTATAAAAATTAATAACTTTCTTCGTTAGCATAAAAAATAAAAAATAAAAAATAAAGATAAATAGAGTAAAATATTATGATTAGATTCATCTATGACCTAAAACATTCATCATTTCATGTAGTTTCAAAGCAAGAGACTTAGAAGGACCGTGAAGCATCATTTATTTGTAAAGCTAGAAGCAACCTAAGACAATAACTTGTGTGCCGAAAAGATAAGGAAGAGACAAAGAAGAACATTTCTTGCACCGGTCAGCAAGGCATGTGACAACCAAGGTTTTTGGAATAAGAGGTTAGTTAATTTTAACCAACTCTTGAAGAAATACAAAAGTCAAACCCTACAGTTAGCCATGTGCCTGCCCTATAAGATCATGACACGTGCCACGGACTAACTCTTAAAAAATACAAAAGGTCAAACCCTAGAGATAGCCATGTGCCTGCCCTATAAGATCCTGACACGTGCCATGGACTCTAGCAAAGTCAAATACACCATTTAAGGTACGGACGACATACCACATGTGCCCTGAACTCTATTTTGCATGATTCGCTGCTCAACAGATGCCGATGCCCATGCAGATTTTTGGGGAAGCTTAACCACCCTCTCCTCTACATCCATGGATTCACAGTTTCCCACCATCTCAAGATTTTTCTTTTTCTTCCTGCTACATTGCGTTGTGGAAAATGGTTGAAGAAGTGATCGACTTAGGGTTTTTGAGGTGCATTTCATCAAGACTGGCCGTAAGATAGCGGTGTACTCCATCACATGACGAAGTCACCTAGCTAGCTAGCTACTCGTAATTAAAGGGATTAGAAGTTTCGCTTAATTATGTTGGTTGGATTTTGACTTGAAGTTGTGGATAAAAAGAAATTTAAAAATATTCAAGAAGTACTTTATGTATCCATTTCACAGGAGAGATAGGCATAAAAAAGAAGAAAAAAATAATATTTCAACCCACCAAGAGTTATAAAAATATATTCACTTAGGTGATTTTTTTTTAATTTTCTCTCTTATTTCTATTTTTTTTTGTTTATCTTTTTTCTTATCTTTGTACCTTTGTTATTGAGAATATTTTTTCTAAATTTATTTTTTTAAAAAAATTTATGTATCGAATAATGGATCGTATTGGCGAAATTATTTAAAATATTTCAAAAAAAAGACTTTGGAAGGAAACTTTTAGTAAGATTATGATCACTTTTTTTTTCCTCTTAATTTTCTTAATGTGACAATATTCTTAGAGAAAACCTCTGACGATCAAAGTCACGAGCGATCGGGGTTCATTTCATGTTACTGCTTATGTGAAATTTTCTTACAATTTAGGGGGGTTTTGAAACGTTTTTAAACTGTGGGGGTGAATAGCGAGGCTAATGCGGGCTTTTATATCTCTCGACGTCTTACTGGACCTAGTTGGGAGCATGATAGAAGCTGTGGGCCTTATCAAGATTTTAGCCCAAGCAATATTTAAAATGGGATTGAAGTCTGAATATTCGCTACGTTGCCCTTTTTTTCAGAAATTATTTCCATTAGTTTTGCAAAATAAATTAAATATTTTTTATTTTAAAAACTAATTAATTATTTTTATAATTTATAATTTTATTTTATTTTATTTTATTCTAAAAAATATATTCTTGTCTCATCAATCTGTCCATGCAGTTTACTTATTTTTTCTATTTTTTAAAATAAAAATAATAAAAAAGATCAACTTACAAATAGGTTTGAAAACATAAGGACTAATTACTTAGTTTTTAAAATAAAAAGCTATTTAATTTTTTTCAAAAAAAATAAAGGGGTCAATTAACACTTTTAATACTCTATCCTTCGTTTTTTCACAAAAAAAAAAAAAAAAAACCCTCGGAATCACATGTAATTAGGGTACCATAACTTGTAATATGAACAACATTTTTGAAACATTAAGAGTTTGATTAAAATGGAAATCAAATTTCTCCTGGCAACTTGAAAATTAAAATTTTCAAACATTAATTCTACCAATTAAGAACACCTATTTCTTTTTTAATTCATGTTACATTTAAATCTTTCTAGTTCCTCTTTCCTCTTTCTTAGTGGATATGCATTCTTTACTATTTTTGAAGATTTGATTTATTTCGGATTCTTTAATTTGGTGGTACCTAATTACCTAATCAAATTAATGGACTCCATGCATGCTGTTGAACAAGCCAAATACAACAGTAAAGAATAAAGGAAGAATATTGAGTGATTTATAAAAAAATTAGTTTATATCAAATAAATAAATAATAGATGAATAATACATAAAATTAAAAATTGACCACCTATTAGAGGACTTAAATTTTTTAAATAAAATTCAAACTCAAATTTTAAATTTAATATATCACAAACAAATTAATTCAAACTATAGTACAACCAACCATTTAGGTAACAAATCAACAAGCTGGAAAATAGGAGCCAACCAAATTACGAGGGCAAACAATTCATGGATTTGCTTTAAACATAGGTATTTTACAATGAGACACAATAGAGGAGGAGTAATTAACTTATGGATAATTAAGTTTACTTTAGGTGATTACTGAATTCTGTTAATGAGAGCTAAGGCAATGCTGGTTAACTGAGAACCTTTCACAATATAGATCCTTATAGTGTCCTTAACGTTCCCATTTATGGCTTTACCTTGAAAGCCATCCATGCAAGTATCTTCATCCGGCAAGGCGGCACTTACCCATGTTTGTATGTTGCTCATTTCCATGCGAAAATCTGGGCCTTCAAGATCCCTCATTGCTAGCATTGACTTCTGAAGCTCATCCACCGACTCTTTCATGGTTTCGACGCAATCCTTTATGGCGCCGGCTTCTCTAGGCCTTAACTCCCGCATCTGCAATAGCTTTTGCATCATGTTTAACGTGGACTCAGCGTTTTTTAGGGTCTCAGATAGAGATGCATTGGCTAGCTGTGTAGGATTATCTTGAATGGTATCAGCATAAGCTGAAAGCGTCTTGTAACACAAGTCTGGATACCTTGTAACCCCACATGAAGTTTTAATAAAATCATCACCAGACTCCGACTGGGGCTTAAATTTTTCGGCCAAGCAAATTTTTGCTGCACAAAATAAAGCTAGAGCGGCAAGGATTACAAGGCTATGGCAATGGGATTGCTTTGAAACTGCTGAAGATGCCATTGCCGTAGAATTGGTATGGAGGGATGGTGTGTGGATGGTAGGCAAAAGGTCCTAATTGTTAAACACAGCAATCAGATCTACTTTTATTCATCATTGGTATCGAAATATATACAAGTACAAGGAGAGATTTTAGGATCTATGTTTGGCTATACAAGATGTGAGGCGAGAAATGAGTAAGACCTCTAAATTAAGGAATCACTGCAGCTGTAGTTTCTATATACAGAGGTTCTGCTGACTCACGCCAACACTAATGTATACTTCTTAAAAGGTTATGTGCCCTACAAGTGTAAGGAAGTGTGAAAATGTGAGGCAGGATTCTTGAATTATTGATTGGTAACAGAAGCAGCGATTGGGAAAGATGAGATAGGGCGGTAGTGATTCACATGCACTGAAACTGGGTTTGTCACTAACGAAAAATGATTGAAACCTCTAGACTTGCAGTAGTGTTGCCGTTCCGTCTGTGGTCCTCTATTCACTATAGACAAAGGAAGCTGAAACATGTGTTTTATTCTTATGATTGTCCTGTATGGATATAATCTAGGAGCCAGAATTCTGGAAAGTTTGCCAAGCTGTATCTAATCTGAAAAATCTTCGTGTCCAGCAGAGTCCACTTATTCGATTAATTGATGAATACTAGTACCTGAAATTCAGTTCTGTATTGCTAGATAGATCATTGCTAAACAGAAGACCTGATTAGCACATGGTTAAGTACGAAAACATTTGGTAACCATGATTTTCTAGTCCTGCCTACCACTTGGAAAGAGCCACTGGAAATGGAAATGAAAACTTTACATGCTCACAATGTCGTAGCTAGGTTTGAAGGCAGAGACATGTTAACATCAGTGGGGGCAATTGCCTTCATTGGAATCTAAGAAATCTTTAAGAAGAAGTCAATTTCGAGATGTAATAAATGAAAATGGCAATATATATATACACTATCAAGGAAGAAACATCAAAACCAGTAAATAAAAAACTGGCGATAGTTGCAAGATTATTACCAGGTAAGAGATACTTTATAAAGAATTAATGAGGAAAATAAATATAAAGTCAATTTAATGGTAACACAACAGCAACGGCCACAACAACAAGTAAGTGTCACTCTCAAACTATATATGGATGTGCACGATCAAAATCAATTCAGAGGTAATGTCAATGGTGGATCATGAACAAATATTAGAGAAGGCAATAATATAGTAAAGTGTGCAGTGTTGTAGCTTGTGCCAACACTCAATTTTATTCATGTCAATATTGCACAAATGAATTTGATTATGTCAAAATTAAAATAATAAAAAACTATTAAAAATTTCTTCTTCTTCTTCTTTTTTTTGAAAAATTGATGGTAAAATATAGTGGGTATAAAAATCTAACTTTCAAATTTTATGTACGAAAAACAAAACACTATCTTTCAAATTGGTGGTGTGTTCGAGTGGCCGGTGTACTCTACATAGGCTAGGTCATCCATCAGCCCCGATTTACAGCCATATTGTCTCCAATTTTCAATTAAAAATGTCCAGTTCTTCTCCTTCAAACCAAAATTGTAATTCCTATCAATGCAATAAAAGTCACAAATTAAGTTTTTCTATATCTACTCTTGTCAGCTCATGTTCTCTAGAAATTATTTTCTCTGATATATGGACATCTCCAATTTATTCGATTGATAATTTTAAATATAATGTTATCTTTTGGGACCTTGGCACCATAGGCTAGGTCATCCATCAGTCCGAATTTACAGCCATATTGTCTCCAATTTTCAATTAGGAATGTCAAGTTCTTTTCCTTCAAACCAAAATTGTAATTCCTATCAATACAATAAAAGTCACAAATTAACTTTTTCCATATTTACTTTTGTCAGCTCATGTTCTCTAGAAATTATTTTATCTGATGTATGGACATCTCCAATTCATTGGATCGATAATTTTAAATATTATGTCATCTTTTGAGACCATTTCACTAAATACATTTGGGATATATATAAGAAAGAATTAAGCTGTTGTCTTTAAGGAGGAGGTTGCTAATTAAGAAAAAAAAAAAAAAACCGTAAAAAGCAGCAGCAACTGGAACAAAAGAATGGGTCTATCAAAGGAGAAATTGTAGTATATACGAATACACTCAATACTTGGTCAATAACTATATACATAATACATGGATTTAAGGATGGAAGAAAGCTATCTATCGCACATCTACCCTTTTAAGAAAAAGAAAAAAAAAAAAAAGGTTTCATGCATGAAAATTCAAAAGGTAAAGAAGTTCTTGTCACTCGTCCAGTATTTGATATAAATGCTGAAATTACGTGCCAGAAATCTATAGGTGAGCACAAATTGGATGATGGCATGAGTACGTAATCAGTTGACGTACTAATAATGGATCCAGCATGTATCCAGTGAAAAGAAAATGTCATTCAATCTAGATCATAAATATAAAATTAAATAAAGAAATTATTTATTGTGATAATGAGGGGAACTTACCTCCTTCCTTGTTAACAATGGTATATCCCATTTTTCCTCTCCCTCACACACACCCGAACACAATGGCTACTCTGAGCGACATTACCATCACATTGTAAAGACAAGTCTGTCCCTCCTCTCCCATACCTTCGTTCCCTATCCTACTGGTCATATGCCTTTTCCATAGGCGTGTATCACTTCAATCATCTACCAACACCAACACTTAAGTTACATTCTTCGTATATCAAACTCTTCGATCGTGGTCCAAACTACTCTAAACTCTATAGCTTTGGTTGTCTTTGCTATCCTTCACTACATCCATATTCACCACACAAACTTACCCCTAGCTTGTTTGTCCCCGTGTGTCTTCCTCGGATATTTCTACACTCAAAGTGTCTATCTATATATTGAGCCAAATTCCAATTGTCTATACACATCTCATCATGTCAAGTTTGTTGAGTCTGTCTTTCCATTCACCTCTCTTTAGTCTCACCTTGACCGTCTATCCATCGACACCCTGTCCCAATGGTGTCCTTCAATCTCTTTTCTACCAATGCTTGGCATACCGTCGATGACCTCTACTTCAATGCCCCCTATGCATATTCCTCCAACACATGCTGACCCTACACCATAAACCAGCAAACCACCTAATTCCCTACCTCGCGACATTATTATGCGATCCAAAAATATCATCTATAAACCCATCACCAAACTCAACCTCATGATCGACTTAGCTCCTAAAAGTACCTGACTTGCAACCCACATCAAAAATTCTAGCCATAAAAGACCCCAAGTGGTATACATCAATGTCAAATGAATATGGTGTACTTATCCGAAATGGGACATGGGAACTTGTTCCACTAACATCCACTCATAACATTGTTTGGGTCAAGTGCATTTTTTGAATTAAATATTTGTCTAATGGTTCTATTGATAGGTACAAAGCTCAATTTATCGCTAAGGGGTTTCATCAATGCCTTGAAATTGACTACCGTGACACCTTCAATCCTGTCATTAAGTCGACTATGGTGCGCCTCCTTCTCAGCCTGGGTTTCTATTGTGTTTAGTGCCTATGCCAGCTTTGATGTTAATAATGCATTTCTTCAAGGATCTCTCTCTCCACAGATGTCTATATGTCTTAACCCCTTGGCTTGATTGACTGTGACCATCCTCTCCATGTTTGTAAGCTTCGTAAAGCTATCTACAAACTCAAACAAGTGCCTTACACATGGTACCATAAGCTTTCTTGTCAACTATGTGGCCGACACATCCCTCTTCATTCTCAAGACAGGTGCTACCTTGTTTTATTTTCTAGTTTATGTTCATGACATAACTCTTATAGGAAATGCACTTAATGTCGTGCAAAAATTTATCACACTGCTTGCCAACTATTTCTCTCGGAAGGATCTTGGCCTTTTAACATATTTTTTAAGGGTGGAAGTCCTACCACGTGCTTACGGCTTATTTCTCTCTCAAAAGCAATAGATCAAAGATCTTCTTGTGCACACATATATGACTAATGCCAAGCTTGTCTCCACTCCTCTTGTCATTGATTTGCCACTCACCTTCTACTCTGTCACGGTGCCCACTGACTCGACTAAGTTCTGCACCATCATTCACAGTCTCCAATATATTTCCCTAACTCGCCTTGATGTTGTGTACACAATCAACAAGCTCTCTCAATTCATGCACCAACCTACCAACGAGCACTAGTTTGTCGTCAAACGTCAACTACGTTACCTTTGTGGCACTGTTGATCACGGTATAGTACTACACTACCAATCCTCTCTTTCTCTCCATGCATTCTGGGCTAGCAACAAAGATGACTTTACCTATATTGGTGCCCATATTGTGTACCAGGGTCAAAATCCGATTTTTTAGAGCTTTAAGAAGTAGCGCATAGTAGCATTTTCTTTGACTTAAGCCGAATATCGTTCTGTGGCCACCACTTCAATCGAGGTCGAATATCGTTCTTCGACCATTACTGTAGCTGAACTTCGATGGCTTTGCTCTCTCCTTAGTGAGTTGGGCATCTCTCTTCCTCAACCATCAGTGATATATTGCAACAACATTAGTGCTATGTACTTACGTTCCAACCTAGTTTTTCATTTTCGTATTAAACACGTGGCTTTGGATTGTGGATTATCAACTAACTTTAATCACGATGCCAACCCTATCTCAAAGCCATGGCTTGAAGCCTAGGGAGTCCATATGGGCTAAGAAAGATTGTGTAGAGTTGAGTGAAACAATGGATGAGCTTAGAAAATCAATTGATGAAATGAGAAATGATAAAAGAGTCCAACTTCGGGTTGATGATAAATGATGCACAAACAGGCCAGGGTTAGCATTGCTATGACTTATCAAAGTACTTGCAGTGATGGGTTGGCAGGGAATTCTATGAATGGTAATTTGAAGACTATTATTAGGGGAAGGAACAATTGACTAGCATTGCCTTCGCTTCGATCAACAACTATGTCTTGCTTCATGGTCAGCTAATTACATATGATTTAAAAGTTCCTTTCAGGTTTAAAAAAACACAATTTATTTTTGAAAAAATAAAATAAAGAGAAAAGAAGTTGAGTAAGACATTTTCAAGATAGAAAAAAACAACTAAATTGTGGATAGTCAAATGCATGTTAAGAGACTATTTAATTATTTCTGATAATATAAAATGAATTAATTATTTTTGATAAAACACAAGTAATAAGTTACAATTAACTCCTTAATGAAACATCAACTCACTTCGTTAAAAGGAGAAGACAATTTAGTCCTATTGATAGGCATGGCTAACTTCCCGTGAAATATAATTAAATAGGTCCCATTATATCTGCTCTTGGAAGTATTCTTGGAAGCAAATCTAGATGGGGAAGATGAGGACACACTTTAATAAATAGCTTTGTAGAACTACTGTCCTGAAACGTGAAAGTGAAAGAAAAGTTTGAATAATACAGGCTATACACCCCCTATTTGACTCTTATTGGCTCCTATGTCTTGCAAGAAGACACTATTAATCATCATTAACGATTCTTTTCTATTTTTGTCAGTGTATGGTTAAAAAAATAATATAAAATTATTTTTAAAATCTTTATATGATAGCCTAAATTTTTCTATTGAAATTTTTTAAGCATAGAATCAAAATCTTAAGGGATAAACTATCACAAATTCGAAACTTATAATTATCATTTTCTTTAATTAAAAATTCTGAATATATTAATATTAGATCACACCTAGCCTATTGAATATTTAAGGTAAAAACAATGTAAAATCTAATCCTAATAATTGTCACAACCCTAATTAAGCATGTTAATTATTAGCAGACCCTATTGAATATTTTAGGTGCAAAAAACAAGTAAAGTCTACTCCAACTAATTGTCATAGCCCTGTTAATTATTAGCAGACTCTCTATATATAGATTAAGGTGAACATCAACTTCATTGGAAGCAGCCAAATATTTCCGTTATAAATCAATTAGTTTATTGTTTATGTTATATGATCTAACTTAATCTGTCCAAATTGCAATTTGCATGCATAGCCAATTTGCAAGATTGATCACGACTCAGCTGGCTGCCAAGAGAGAGTCCCAACTTGTGTTGTGTGGCCACTTGATTCTAGTTCAAGTTGTAGGCATGGATAAAGGAAGGCCAGGGTCACATTCATTTGATAAGTATGCAGTAGGCCAAGAGAGAGGACCAGTTTGCTGGCCACTGGGTTGGAAGTTTACACCCATCCATGCATTTTAGAGTCTTGGTTAAGACCCTGCACACATGCAGTGTATAAGGTTAAAATTTTCCTACTTGAGTTGCCAATTGAACAGAAATAATAATGGGCCCTCAAAAATAAAAATAACAATAAAATAAAATCGTGGGGCATATGAATTATTGTTCTTGGAATTCATTCTAGTTGAGATATTTTTTAAAAATATCTTACATTGCTGTTAATTAATCGATGCTAATCCCAAGCAAAACGACTTTCTTTCTGCATTACAAGGTATCGAATTGATCAAAATGATGATTCGTTTAGTTTGTGTAAGATAATAAGATTGCATTTTTGTAAAAGCACGGTTGGAATCATAAGGAAGAATAAAATTTGATGTTTTTTCTTTTAATTTTTTAATTATGATTATATTATTATTATTGAAGATTTTAACAATTATATTAGAGATTTTTGGAAGCTTTGGACCATTCCGTGTGCAATAATTTTGAGAAAAAAAAATTGCAAACTAAAAAAAAAAAATTGTAAAGTTGTAGAAATTGACGTGAATGGAAACCTATAGTACAAGTTACTATGTAAAGTTAGAACTACACTCTTGCTAGCTAGTTAGTGAACGAGGATCAAGGGGCAGTGCCCCTTGTGGGGGTTCGAGAGTAAAACCTCCAAAATGTCTATAGAATATTGAGTCAAGTGTATAGACTTATTAGACTTTTTTCTTAGAATTGTAATTGTCCACAGTATAAATAAAGATAACATCACTTATATTTATAGTTACTATTTGATAAAATATAATAAAAAATTCTAATATAGTTGGGAAGTAGACATTATTATCTAAACACGTTTTATTTTATTTTATTTTATTTTATATTTTTTTTTTTTGTACTTGATTCATTTCCTGTTCAAAGCTTCACGAGATATTTTTTTTTTTTTGGGACGAATGTGTTTAGTAGCAACCTCTTGCCTACCTTAAACGCTTATTGCTTAGTTATTGTATGTGGTCTAAATGCATTCGTACCAAGCTTGTTGAGAATTTAGTTATTTTTTTGTAGGATGATAAGAGCAGGATCACAAAATCCCTGTCTAAAGTAGGCCTAGGGTGCCAGAGGACCAACTTAATTTATGTCCCTGTGGATCTATTAGCACGGATATATCCCTCTTGGAATCTCAGTCAAGACCCTACATGCATGCTTTGTAATGTAAATCATTTTGATTTTGCTTCCAAATACAGTGTGTTTTGTATGCCCTTTCTTTCATTTTCCCACCAGAGCTGCCACTTGAAAATACCTAATCATGGGGTCCTCGGAAAAAGAAAAAGAAAAGAACTAGAAATAATGGAGGTGGACAAGTTTTGGACCAACTTTATTTCCTTTTTGAACAGAATCAGCAATTTTAATTTTTAAAACCTTGAATTACCCTACTAATTAAATCTTATTTTCATATTAAATTCCATAATCACCCCCATAAACCACTTTTTTGTCCTATAAATTGGGGACCTTCCCTCCTTATTTTCATTGTCATTACTCGACGTTGGACGAGACTCCCAAAAATTAGATGCTAATGTGATCGTGATTAATATTTACAAGTTTATTTACGGAGCTTTGGAGTCACCACCTAGTATTAAGGAACTAGGAACCTAAAAATAACACTCTGGTCTAGAGATTCTATGGTAAGCGGTTGGTTACACTTTTAAGAAGATAATTATTCACTCCAAAAGTGCCCTTTTCGAAGAAAGGTACCACATCTTGTTCTAGTACTAAATTTATCTCCTACATTGTTCATTTATGCCAATTTGTTTTCTAATTTTTAAACAATTATTTTAGCAAAATTTGATTTTTAGTTTTGAGCGTGGCATCGTATTGAAGCGATCGTCGGTCCCCTTCATCGGGCGACACGTCGGTTCAAACATCGGATCCACTTAAAGCCTTGACACAACCGGTGCATCGGAGGACACTCGATTATTAAATTATGATTTTTGGTGACGAAGGTCACTATCGGATAGGAGACGTCACCACGAAACGACGAGTCCCTATCAAGAGGAGACTTCGCTGAGAAAATTTATTATTATTTTATATTTTTTCTTTAATAAGATGCATGCATAAATGTCAAAACTAAAATAAATAAATAAATATTAAATTAAATACAAACAGAAAAAATAAGAAAAAAATAATAATTGAATCCCCTGAACATCTAAATTAAATACAAGATACATAAAATTTAAATTTTTAAATCAAATATTTTTTCCCTTTTTTATTGCATTCTATTCACGGTTGGAGACTGGATTACATCCATCTCCTTATTTCTTACGAAAAATGGGTGAACGCAAAGCCTGGATTAAACTAATCTGTGCATCTTCTTTTTCAATTTTTATTCCTGGACTAGTGGCCCAACCTCCCTTTAAAACCAGCCCCCATTTCTTTCTTTTCTTATTTTTCCACGGGCCGGACCCACCATAAACACCACTCAACAAAGGTTTCTTTATATTTTTTATCAAAACATTTCCTTTTGATAAATTCCAAAACTTGCTCTCTCCTGTTTTGGTCCTCTCATGCCATTTCTTTCTTTTCTTTGTCTTTTCCCTATCTCGTCTCTCTCTCTCCCTCACCATGTACCAGGATCTCTTCATTTGTTTTTTTAAAAATCAAGTCCGCTTCTGCTCAGCCCTCCTCTCTTTCTCTTGTTCATCCTCGCCTTTCATATTATTTTTCTTTGGGTGTAATCCTAATTTTCTCTCTCCCTCACCATATACCATGAGCGAACTAGCATCCCTTTTAATTCATTTCATTTCTTCTATGTTATTCCTTTTTCTTTCACCTTCTCTCAACTTTGCAAGAACCAAGTTTACATTTTTTTTTAAATCAAAAGCCCACTGACTAAGCTACTTCGTTTCCCCATTTCAACAAACTAAGACCTAAATTAAAAATTTAAATTAAAGGAAGAACGAAATGAGAATAAACTACCTAGATGAAACTGACCCGAGATTTTGAAACCGTGGTTGTTGATATGCGAATCAAATAAATGATGATGGGTTTCGGAGTGATCCCTGGATGATCTTAACCGAGAACAATGAAGTGATTTTTGGTATTGATGTTCTCG